TCTCCCCCCAAACAGCCCTGCTCGCCCCGGAGCTTTTTCAAGCATTGCCAACACAACTTCAGAGAGCCCGTGTTCGGCAATTCAGAGAAGCAAAGCTGACGCATATTTATCAATCCAGCTCTGGAGTAATCTGAACCTTAATCGATAACCCTAGTCGTGCGATACGCGTTAAAGCTAGTGGGTGAGTGATTCGGTGGGGTTATTGGCCCCGTGACCTGCTTGGCGTAGAAAAGCAACCACCGACCTGGAAGCCACAAAGTTTACCTATATGCCTACCCGTGGACCCTTGGAATGAGAGAGCACACTCCCCGACGCCTGCACGGCCTGCCCGTCTCTGGTCTTCCCCTCCCCACTCGACAAACATCCACAGGAGACTGCAGGTGTCTGCTTCTCACCAGTCGCTCTCGAACCGGCTCTGGGCGCACGGGCGCGAGATCAAGATCCTTTGGCTCTCCCAGCTGCCATGAACCTTCACTACGAGTGCGGTACGTGCCGCAAAGCCTTCTGGGCCGGGTTCAAAGCACGCGAGAACCACCTGCGCTCCACAGGCCACAGTGCCCCTGAATACGAATGCGACAGGTGCTGCCGTCATTTTCCATCGGGATTTTGGCAATGGGAACATATGATGGACTTCAACCATTTCCGATGCAAGTGTGCAGTGTGCGATTAGACGTGGCCCAACGATAGTCAACGCGTCAAGCACGAGCACGAAACTCATAACCACTGCAGTGCCTGCCAGAGGACCTTCATGAACGCGAACAATCTCAGAATGGTAAGTTAATTCTGTCGCCGACTGTTGAGGGCTTCATTGCTCATCTGCTATCGACAGCACCTCCACTCCGGCGTGCATCGAGGCTACGAGATTCAGTGCCCTTTCTGCCAGTGCCATCGCGCTACAGCCGCCGGTCTAACGCACCACATAGAAACTGGCTCATGTCCAAGGGCTGCCGGAGTCACGCGTGACACGCTTTATAGGCTCATAAGAAGCAACGACCCCCAGGGCACCATCACCAATAACCTGCTCGGCTGGAGTGGCTCGACGCAGTACGAGGCCAATGAGCTTGCGTACAATAGGGCTCGTCGCGGCTGGGAGTGCTATCTCTGCCACCGAGTGTTTGACAGATTACCGGTCCTGAATCGACACCTGAACTCTCCTATTCGTAAGTACTTTGACTCGATTCATCACTCACACTGTAGCCAGTGAAGAGGAGCTGACGAAATGACACGGGCAGATCAAGAGAGCTTGTACCACTGTCCGAACCGACAGTGTGGGAAGGAGTTCACGGTCTTAGCGGGGATCATCAATCACCTTGAGAGCGAATCATGTGGCTATATGAGATTCGAAGACGTGCAACGAGATATTCATAATGTGGTGGGCGGGAGCAATTTGCTGTCGTTCTAAGAAACTTTTGATCGGATGAATTCTCCTGTCTTCGGAGACGAGCAATACGCCTTTTCAAATTTTGTAACTCTTTATACAATTGACAGTTGATCATGCCCTACTAGTATAGGATTATGCACCCCGATGATGATTAAGCAGTGCGCGGAAAGTGATTGGATGGTCAGAGTTGACGGGTAGACTTGCGGAGACTTATTATTAGCCCCCCCACACCCGTCAGACGCTCGTCTCGTGTGGAATCCGTCCGATTCAAGCCCCCGAGTCAGCAAGGCCGACAGCCAAAAGTGGCATTTGGAACCGTACAAACCACCAAGGCCGTCCGCGTCTTCCAGCTGCAACGCCATGCCGCGACCGCTTCGCACAAGCTGCGACCGCTGTCACTCTCAAAAGCTCAAATGCCCCAAACAGCCTGGTATTGCAATATGCACGAGATGCGCCAAAGCCGGCGCGTCATGTGTCTTCAGTGCAGCCGGGCCCAGCGCTCGCCGAACACCGCTCTCCTTAGGCCACGAGGACTTCGGCTTGCAGCCTCAGCTGGGCGGTTTCGACGTGGACCTGGATTGGTTCTCAGGCGGCAGCCTCAACAGTGGCCAGCCCGACGCGCCATTTCATAGCCAGACCATCCTGCATCCGGACCTGTCGTCCATCCAGGATGAGCACCCAAGATCAGCCTGCGTGAGACAATTGTTAAGCTTGGCGCAGGATTTTGATCACACTTCCGCCAGCATACCTTCGGAGTCGCAGTTGCATATGGACAAGGATGCCCCGCTGCCCGATGTGGTGGCTTCGTGGGCAGAGAAGTATGGACAGAGGCAATGCCTTGAGCAATTATTTGCATCAGGACAGAGGTTATTAGACTTGTATTACAATACCATACGACTCATCTTCGAGCAGCCAGGTGGAGATGCTTGTGAGGATGGCAACTGCCTTCACCGCCAGGATCTTCCCGCTGATGTGGAGGAGAAGCTGGCTGAAGCCCTCGTCGTCGATCACGGGAAACCAACGCCGATGGACCCCTTCGTCTTCAACCTCCTGGTCATATGCCATACTCGGTTCAATGACATACTGACTCTTTTGATGGTGCACATGAAGACCTGTGTCCGGGTCCACTTTGCGTCGCCAACAGCAAGCGATCCAAAGTTGCATATTCCCGCCCTCAAGGTCGGTAGCTTCGTTGCCTCACCTGAGTCGTCTTCCTCGATGCAGGCTGTCTTGTTGGTACACATCGCGTCTGTACTTGTGGATCGTGCCAAACAACTGGCGGAGAAGGTCCAGACCGCAACCAAAGAAGAAAAGTCTACGACGAAGGCACAAATGTTCCGGCTTCAATGTCAGGCACTTGTCGAGGAGGGGGAATCGAATGTCATTGCGCTCAAGAAGGTTCGCGATGTCCTAGTCCATATAGGGTGGATGCGATGAGACGCCGTGCAACCACTACCTTGTCCCACGACTACTCACTGTCAAAACTAATCAAACTGACTTTCCGGGTCATGGCGCCGATGGTTTCTCACCATAACTACTGGAGATATACCAAGAGAGCTTCACTCGCGTTAATAGTGAAAGTAGCCTGTCCGCCTGAGACCACAGCCGTCTCGAAGGTCTCAGTTCCACTGATGACGCAAGTTCCATCCGTGAAGGATTGACCTCCAAACTTGGGTACCCCTCCTTGGTCTTGCCTGGACAAGGCGCTGGCGGCCGTCAACCTCTTCGTGCGCACCGAAGACCCTGACAGCCCCGTGAGGACGAACGACTGATTGGACCGGCTACCACTTCCGCTGTAGTAGTCTGAGTTGTAGAGCATGGTTCTTAAGGGAGCCTTGTTCGCGTCGAACGTTACATATGCTGCGTAGTTCGTTGTACCGGTGTCAAGAGCTGTTAGGTATGATGCCTTGGCCAACAGCGCTGTCGCGGCGTAGGCCCCGTAATATGGTGCCCCCATCGAATATCTACCCCAAAAGCAATATTGACAGTTGCCAACAGTTCCGTGGTGGAAGTACGTTCGGGATATGTTGCTATATGTTGCTCTCAGGGAATAATCCAGGGTCCAGAGGGCGGCACCAAAGGTTGGCGATACTCCGGCTGCACCTCCACCAGATACTGTCAACAGTTAGCCACTATGCTTCAACTCCAATTGCAAAAATGTATTCTACCCACCAGAATTCGTTTCCCCAAAGACGTAAGGCTTTCCTTCGCCCAAAGCAGCTGATACATCGGCGTCAAACACATGCAAGTTCGTTGCGATGTTTGAGTGACTCATCAACGAGGTTACAGAGCCTCCAGGATAGTTGTGATGCGCGTACGTCTTGACGTACTCTTTGACGGTCGAATTTTCAGTTGCAATGAGTTCCGCGGCGCCCCATTCCGGGGGCGACGCATTACTGTTTCCTGCTTGGATGATGGACTTCTTATTCACAGCCGAGCCGACCAGGATATCCCAATTGTTTTGCGACGCAGCGTCGATTGCGGGTGACCATGCACCAGATGCTATTGGCTGGCCATCCTTTGGGTAGTCTGCGGTGTCTTAGCCCAGGACTCTTCACAGTGCTAGCCATACGTACACTCTGGCTCGTTTCCCAGCTCAATAGCTAGTAAATTGGTCATCTCAGAAACGGCAACCTTGGCTGCGGCGATCGTGTTGCTGATTTGGTTCTTTCCTCTGTTAAGACCAAGTACCACACTGCCTTTGTATGTGTTCGCCAAAGCCATGAACCTTGACCCAAAGGTCAGGTTTGCCGGCGCGTCCGCTGGGGATGCCACTGTGTACACGACATACGAACTTGTGGCTGCATCATACAACGCACGATCTTGAGTGGTGCCGCCAATCCGAATAGGAGGCCATGTTCCCGTCAAAGACTGGAGGTTCGTCAGGCATTGGTTGGTGGCGGTCACATTGGTGAAGTACGAGGGGAACGCGAAGAATTCGAAACTAGCATCCTTGTGTCAGCGGTGTATGAAGTCAGAAGGCATTGAACCTTACGAGATGCCGACCGGTGCCGGATCAAGTGGCGCCTGCGGAAATATTGTCAGATGTTATAACAGTGGTTCTTCGAGCATACTACTGGTGAAATATCGCCCGACTATCCTTTGGGTTTGCCCAAGGACACACGGCAAAGACTGGGTGTCTCTTACATATTGGTACCCTCCCGTAAGAGCGGCACTAGGTACTGCGAAAGTCACAGCTGTGACTGCAGTCGCAGCAGACACAATCAATGTGAATAGTCTGAAGATGTAAATCGACATTTTTCTTGACGCGACTAGGTCAGCAAAAAAGTGACGCGTTCTGGGCTCGATTAATACGTCTCGCTTCGCTGATAATTGACACCGCGCTCTGTCAATTAGCCGACAATTCACATGCTCAGACCCAAGCCCCGCCTCATTGCAACGCCGACAATGGAACGGCATCTTGGAAAGCCCCCAATTAGAAAGAGACTCCGTCGTTCAAATCGGGGCCGGGCGCGGGCCATTGCGCGTTAGGACCGAAGCTATTTCTCGTTCCATGGCAGTGGGCATGTAGTTGGGGAACCCTGCAAGTATGGTCGGCTTTCGCTTCCCCGAAATAGCTTTCTGCTGAGTGGGCCAACCCCAGATTGATCTAGCTACTTTGTACCCCGCGGATAATTGTGCCTGTCGATCGTTGAACCCAAGGTCGTGCAACTCGCTCATCGCTAGGGTACTGTATCTATACTTCGGTGTGATTTACAGTATTGAATTGCACCACCAATATGACCCACGCAAAGCCGCATTGTGATTGCACCGAAAAGTCTCGTTACACCCACCCCACTGTCTCGTTGATCCGACGTAGAGGATGCTTATGTGAAATTTGGAAGAGCTCACCAGCCGCCGTGTCAGGGGGATATCCAAGTTTTAACTTGTAGAATGGACCAGATAGACACTATGGGATATCACGCCTGACGAATGAACAGAGCTGGAGTGAGCATTAGGTTGCTTTCTGACCGTCGAACTTGATATTCCATAACAATCCCGCCGCCGGCGGCATTCCGTTCCTCCATGGGACCGATGCACCTGGGATAAATTGGATAGGAAACTCTGGCCGTTCCGGAATTTGATTGGGTGGTTTTATTACCCCTACGCCCACGAGAGTTAGCAAAAGCTGCTAGCGGTGCTACCCAAAGCAATTGATCAAAATGTAGATTGTGCCTGTTCGCCTGTTCAGAGCAGGCATAGTCCCCATTATTTTCCGACATTACGCAAAATAGGATAGAACAACTATGTTTATTCATCCACATGCTTATCTATCGATTTGGCCTCGATCATAGAAAGCCAAGAGAAATGCTTTTTCATAACTAAATGCCCATGATATTCTGATTGAATTGTGTGTTTGTGCTGTCAGTCCCTTTGTTTGATACAAATTCCCTTTGTTGGAGTTGCGTTCACGGACCTGACCACTGCAAACAATGGTGCACAACGGGGTTGGAATTACAAGGCACTTAAAGCCAAAGAATTGTCATAGTGTTAATTGTGGACAAAGCTATTGGGCTGTGAGAACCACCATGGGTACAAAACTACCTGGGTCACCCCTGCCTGCCAGCCAAGTCGGAAAGCTCTATGTTTCCTTAGTCACTGCGCATATAAATATTGCTCACCTCAGTGCTTCAATGTCATGATATAGAGGTAAAACGAGAACACAATAATGAAAAAGAAGAAAAGAGGGATGCCGCCTTCTCGAGAAAGTCGTACAACTGGGTCGACGATTATCAAACGGGGTGCAACTACGATGATATGCCTCCAGCTTACACCGAGGCAGACGTCGAACACACATGCGAACTCGGACGGCCGCCATCATACAGAGAAAATGGTCGTCCAAAAACGGAGAAGGACAGCGGAGAAGCGTGTGCCATCTCAGGTTACACGGCATCTGTGAATTGGGTACGACGATGGCTCCCGGAGGACACAGACGAGTGTGATGTCGAAGATGTTGAACTTTCAGACGATTGCCCGACAACCTATGAGGGGGATCGAGGGTACCCTTTCAGCAAAGGCTATATAGTTGAGCTGGAGGAGGAATTTTATGAGGCTTGTGAACGTCTCGAAGAAGCAAAAAGAAAGAGACAACCATTCCGAGTTCTTTATTGGAAGTCAAGAGGAGAGTACTACCTCTCACATTTGGAATTTATGGGGCTTACGGATTTCCAGGATGGACTAAGACCTCTGGCAGACTACGTGGCGAGGAAAATTGCTGATGATGAGCAGTGGCACAATCTTCATCTAGGAGAACACCACTTACGATCGCTCGACGAAGAGGTTGATGAGGCGATGGAGGACGTGTCCATGGTAGAGTCCGAGATGGCACTTTGCAGAATTGAGGTGGGGAAGCAGCCTTCACAGACATGGCGGTTTGATCATGGCCAGGGTCTCCATATATGGGTGCCAAATGAAGGTAAGTCATATGGAGCAGACGAGTTTCGTCGCTTGCCTGAACACCAGCGGGTGTTGATTTACGAGGGTACAAGATATAATTGATTAGATCAGTTATGAGTATGATATTCTTCTTTGAACCTTACGAATACCTCCTGGGTAACATCCCGTCTTTTCTTCAGTGATAGTGACCCCAAGAATTATCTTTCTTAACCATTAAATGGAACTTGAATAGAGCTGCACAGATTGCAAAGTTATGGCTGATATACGTCAACATTCCTTCACATAAGAAGACTAGTGATATGACAACAATTGATCCCTGGGAACTCGATACATCTGTGACAGAGTTTCATCCATAGACAAAGAAATACTATGGACAGTTACTGAGACTACGGTGGACGCTGGAGTAAGGAGAGTGTAAGAATTAGTATAAGAACGATGTAGTCTCGCGATTCAGCGCTGATATTTTCCGATTTATGCCTTGCTCGGAGTCTGCCTGCAGAGGATTGATGTTGCACCTAAACCAGCAGGCTTAATTCCAATGTAACGGCTTAGGTCCCCCAAGTCCAGCGAGGTGAAACCTGAGTGCCAGATCTCGCAACGAATGCGTATAAAGCAACAAATGTGGGACAAAAAATTAATATATACATCAGGCGGGAGAGCGTCTTCGTCTTATTTCATTTCTCGTCGGCTTAACCGCGCACAATGAGTAATATACACACTGCTTAAACATAGCGACAAAGGCATTCGCGATTTGAGGACAATTTCTCGACACGTACAATTTCTATAGCCTGGATATGCCCTTTTAAACTTCACAGTCTCCAAAATAATTAGATCACCGAAATTTCTATACAACTAACTTATACATAGCGTAGCCTTCTGGTTCCAGTTCCAGAGGCCGGGAAAGACCCCCGTATGTGGTCTTTTGACCTACTTAGCATGGATCTAGTATAGTCAGTTTACCCCAAGTTGAGTCTTCTTCTTCACAGATTGGTGCTATAGGAGGTTCAAAAAGCAGTGTGGCAAGAATGAAGAGGCTCGAAAAGTATTGTATAAGTGAATTTGGCGTAACCAGCCGCCAGACATGTATAACAATGCTGTCCTTAATGAGGTACTCACCGTTTCAGTAATGACTCTTTGCTCTCAGGTGCAGTAAGTTGTCCTTGCATACAGCTCGAACAGGTCTGATGGACATACTTGGTGTGGCTATCCGGTGAATCCATCAAGCCAATACACCGGTGACCGTATGCAATGGCACCGGCGCATGGGATTACTTCGTTGCACATCGTCTCCCTGCATCCGCAAGAGAAAATAAGTTGGTGCCTAGGGTAGCACATGCTGATAGGACTAAGATCAGAGTAAGAAGTGAAATGTGAAAAGCGCCCGGCAATGGGGAATACAATGCTGCAGAGGAACGTAAGTGGGGTGTACAAGCTTGATTAAATGGTCGCATAGAGTCATTGTCAACAAGACTCTGGTATGTACTTCTTTGTTGATAACCAAGAATTGTGGAATTTTATGTTGAATGGAATCTCGGGGGGAATGAGTTCTTTATCTTCTCCCGAATCACCAACTGAAGATACGGCTAGATACCTGATCGATAGGGGCCCATCTTCTGCTTTGATACTACAAATATCAGAACCGATCTACAGTGAAGAGTAGCCAACCCGACTGTTCTCCATCACGCTTGAGGAGCCTTAGCTCTTATACACCTCAATGCAGAAGTTACTGGTCTACATAAAAGTAGGTAATGATTCTTGACGTGTGGCACCCAAAACCTTTTCTTTCGAGATTCACATCTACTCTCATGCTGGCATGGGCCTTAGTTCTGGTTCTACCTACACCCTCGAGGTAACTCTGGCTGGGAACCCATCCGACGGGTGCCTTCCACCTCCGCCCAGCTCAGCTTGATATGCTCTAACCCCCTCCTCTGATGTAATTTCGATCTTAGGACATTTTCTGTCCCACTTCTCGTACACGGGTTTGATGTCAAACAACCTGACGGTCATGACAACCGAGATTTCAAGTTCCAATTGCGCAAGTATTTGCCCTATGCAGGCACGCGGACCCCGCTCGAATGCCCGCCAGGATCCTTTGGCTGGTTAAAGAGGGTCATGGGGACCCACAAGCCACCGACCTGGAATAAATTCGTCTGCTTTGATGAAGGTATCTGGATTATGATGCATGGCTCAATTGAGCGCCCATGTGTGATAACCCTCACTCGGGTACTGTTGTCCATCTTCGTCTGTGAAGATAAGCCCTCGACGGCCGTCACAGAGACTTGACGCAGGGGGGAATATACGAAGGACCTCCTTGATTGCTGCCAGTGTGTATGGTAGCTGGGTCAAGAGCATAGGGTTGTTTTCGATAGCATGGCAGTAGTGTTCGGCAGAAGAATCCAGCCCAAACACTTTGCCATGTTCAGCACGAACTTTATCCCGTACTTCCAGATGGCGAGAAAGTAGCTAGTAGCTGTATTGGAGCGAGCTGCTTGTCGTATCGTTTCCAGCGTACAGGAACATCCTAAGCTGTGGTATGACGAGATTTGTGAAGGATTTTTTGGATACTGAACTGGAGTGGTGCTCCAGGACAGTGTTGTCCCAGAACTTCCACAACAGCCAAAGCAGTCTTCAACGTCACTACAGACGAATCCAACGTGCTTTGTCTAGTAGGACCTGACTAATCAGAAAGATAATACCTCCAGTAAAGAGCACAATAAGGGTTGTCGGTCGCCAGAACGCTGGGGCCAATTATGTGGGTGAAAAGAACGTTGTCTTGTTAGAATCCATACGCGGCAAAGATGACTATATAGGAAATAAAACGCAACGCCACAGTAAGCCACTCGAACCAAGCCACACCACCCGAGCTCAATCTGCAGAGTGCTGATCCAAGTCTTACACACAGGACACCAGTAGGTTTGCATGAAGCTATGCAAGGGAAATAACGATACCTCTGTGGAAGATATTCCCGAGATACTAGATCTAAGCAAGTGGACTTCATTACCTTCATAAATGCGAAGTCGGCATACATGGTTAAGTTCACTGTGCAGTACTCCTTCTACAACTTGATCCAAGAAATGTTATGGCGAATCACCGCATTGAACTTGATCACAATGGTTTTCATTAGCCTTTTGAATGCGCAATGCTGAATTCTAATATTACACGGCTATATTCGAGCACAGATGCAGGTCTGTGTTTGTGGTCTCGTCCGAGGCATTTTGCGCTTTGGGAAGCTGATCCAACAGCTCAGCAAGATGTGCGTCCTCCGGTTCACACAGAAAAATGACGGTGCGGTGAGCAATCGCTTTAGTAAAGCTATCAAACTTACTAGGACTAACCCACGCTGGCTATATCGATAAGGTGTATACTGTGTCACGGCAACACAAGTGGATTGAAGCTCTGCTGCAAATCCTTTGGTATGACGAAAATCTAAAAGCTGGGGTGTGAAGGAAAACCCTTCCCCACGGCCGTCGCGTTTCCTAATTCCATTTAAGGAACAGACCACCCCTCAGTTCTTGCTCCATGCGGAAGCATTTATGGTCAACGCTAGGCGTTAATCTACATGATGCAGATTTCTGTATCAAGCTATGATAATGCATTTCCTTCCTAAAGGACAGAGAGCGTCCGGGAGGGCATTTGGACAGAGGTGCCATGGTAATGACAGGCAATAACACGGCCGCACTAGCAATTGTTTTCTTACACTTAATAGACCGCCAAGACTGCGAATGTAAGATTGGAGAAATGTGAAGTTGCCTGCCTCGGGGAACCGGGATACACTCATGCAACTTCAGCGGCTCATACATGGGATAGTGTGGGCGGCATCCCCAAATAAAGCGCCCCAGGTTATCCCCAGTGCACTGATGGTGCTCAGGCAAGCCATGTGAACGCAAGTCGCAACATCACACGTCTACATAGATTGGCTTTGTTGGAATTCATTTATGCTGCCTCGTTCTAATGGCTGATGCTTTCCAAGCCCAATTTAACCGGCGGGTCATTATCACCTCGGGAGGGAGACCACCGCTAGCCTAACGGCCAAGACCGCCATTGGCATGACTGGGGGTCATTAACATGAAATAGAATGCTCACACTCACTCGGCACTGACTCCGATGGAACGACTACATTATGTATAAAGTCTGTTCCTATAAGTCGCGCAGTATCCCGGGTTGGTGTTTCGTCATCCTGAACTCAACTTCTGTACTGTGCAGGATACTTTCGACCCGCGTAATTCGATTTTAGCAGACGTTCTGTTCCCTTGGCAATGAAGGGATTCGCGTTTCTCCTTACATTGGCTTCGGCCGTTCAAGCCCACTGTAGGTTCGGTGAAAGTCCGGTGTGCTTTCTCAACTGACGTCAGAGTCAGACACTTTCCCTGCGCTGGTGGCTGGCGGCTCAAGCACATCGAAGTGGCAGTATGTACGAAAGACAACGAACTACCAGTCGAATGGCCCCGTGACAGATGTCTCTTCGAGTCAGTTTCGATGCTACCAGCTTGCACCAGGCAACGAGGGGGCAGAGACAATGACAGTTGCGGCTGGGTCAACCGTCGGATTCACTGCCGATGCCTCGGTATCCCATCCTGGAACTCTCCAATTCTACATGGCCAAGGTTCCCGCGGGAAAGACTGCAGCTACTTGGGATGGTGATGGCAGTGTCTGGTTCAAGATTTTCTCACAAGGGCCAAACATCGCAGCCAGCGGGTTAACTTGGCCAAGTCAAGGGGCAAAACAAGTCACAGCCAAGATCCCAGAGTGCCTGGCTCCAGGAGACTACCTTCTCCGAGTTGAGCATATCGCTCTTCACAGGTAAGTAAGAATTCTATGGTTCTCGCCTTGCTTTATCAGCAATCTTAGTAACTAATATGGTCTCTAAAATAGTGCAAGTGCAGCGGGCGGTGCTCAATTTTATATCTCTTGTGCGCAACTCACTGTCACTGGCGGCGGGTCCAAGACTTTCTCCGGGGTCTCATTCCCTGGTGCTTATCAGGCGACTGATCCAGGTATTATGCTAAATATCTACTACCCAGTGCCAAAGAGCTATACAGCTCCAGGACCAGCCGTGGTTTCATGTTAAGAAAATGTCCAGGGATGATTTTGCAGTGATGCCGTCGACAGAACCTCAGACCTTGGCGTGGGCCGACGATGTTATGTATAGCTACTTCTCGAAGCTTGGAAATATGAACCACATTCAGCACTATACACCTAGTGACAGAACCTTATGCAATGCGTAGCCTATACTGAACCGGTGGCCGATGAGCTACTGATAGGTCGAGATGTAGTGAGTTTGTCGCAAGTGTAGACCTGCGCTGCTGCAGTAGTGACAGGTACTTCAAAGGAATCTGTTACCTGGGGTTGGTCGTTGTGCTTCGTATTTACCTCTTGATGGTCCGTGAAAGGGGTAGCGCTGCGGGTTCGTATGGGCAGCACCGTGGTGCTGCCAGCGGGAACAGGAGTCTTGCTTATAGGGGAGAAACCGTCAACTAGGGTGGAGGTGAAGAACGGTAGATTCGTCGATGTGGTATCTGGATGCTCTTTTTGATCAAATTGACAAGCGAAGACGGTATCACATTGGCTGGTCGTGGCTCTGGTTGAGTCGAGCGGCATCGGTGAGTGGTCGGTGACTATCCGATTAGTATTGGAGTTGAGGGTTGTATCAGTGAAAATTACTACCTAAGGAGTCATTCTTTTCTTCTGAAATAAATGCTGTTTTTCCTATCGAATTGGATCTCTGTTGTGCTGGCGCTGTATGAATGGACAAGTAGGGGTTCAAGGAAGTATAATGATGACGGGTGGATATATTCGATGTCTCAATTACCGACACTATACCTGCTGTAGTAGGCCTTGGTGGTGAATACTGAGTCTCTGCACAATCGGTGGTATGAAATCGTTCCCGACTGAGGCAAGGACCGCGATTGGTGGCCAGGCTGTCTTCTGTCATTGAGACACTAATAGTGCCTGAATCCGTAGCAACTCTACAAATAGCTGAGCTGTCTGTTATGTATCGATACTCGTTACTAGTAAGTGCCCCGACATTTCGAAACGATGGTGACGCTGTGGATTGTACCCATACTGATATACCGATATCCACCGCAGACTCGTTCGAGATAGGGGTCATGTGTGTTCCAGTTAGGTCTCCTGGAGCTGAACTGTTAACATAGTCCCATCCGGCTGTTCTTGGCAGTATGGCTCTTGTTGATTAAGAGACTGATGTTATGGCCGACAAATGTTGGACTTATGCATCTTTGACATGGTCACCAGTTCAAAGATGCTGCGTGGCGATAATTCAAGAAAGACTAGGGCTCGACTCACTTAGAACCTCTGCCACCAAAATTGGTGTATCAAGTATCGGGTATCTTGTGGGACCATTCCCTATAGAGTACCCGATAGCTGCCATTTTGAAATAGGTGGTGGCTCTTCAATTATAGCACCGAGTAAAGTCAGCACCGGCAGGTGAAAATTTTTAAAGATGATTGGGAAATATTGGCCTTCGGTGTCTTTTTATCGAGAGAGAAATTGTATCTTGAGGGCAAAAATTTGCCTGAATTTATACGCCAGAGCCGAAGTGATGTTGTTCAAGAATAACCGTAATGATGGAGGCAAATGAATGATTGAGAGTGTTGGTACGTAAATCATGAATGTATGACGGTCGAATGAGCATAGGCGATACTATGACAAGCAACTCGCCCGTTAGATGCCCTTATGATAGAATTTAGGTTATTAAGGGATATGAACACCTTTGTGAACTTAAGAAATCTGGCGGAAGAGAAACGGGTTTGATGGCATAGTATGTGTTCGTCTGTCAAACCTTGACGCAACGACGGAAAAGTCTCAGTAGCTTCCGAGGCACAGCAGAAACCCTGAAAACCCTTTTTCAAAGCTTCACGCAGAAGAAGGGTCTTTACACATTCAGAAATTGTGAGTACAAAAAAGATTCAATGTTACCAGCTGTCTTGAAATTTACACAAACTTAGAGCATCGAAGCCTACTAAGATATCTGGACATTCATTAGTGTTCTACTTGTTGTTCTATCTTTTCCATCTTGTCAGCGGCTTCCGAGGCCCGCTGCCGAACACCGCTTTCTGTATCAAGAGCCTCGCCGCACTCACGAAAACGTTTCTTCCAGAAGTCCCATCGCTCCTTGTTTACGCCTTTAGGGCCAGTATACAGGGGTCCGCCTTCGAATGCTAACTCCGAGAACTTTGGGTCATCCAGCCTCTGGAAGATATTCTCTCCAGCTCGTATGATATACTCCGAGGCTGCTTGAAGATCCCAATCCATGCACGGCTCCTGCTCGAGAGTATATTGCAGGGTTTCAGTAGGTCGTGTGCTGCTTAAACCTAATGGTAACAGTCTAGCCGCGAATGAGTTAGTGCGGATAGAAGCATCTTGGTCATACGGCCTGATAGAAGGATCATTGTAATAGTGACCTAGAGAGTGTAAATTTATTTGAGCAAAATGATTCAAGCACACCCTGCTAACTTGATCGACTTACCAGTGAATCTTTCAAGCAACTCCATCTCTAGTACTGGAAGTTCTGACCAGAGTTGTTTTTCTTGCTAGTTTGCCGTCAGCTATTGCTAGTGGCGGATCAAGTTCACCGACTGACGTTGAATGTAGTGACTTGGATGGAGGGCAGCTTTGTCAGCTCAGCGATGGTCTCGACGAGCAGATCCATTGCCGAGTGATCAACAGAGATTTGTCTTGCCATGTCTAAGACTAAACTCCAGAATGCTTGCAAGAAGCCGCCGGCATCATCCAGAGATTCACGAGCTAACGTGTCAATCTCACGTGCGGCCCAGGCGGGTGTCTGTGGGCCGTCAGGCTGGACGCTGCTGTTCAATACATGGAAAAGCTTTAGCAGCTCGGAGTCGCTCTCCTCTACATCGAGGCCTAGGGACTGTAGCGAATACTCCCATACAGCAGCCCTGGCGGGTGCACCGAACTGAATTGTTGCTTAGTGGGGCTATGTAGATCATACGACAGTACAGACGAGACGGGCTGGATGCCCAGACCTGCAGTCGCAGATGATTGGCCTTGTGATGTCAGTGTCCCCGCGCTCGTTGTATGCGCGTTATGGTACACGATTATGGTAGCCCGTTGAAGGAGCAATATAACATCCGGGCCAGGTTCCGAATATTGACAAGAAGAGACATGCACGGCTTTGAATTCGCTCCTCCTAGCATCGGGAATTAAGCGTATAGCGAAATATTTCCCAAACATTTTCCCAATTATGGCTCCCAAGAGAGTCCTATGCGGCTATGGCGTAGATCTAGACGCAGTAGCCAACTGGGTTAATAATCACCCCAGCATTTGCCCTCCCATCAGAGTCTTTCATTAACAAGTTGCAGATCAACACTTGCGACGGGTCAAAGCAGAACCCGACCAACGTGTCGCGCGGCGTCTTCGGCGCCACGGTGGGCGTGGACCGGCTGCTGAAGCTGTTCGCCAAGTACGAGATCAAGGCGACGTGGTTCACGCCGGCGCACACGATCGAGTCGTTCCCGGCGCAGGTGGGCCGGATCCGCGACGCCGGCCACGAGCTGGGCCTGCACGGGTACACGCACGAGTACCCGGCCCAGCTGACCGCGGCGCAGCAGCGCGACGTGCTGGCCAAGTCCATCGCCGTGCTGACCGACTTCTGCGGCGGCGCCCGGCCCCGCGGCTACACGGCCCCGGCCTGGGCCACCAGTAAGGAGCTGATCCCGCAGCTGGAGGAGTTCGGCGTCGTCTACGACCACTCGTTCATGCACCACGATGTTCAGATGCACGTGAGTAACTATAGGAGACGCTTGTCACTCCACCCTACCCCCTCCAGGACCTCTAGGTCTTGAATACCATGTGCTCCCCGAAGTATCTGAGTCAGGATATGCTTTCTAACTGTCAACGCTACCGCAGTGGGCGCCCGACACGTCGGCGAGCGACTGGGTCGAGACCAACCACGCACACGACGCGGCGTCGTGGATGCGGCCCATGAGCAAGCTGAAGCCGTCCAAGATCGTCGAGATCCCGGCCAACTGGCACCTGGACGACTGGCCGCCGTTCCAGCCGGTGCTGGGCAAGCCGAGCCACGGCTACGTCGACACGGACGTTGTCTTCCGGCTGTGGAAGCAGCAGTTCGACTTTGCGTACCGCGAGTACGACCAATTCGTCTTCCCCATCTCGATCCGTGAGTGCGACGCGGTTCTGCTTGCCCGTTCCCAAGAAGGCCTTTGCGTCCTTTCTCATTGGCGGTTGTGTCGCTGACCCAGTGATTTAACCAGATCCCCAAGTTAGTGGGAAGCCACACATCATTCTCTTGCATGAGCGCATCATTGAGTATATCAATGGGTTTGAGGGCGTAGAATGGATGCCAATGGCAGACATGGCGCAGGAATTCCTCGACGGTAAAATTCCTGGGGCTTCGATCGAAGGTGGTGTCGACCTTTGAGGGGATCGTCGAAAGCGACAGCTCTAATTAGCCGTCGAATACATACAGACTCTATACTGTACTCGCATGCAATATTGTCGGTCACCTGACCATGCTATGGAGCAGAGAGACTCATCATGGTTCGAGCGGAAGGAAGAAGAATGGACGTCGTGAAAGGTGATGGATTAATTTTCTTTTGCCTCATCGATGGTATCCCAGTCTTGCCAGTTATCTATTTTAGACTGGCATAGCTGCCAAGCTACCTACCATGCTGTCTCTACCTCAAGTGATGCCAACGCCGAAACACCAATGCACAAGACTACTAGCACCTAGTTTACAGCTCAATCATCCTCGTACCTCGGACCGCTGGCGGCCGGGGTCTCAGCGCTCCATGCCCCAGGAGTCGGTGCGTTGACGGCATATGCAAACGAGCCACTTGCAGCCGGAGTAGGAGCTCCTCCAGCAGGGGTTGGGGCATCTGCTGCACCCCAGCCACCTTGCCAGCCGGCTCCGGGGGTTGGCGCATTCATAGCTCCAGGGGTAGGCGCGTTGTAGGCACCTGGTGTAGGAGCGTTCATTGCGCCAGGGGTCGGCGCACCAAGAAGGGCACCAGGAGTAGGAGCATCGTACGCGCCGGAAGAACCAGACGCTCCCGGCGTATAGCCCCAAGTATCACCACCACCACTTGCACCAGGCGTAGGAGCAGCGGCACCATACGGCGTCTTGGACCCTGAAGACCATGGGTCCGAAGCACCACTGCCACCGTAGGCTGGGGTTTTTGAGCCATGACTGAAGGAGTCCGGGGCAGGTGTCTTCGAGCCCGAGTTCCAAGCAGGCGTGCGCGATCCAGATCCACCGTATGCCGTTCGGCTACCATCGTATGGGTTGACCGTTCGTGATCCATCAGCACCTGCCCAAGCGGGCGTTCGACCGCCAAAGTCACCGCCTCCTTTGCTCCAAGCTGGAGTGCGGCCACCATTGCCAGCACCCGATGGCGTCTTCCATGCAGGCGTACGGTTAGACATGGAGGATGCCATAGGAGTCCGCGATCCGCCGTTCCAGTCTGGCACGGTGCGGCCTTCACCTGGTCGTCCAGGGGCACCCATGCCTGGGGGTCGACGACTGTCGTAATTCTTGAGCTCACGACCGGTGATGGCATCTTTAACGATCAGATCGCCCTTGAGCACGTTGACAACCTTGCTCTTGGTGTGAAGCTCTACCCGGGCGTGAGTGTCGGAGGTCTCCTTGACGCGGCCGAGCAAGCCCTTGTAGCCACCTTTTCTGATCGTAACAGTTTGTCCGACGAGGCGGTCGCGGCCGATGATCGGCTTAGGGGGCGGCGCCATGCCTGCACCGCCCTTGGGACCCATAGAAAGTGCTGGGTTCATCTTTGTCAAATCCGGGCCCGAGGAGTGTTGGCTTCGGCCACCCTTTGCGGAGATGGTCGACACATTGCTGACCTTGGAAACGAAGATACCAGCATTCTCGTTGGTTGTGTTCGTATGGCAAAAGACCCATGTGCGGTGAATGTGGACAATCTTTCCTTGGCGTCCCATACCACCATACTCCTTAACAACATCATCCAGGCGAATCTCGGATCCATTGCGGTCTGCAGCCACAGCCAACTTGCGTCTCGGCAACTTATTGGCGATCTGGGACGGCATGACCTGTCGCGTATCACCATTCTGGTCGAGGACGACCATGGACTCTCGGTCAATCTTGACAATGCAAGCAACAGTTGTTGGGTCCAACTGGATGAGGTCCAGCATCTCATACTGGCCGAGCGAGCCCTGACCTCCGATGTCGCTAGCTTCTCGGAGATCTTTGCTGAAGACAGTGATCTCGGTAGTCGACTGGTCGGTCAAGAGGGTCACTCTATCCTCGGATATCTTGACAACCATACCGACCTCGTCGCGATATCGACTGCCTCCAATGACCTTGACGTGGTCGCCAGGACGGAAACGCTTCCGCAGGCCCTTTGTTGGTACCTCGATTGTCTGTCCTGCCAGGTCGCCTTCAGTAACATCCAAAGTGACAATGTCACCCTGAACGTTGGTGGCCCTTCCAACGACTCCTCTTTGCTCGCCATCGTACACCTCAATGACATCACCGGGGAGGTAAGTGACGCTCGCGGAACTGTCCTTCAGACTCGCGGCCAGTGATTTGAGGTCAATGTTCTCAACACCGTCCTCACCACCAGACGCAAACTTGGTGACCTCCTCGAGTGACGGGTTGACATCCTTGACGGTCAATAATTGAATCTTGATATCCTTGACCTGGAATCCGTTCTCAAACTCGTCGCCATTGTAGATCCAGGTGTTGGATGTAGGATTGCCACTGATGGCTCGTGGGTTCTTCTTCCGCGCCTCAACTTCGCTGAAGAGCTTCTGGGGAGGGCGGGGTCCGACGAGCGGACGCTTCCGCTTTCCGTCGGGTGTCATGGCAGCGAGCGGGTCGTCACGCATGCCGTAGTCGAGTCGGGGAATGAAGCGAACTCTTGCCTCGAGGCCGCTCTGGGTAATATCCAGGACCTGGGCGAGATCGCCGGCGTGCTTGGGCGGTCGCTTCAATCTGACCCAGGAGCCAGGCTCCAAGGTGGGCGTCTTCTGGACACGCAGTAGATCGGGCATCTCCTTGATGTCGACGAGCAAGAGCTTGGTCCGGGGGTAGACATTGAGCATGCCGTCCAGGGCGGAAAGAACATCGTTCTGGCGCTGGGCCTCGACGTAGATGAGACCCTTCATGACCGAGTTTGGGCCACCGCGCTCGAAGGCAGCTGTGATTCCGAGCTCGTCCTTGGTGCCCATCCTCTCGTCTACTCGCTTCATGATGGAGAAGACGACCTCGCGCTCCTTGCCTTCCTTGCAGCGCACGCCCCAGATGCTGGGGTCATCGACGCTGGGCAGCAGCAGGCGCTGGGGCACCACACCCGAATCGCCCATGCCCCTAGCGGGTCTCCGGGCACCGTAGCGCTTCTGGTAGATCTCTGCCTGTTTCTCGGCATCGAAGGTCTCCTCTGCGTCTCGTCTGCGGTCGAGCTCTCTGTGTCTGGTGTCGTCCTCGCGGCCAACGAGGTCCGCCTCGCCGACCTCCTCGCGGTCGATGAAGCCCTCGGCCTCCTCAGCATCTTCGTCGTCATCTTCGCCCTCTTCCTCGTCGTCGACCTCAGCTTCGATATCGATGAAGGCGTTGCGTTGGTCCCTACGGCGTTTGCGACGGTGGCCCTGGTGGGTGGCGGCGGGTTAGACGCAGCTCGGGATACGTGGCAATGGCACAGCACTGCAGGTTTGGAGGATAGCTTACTTGGATCTCTTCATCCTCGTCCTCTTCTTCGTCCTCTTCTTCTTCATCGTCGTCTTCGTCGTGAGCGTGGCCGTTCACATCTTCGCCTTCGCCTTCGTCATCCTCGCCGTCGTGGTCATCGCCGGCGGGGCTTCGGGCAGGCGATTGCCTCTTGTTCTCACGTCGCGGCGAGTCATCCTGGTCATCGTCGTCGTCGTTGCCATCGGCCTGGTCCTCGACGTCGCTGCCGACTTCAGGCGCCGGGTTGAAGTCGTCCTCGTCCTCCGAGTCGTCGCGCTGGCGCGGGTCGCTCATGGTGGCCGCTGACTGAGGCAGTGATGTGTGAGGAAGACAGCGGTGATGGCGGGGTCGATGGTGGATTGATAAGAGGGGAGAAGAGAAGGAGAGACTGGCGCGCACCGATGCTGTCGATGAACAGGCGTCAGTCAGCTTTATCCGCGACTAAATTCCTGGCTCGAAGCTCACAACGGGAACGGGAATGGGAGAGAGTCCAGGGCCAGCCTCGTGCCACTAGGCCACACACGCACTAGCCGCTCGGTGGGGGAGAAACTCGAGGCACCGATGTGGCTGGGCAGCCCAGGCACCCAAGACCCAAGCCACTGCGAGAGGCACTGAGGCCCGGTCGGTTTAGTGCAGGTGGAGAGAGGAAAACAGGGTGGGGTCCCGCTGTGGCACAAGCTGCCATTAGCGCTAGTTACCCCCGGCAGCTCCCAACCTACCTCGGTCAATATGATGATCGCAGCAAGATGGACAACGGGCCGTCAAATGTAAAGGGCACCCAAGGATCAAAATATGCCATGTAGCTGTTCTTGACTGAGTTCTTTCCACACTGGACTCCCTCAACAGGGTTGATCGGTCGAAACGTTGTAGCCTGTGCCTGCCCTTTCGCAAAATTAGAGAATCTTCACCGAGGTATCCTCCTACAATGAAGGCTGTCGTGATAGATCGCTTCGTGCAGGTCAGTCACAACTCTTGCTAGCCACATCTAGGGAAGACTACGTGTTGAATCGAGCCTGTTGGGCGCCACAGAACTATGATGAAGTGCACGTTTCCAGTGTACCGCCGCCACGCCCCAGAGGTGACGAGATCCTCATCCAGGTCAAAGCCGCTGGGGTGAATTTTGTCGATACGCTCTACGTATGTTATCGCACCCTACCAAGATTCTGGCCGACTTCCAATATCAACGCTCATCCACACTCATGCGCATTGAATGCAGGCGCGGGGTCTTCACCAGAACAATCAGAGGCACGTCAAGCCGCCGTTCACCCTCGGACTAGAATTCTCCGGCCTCGTTGTCTCCTCGCCACGGTCTTGCCCTTGGAAAGCGGGGAGCCGTGTCTTTGGCGCCGCTTCAGGCTCATACTCCGAGTATCTTGTCGTCCCAGCCTCGCAGTCTCATACTCTCCACCCTATACCAGCATCTTGGACATTTGCCCAGGCAGCTTGCCTCGGCGCTACTATCCCTGTATCCTACGGTGCCCTAAGTCAACGCGGCGGACTACGAAGCGGCGAAACGGTCCTCGTCCACTCTGCTGCAGGAGGTCTAGGCCTTGCTGCTGTTCAGCTAGCTGTTGCTCTGGGATGTCGCGTCATTGGAACAGCAGGGTCCGATGCCAAATGCCGAACAGTCGAACGCTTCGGCGCAGAACGATGCCTCAACTATTCCACCTCGTCAAAATGGTCCGATGAGGTTCTCAAGTTCACAGGTGGGAAAGGTGTAGATGTCGTATTTGACCCTGTTGGGCTTGTCGCCGATAGCCTGCGATGCCTGGCACACCGAGGGCGCGTTCTAGTCGTGGGATTTGCCGGACGGGAAGGAAATATGGAAGGAGTCAAGATGAACCGCGTTCTGCTGAAACAGGCAACACTGATTGGCTATGTGAGTAAAGGCTTTACTAGCTGGTTTTCACTCTGCTGATAACGTACGCAGCGATTCGGCGAATCAGACCGTCGGGACCCTACAGAAACTGCCAAAATATGGGAGGAGCTATGGCCGCTCGTTACAGATGGCAAGATCAAACCAACCGTCTACGATCAAGACTATCTAGGGTTAGAGAGCGTTCCCAAGGCGCTGGGCGATATCGCATCGCGGAAAACATGGGGCAAAGCCGTGATCAAGGTAAGCGGGCAAGAAGGGGAAGATTTCCGTCAAGCCAAATTATAAGATATGCGTCGACGTCACATCTTGGATGCCAATAAGTAATACAGCTACCTCTACCGGCGTCTACTTTCTTCATAGCTGCACTCCCCCTAAAGACTTTGCCATAGGACAGGATCACTGTCCACTAAATTTGAATTCACGAGCAACACTATCCCCGAGCTAATCTACAACGCACACGTACACAGCACTTGACAATTACGACCCGAGCCACGACTATGATATTCAGATTTTCTGGGGCTGAATGCATAGGAGTGGTTGGGGCACTAGGCTTTGGTTATCGATTCACGACTGACGCGCGCCTCCCCTATATCGCATCTTTGAACAGCGCCCTCCACCGTAGATAATTGATTCACGTAGTAGCATTGCTAGCAACAACCGGAGAAGGTGTGGCCGGCTGATACTCAAGTACTGTTTCGAGTAAATGCTTACTAGAATGAATCACGTGTCCGCCTTCGAATGTCTGACGGGTTGTCTTGAGGCCGTTCTCTAAAGCTGCTCTAAGCCTTCTCAGGTAATTTGCCCTTCAACTTGTTCATCCGGCTCTCTCCCAGGGTTGCTGACATCAGGTCAGCTGGGAGGACCTTGCTGGTTGATATCTTTGTCAGGTATTACTGGATACGAATGGGAAATGGCCGAAGCAACAATCCAACTACCATGGGAAACCGCCCATTTTGGCAGAATCTTGTTGGGCACGTGAGAAATTGATCAGCGAGCGTTTGCATCACGAATACGAAGAGGTACAGTCTTCCGAGGCTAATGACATGTTCTCTCGGTCTCGAATCGTGGTGTAGCATCCGCAACTAACTCAAGCCCAACGCTGATGCCAGAAAACGAACAATATCGTCGAACTCCTCTGGCTCCTTGAGCCAATGCCCCTCCTGCTCCGCGCCGGAATACTCTTGCCAATCAACCTTCAGCCCGATCCTTTTCAGTATGTGTGCCGCCTGCCGCCCCAGCTCGATGTCCACATAAGCATCGTCTACACCATGGCCAAGAAACACCGGAATGGAAAGCAAGGGAGGCTCCGACGATCCTCGTTCTGTCAACGTATGTTTCGTCCGAGCTGTCATACTCTGGACGAACGCGTCTGCCACTGCGTTGATACTGGCGCCATCGCTAGGGGCGATGTCTAGGTTCCCGCGTGCCTGACTGGGCCCAGTAAGGTACCGCTCAAGGGTCTCAGCAAAGGGAAGCCAAGTCCTTCCCGCCAGGAAACCCCCGATGCGCCTGGTTGTCGTGTCTCCGCCGGCACAGGCACAGAGCAAAGTCCACAACCCGATTGCCCCTCCTTGGCTGATACCACCTAGCACAACCCTGTCGGCTGCACCTCCCAATTTCTCGATCTCCTCATCCAGGATACTAGTCAGGTATGCCACCGACTTACGTATCCCATCCATCTGCAAGTCCTGCCTCGCCGTGATATCAGTCAGGGAATATGCCTCGAACCAAGCCGGCATGGCCTCCTCGAATACCGTGCTCCATAGCTCGCAGGAGGAAGGAAACACCCAGCGGCAAGCAGGAAGTTGATCGCGCAGCGTCTTTTCAGTAGAGAGCTTTGCTGTAAGAAGTTCTTCGGCAAACTCCTCGCCAGTACTGCCAAGGCCATGGAGGAGGATGATAGAGTGTGTGTGTCGCGACTGCGGCTCGAGAACATGGACGGATCCGAACTGGGGCATAACGGCTGAGGATGAAGGGGCTCCGGGGCCCATGGTAAATATGAATCTGCAATGTGGATATGTGATGCGATGGCAACCAGTTGGGGGTTTCTGGCCTGGGCCTAGGTTTCGGCTATGCAAGCAATAAGGTCATAGGTGACCGTTCTAGGCGGGAATGCTAATGACGAAATATGGATGTTCTAGGTTCAGAGCAGAAGTGAAGAATGATATGTTTGTTGGTCCAGGCGTTGGAACTTAACTCGGGTCCTTCAAGTTCAACGGCCACGGCCACGGCATGGCCACGCCCCCAAGCCCCACTGCGAGCTGGCTGTTAGTTAGGTTGGATGCGACAGCTGACAGTAATTGGGCGTGACAAGCAAGGACTGGCCACTAACCAACAATCCGATTGGCCATCAAATTGACCCCCAAGTTAGTCAAAACACAGGCGGCCTTCAGCGGCTACTGTTTTTAACCACGTCTGCCACCCTGCCATTCGAGGCCACGTTCGAGGCCACGTTCAGTCATCACCCAACACCATCCAGCACTCGGCCAAGGTCAAGATGGGCGACTCGCCTGTGCGGGGTTTCCAAGAAGGCCGCCTGGAGGATCTTGAGGGGCATGAAATCAAGAAGGCACATGAGTTGGCCAACACTCTCACCATCAATCGATTGGCGTCTAAATGCAGAGGCAACCCGGCCGCCGACTTGGCGCACATCTTGAAGCAGCAGGCGGGTGCGTATCCCCAGCTTCGGGGCAGCCTCGAGCGGGTTGCACGGACAAAAGCCGCGACAAGGACAAGGGACCAGGGGAGCGTGCCGACCGAAATCCAAACAAGCCGCCTGGATGCAGATGCACAGCCACAACCTGAAATAGACGACCTTCTCATAGATGAGTCTATCCAGGTTGCGCATTCGCTCAGTACGAGTATTATGGAACTTGCCGGCCTGACGAATGTGCCACCTGCGGCGGCCTCGCAGAATGTAGCCAAGCTAGCCTTAGGGGTTAACGAGGCCATCGCGAAGGGCAAGATTTTGTGGAAATTGCACGGAACCGTGGTTTTAGGCCTCAGTGCCTCTGTCGTGGTCAAGATTGGAACTTCGCTCGATCTCGACGAAGTTACGAACCTGAGCTATATCAACACCTTCATGCCCGCCATTCCAGCACCACTATGCTTGGGCTGCTTGACCTCAACAGCCAAGAAGAGGACGTATTTCTTCATGTCCCGATCGGACGGCGTCACTCTCGAAACGATATGGGCGGATCTGTCTGTGGAAAACAAGTTGTCTATTAAAAAGCAGCTCAATACTATATTCCATTCACTGCGTAACCCATCTAGACCGCACCATCTTGAACAAGATGAAGATGGGATGCCCAAGTTCGGCAGTTTTGCCTCAGCCATCTGCAAAGACATGAGAAGGCAGCAGCGCATAAGCACAACGACGATTCGGAGCGAGGCCCAGTTCAACGACTTCCTCTGTCACCAGATGGGCAGGACTGTCACCCCATGGGTCAGGATGATTAGGTCTGCGATGCAAGACGAACATCAGTTAGTCATGACGCATGCGGACTTGCATCCTAGGAATATCTTGGTGAAATTGGAGGATACAGATGAGGATAAGGAAGGGAATGGTGCCGGTTGGGAAAAGGAGAGGGAGAGGAGGGTCAGAATAAGCGCCATTCTGGACTGGGAGTTAAGTGGCTGGTATCCAGAGTACTGGGAATTCGTTAAAGCGCTCTCGACCATCAGTATTCGAGGTAAGACGGCGGACTGGCTCGAATATCTTCCAACAGAGGCCATCGGAACCTGGCCGGTGGAGCTGTCCATTGACTCCCTCCTTGACCGTTGGCTGGGATGAGGTTGTACTACTAGAGACCGGGCGGCTAACTAGGTGGTCACGTCGTGTATCCCCACTTCTTTCTTTTCCTTCAAGCTGAAACTGTCCGGGCAGGGGTTTTGAACATGTACGGCGCTTACAGCGGCACAGCCTCGCGCTTTCTCTTTGCATATGCAGGCCATATCGTCTTTCTCTCCTGTTTCTGTTCAAACTGGAGACTAAGTGTTATATTTAAGGCCTCGGCATGGACCATAACACAATGAATAAATCAAACTGCTCCTTACCCTTTCGCCAGACATCGCCCGGATCAGATACCGTCTATTACTAAACTTATTGTTCATATACGAGTTGTTTGACGTGCCCTTCTGTAGCTGTCATCTAGGTCTTGTTGGTATACTTGTGACGGCATATCTTTAATTACCATCTGATTGTTCGGTGTTATGCCTACCACCGTCTACATCGCTATCTACCAAATCTCGGACAAGCGGGATCCAAACCACTGGGCACTCTTTCTTCACAACAGCCAAAGTGGCGATATAATTCTCCAAGTCAGCGATGACAAGGGAGGCGTCGGCTATTATGTTGAAACACCTATCTACAACAAGCAGCCTCAACGTTCAGGACGGCATGAAACATCCATCGAAGTGGGCACTATCAACTCTGACGACCATGATAGCGCAATTGCCGCACTTCAGGCTACACCAGTAGATAACGACAGTACCACCTGGAACTGCTAATCATGGGTCATGGAAGCGCTGGAGGCTCTGGAGGAAACAGACATGTTCCGTTGGAATCAAGCCGGGAAAGCGGAAGCTCTAAGCAGAAGACAGCACTGGCAATAGCTAGATTATGGGATTGCGGTATCCCATGGAGTATAATCAGATTTAAAGTGATTCGTGTTGGGGGAATAAACAGATAGGTGCTTAAGGTCACGGGTTGGAAAGTTTTTGTTTGCTTTGAATGGGCACTATCAATATAGCTAGAGAGCGAGAATTTACCCAATCATTCTCTGAGTTCCACACCGCCCTCCCCTTGATCTAGTACAACTGAAGTGTGCCCTGTTCCGGTGAGCTTTAGAAAAATTTGAGCCTACTCTGGTGGTATTTTACGCTTCCGCTTGTGGTGGCCAAGAAATTGAACTTCGGAACGGCATTGCCCTTTTCTCTAGGTGGTGTTGCGCCCCCGACCCGGTACAGTTGATGAAAAGCTGGGTGCATCAAATAGGGGTTCAGTTCACTAGCGAGCATTGGTCATAGTTACAGGGTCAATATATGTAGTGGCCCATGTTGCTGGATAAATGCGATCGGATGTACGGTAATGGAATCTTCACTTCCTAAATTACATTCGTTTTAGAACTTGTTTGTTGAGTCGTTACTCTACTTGTCGTAGACTTTACGAAGTGACTCTGATTATGGATTTGTATAGCCGCCGGCGTAAGGGGCCTGGAGGTTTCTTAAAGTAATGGTTGTGTGTAAATTTAGTTTTTCTCAAAGTCGCATTCATCTTTCATAACGTGTCCATAAAGACGAAAGGTCATGGTGGGTCTAAGTTTCGATCAAGATTTGCTATCACCATCGAACATCCGTCAGCAGTCACATCAATCATTCATTCGCAAATACAACGGTTCAAGATGCTCTATAGACCTTCTTCTGTATCGTGCATGGGAGTATTCGCGTCACTTTTACTCGTCTCCTGCCTTTGCTGTGGTCCTTATGTAAGTCCACCGGAGGCTCCGTCCCAGGTTCGAGGTACTAGAAGCCTCGGAGGTGTCGTGAAGGATGTTGAATCACAGCGTGGGGATTCTGCATTTGACTTACGCCCTCGATCTATCGATATTTTAACATCAACATCAAATGACGGTCCTAATGGTTTGTATCGAGTCACAAATCGGCATTTCCAATCTTGCTGACCTGAGAGCCCTTGGACCTCGACACTAGCTGGTAATGGTCTGGTGAGCGCTACCAAAAGGTGAAGCACATCCTGAAATGGGGCCGCAGGCCATCTTGGGCCGTTATAGGTGGCATATCCTGGATTGGCGCCTTCGCTCGTTGTAGAAAACTGTTATGTGGTAATGGGAACAAGCTCAGAACTGGCGAAGTATCAACACGTTCGCCACTACCCCGCAGAAAAGGGCCTTATTAAGTAGCCAGGAGCCTCTGCGAGCTCGCAGAGGCCCCTCGGCAGGCTTGAGTTGTATTGTAATCTTCAATAAAAGTTATCACCTCTTTCACTCTGAAACCAATCCCTCACAGCTGTTCTGACAGTGATAGTCCCATTCTTTTGACCAAGAACACTGAAGTGGACATCGAATCCACCTTTGCTAGTTCCGAAGACGTGGTAAGCTGCGGCATCACTATCGCCAGCATTGCGTTTCTCGACCGTTGCTGGATCATTCCATGTACCTAGATGTCTGACTTTTACTAATTGCTTGAATTGCACTATTCAGAGCCGGCTTTGGTACACGAGGTTGGACTTGGTAAGTGATCCTTGTTAGGCAAAAAGACTAATTGCGCATTGGATCTCCGTGAAGCTCAGCTGGCATCAACGAGCTGTCGAGCTCTGCAGCGCTGCGAGTTCCATGCGCTTTATCATGTCTTGTGACGGCGCACACACTCCCCGGCCTGTGCGAAAGAACTCCATTAGAAATCTCACTCCCTGCCAATTCAGGCTTCTCAAAGACAGCCCCTGTTGGAGCTTCCCCTGACAACTCAGCCTTGACGAACGGGCGATGGGGGGCACTGGCACCATTATAACGCGAGAATTGATTCTCAGGCTCCTCAAAACCTTCTGCCGTTATATCTTGCGTATTTTTCGCTTTCCGTCTCTTCGAGATGAACAGGTATACAGACACCCCGATCACAAGAGCAAGAGCCGCAAGCGCACCAATGACTATTCCGGCAATGGATCCACCACTCAACCCTGACGCACTTGTTGTCTGAGAGGATGAAGATGTGGTAGCCTGTATTATGCTGCTGGTAGTCGAGGATGCTAGCCCCAGGGCTGCCAAGTCCGTGGACTGATATCGAACCTGCACTCCGATGGCATTCAGGATTGGCAACGTGATGGTCACCCTCCCGGATACGTCGGTCGAACTATCGGATAGGCGCGGGAGAGCGCTCACGATGTTTGACCCGAGGATCGCAACATCTGTAGTGGCTGTACACTGCATTGAAACTATTAGCAGTTGGTAGATATCTTGAGAGATTCGGAGTCCTGAAGTGAAAGGTGACAGACATATCACGACTCAATGATATTACAATCCGGCGTGCATTTGTCTTGAATTTCACTTACCAAGTCCGCAGGTCCCCAGTCCGTCCCCACAAAGCCTCGAAAGCAACTGCATGAAAATAGACTGCGCGACAGACATCAGATAGGCACTTTACCAGTGCATCCAGGGCTCCACGATACACCGGGTCAGTCACCGGGTGGGGTGTGGTACTCACGTTGGACAGCATGTTACCACTGTTTCGACGCCATCTCCTCGGCTAAGTGCGCTTGTCTCGATACAAGCCGCGGTGTATGCGTGTGGGCAAAGCCCAGGCGAGAAATATTCCGTGGAGCCTGGGATTTTGCTGGACGGAAAGCATGTTGAGGTTCTTGGGCCGGCCGTTAGGAAGTATGAGGAGCCGGAATTGGCTCGGAGGATCCCATACGCCCCATCCGTACAATCCGGCGGCGGCGTGAACGTGGCCGTCAAAGAGCCAATAGACATCGCAGTTGAATTCGTTAGAAACGGCACCGGCAGCTCGAAATACAAGTGGAATCGTGACAATGCCTTACGTGCCGAGACGAACTTCTGACGTGACGGAGTGAACAAGATGGAGAGCGCTCAGCGACAAGAGGTCTATCAACACTACTACTGAAACTAGACCTGCATGTAAGCAAGGCTGAAAGCCGAGGCAGTACATTCTGGTCATTCAGCAACATGCGATTGGAGGAACCAATATGGCGGTTGCTTCTTTTCTGCCCATAATGGCGTAAAGGCTACCCTAGTCATGCGGCCGACGGACCTAAGCCTTTGGTAGGACTACTACTATTGTCATACCTTCCATAGTGAGTGTTGATCTCCAGGCTAGTGCTTACTAGCGTGTAGGCCCGTTCGTAGATTAAGGATTCGGCAAACTGACCAATGAAATTGATCTATTTTCTACGGTTTCCCGCCCGTCGTCGGAATATAGTTGAATCTTAAATCAGAACTTTAGTCGATGGCTTTGATACAAAACAGTCTGCGCTCTGTTAGCCATGCACTGCTGCCCTGGTTCATGATGGGAACCAAGAACATGATTAGTCGATTCTAAACGACAAAGCTTGTGCCAAGAGCCATCATTTGTTTACACTTGTCCGGTTTTTCCGACAGCCAATTCTAGCCTGGGATCGGCATCGCACAATGAGGAACAATGGGCTCGCCATCGGCATTACAATTGAGGCCAAGCCGAGACTCGCGGTATACCTAGACTCAAAAAGTCTCTTAAACACATACTCATTCTTGAAATATCATTCGAATTTTCGAAAATCCTTATTAAAGCTAAGGCTAACACTTAATATAAGGAATGTATATGATACGTTTGGTAAAGGGGGTATACACATAGATAGCTGCGCCAGCTGGCTTTGAGATGTCAGCTGGTGGCAGCAAGAAAAGTGGTAAGCGAGCCCAGGTGTGCAATTTGGTTCGCCAGTGAAGCATGGCTGTGATTTATCAAGGATATCGCATGGTCGACGTTGGTCTTCAGTTCGTTCTGATTAGCTCTCAATTCAGTGACATAATGGTGGGCTGACGATTGCTCAGTGTCCGGATTAGCATTTGAAGAAGACAGCATGTTGCGAATATCAATTTTGAGTTCATCGAGGTGCTGCAACGTAGATTTTGGGCGGTCGTCAACAGATTGCCAAATCTTAGGCGGACTCCGCCCATCCAAGATCCTGGAGCTCAAATGCAGCTGAATCTCGCTCCTGAGATAGTCTAGTTACTCACTCATCTCTTGTAGTTCCCTCCTGTTCCACAGACATTTGACTGCGTTTCTTGACCGACAGAGTAACGAGGCAGGCTGGTTAGAGTAAATACCACATGGTTCGAACCGTCGAAGAAGCTCTCTTGCAAGCAAGCAGCAACTCTCCGCTACTGGTCGAAGAGCCTCCAAGAAATAATAATGCAACAGTAGAAATTTGGAAGCCTACCCCGTCGTCATGCTGCGCCACGCGATGGCGCGTTCCTCCTCTGCGGTAACACACCACCGTGCGACAGCGACGGCCTGCAAAGAGTATATTAAAGGTCCGATATCCGGGTCATCATGACTTACTTTCTCTTCTGCAATCTGCCCGCTACCTTGCTCAAGAGCCTGGGCTCAAGCGCCAATATTCTGAGCCAGCTCGGCCAGATGTGTCGCAATGGCCGCATGATGCCGGTTCTCAGCCGAGGCCGCGCCATGCCGTATTTCATTTGATATCCGTTGGAGCTTGGTTGCAAAGTCCACGAACTGCACGACGTTTGAGACAATGCCAACAGCAACGAGGGCCTCCATTGCGGATGCCTTGCATCAATTTTTGAGGCTCTTAGTGCTTGCCGTTTTTAAGAGAGGGGAAGGTGAGCTTTCTGGTGCTGAATTGGGGGTTTGCACTGATTTTGCCCAACACAGCCCCCAGCCTGCATCATGTAAATGGCTAACGCAGAGCAAACGACCTGTTGGCTAATAATTCAACCTGTACTTTATACTTTTCAAAATAGCATTTCTACATAATTTAAGAACATTTGACAAAACGCTTAATTAAATGAAATAGCTAACGGCATGGCCTAGCTACCTCCGTGCTCAGGGCAGCGGGCTACCTGCTAAGTTATTCGGGGGCGCAGTCCCAACGATCATAAGCGAGCACGGATGATATGATCCTCTGGAGCCAACATAAGCGCCAAGGTCAAGTGGCCAATAGCAGCAGCGAGCATCAAATATGCTACCCCACAGCACCAAACTCTATGGAGGTAGTGGTATTTGGTGTGCACGGATCACCTACACTAGTATACAGAAGCATCACCATAAATTGTGCTCCTGCCTCCGGGCTATCGCTAACTGAGCCTGGCTTGTTCGTATGTGCATCAAAGATCACATGGCTATTCGTCTTTTCAAGCCTTAGAGTGCCCATAATTGTTCTTGCTTAGAGTGTGCGACGGCTTCACTAGTGCTAAGAATTGTAGGATTCAAATCCATGTAAAACTTCAGCCGCATCACTGTCTCCTTGAGAAGTATGATAGACAGAGGGAAGCAGACAATCCCTGTTCACTCCTGACTCTTGCATCATGCAATGTGACCCCAGCAAAGCATGCCTATTGCCTGATCCAGAAGGCACCCTTTCCAATGCGATATTTCCCGCCTCCCAACTTTCCCCAGCCTTGCCATTCGACAGATATTGTTACAAGCATACTGCTATTGATTTCTTTTCCACGTTTATTTTCTTCCTTTCGGTGTCTCTTAAGGTTTCGAGGTCACTGCATCGACAATCATGGCTGCAACAAACGGTGAGCCCGAGGTCCGGGACGTCCTGCTGAGTCTTGTTTTTGCTTCACGAAACACTAGAAGCCTGACGGACATTGACAAGTGCTTGGGATTGAATGGGAACCATGAGCCGTGTGGTAACCCTAACGGCAAAGAACGCAAAGCTAGAGCCACTGCGGAATACAATTTACTCCTCGGCAAGCAGGTCCCCCTGGATGAAGAGGCGGTCGTATCGATTGAGACGTTCCTGAATGCTACACATTGTCGTTACCACGTTGGTAAACCTCTTGCCCGACTCAGGCAATGGATGCTCAACGAACGTGTAGACGATATTGCAGCCTGCTCAGGTGAAGGGACTGACTACGAGATCCCGTCTGCTTCTCAGAATCACACAACTACCTCTGTGGACAAGAAACCTGGTTCTCCAGGTAGCAAAACGAACCAACAAGTATTGCCGGTCGATCTGGATTCACACGTTGACCAATACTCAGAGGGCGAGGCCGTATCTGAATATTTCTCCGACCTTACTATTTCACCTGGTCAAGAGTCAAACATTAGTTTCAATTCTGCCAGCCCTGCGAGCACCACCTTGACGACACCTGATACGACGCCTATCAGCCTCCGTGACTTACCGATCCTGGACCAACCCGGTAGTCGCCCCGAAACACCGTGCCCCATGCCGAAATCGAAAGACGTTATCATCACGGAGCAAGATTTAGAACAAGATGATGAAGCGAAAGAGTTTCTGGTCCAGGAAGACAGGAAGGGTGTTGAAATGCGCGATAACATGATACGCCGTATCAAGACCCAGAAGAGAGGCAAACTTCCGTTGCTGATTGGTATTATGCATGACTGGACACCACTGGACCATGAAGTGGGGCTTGTCTATGTGTACAAGCACGACAAGCAAGCAGGATTGATCAAGATCGGTTGGACCAGACACAGTTCGACTCAACGGTATTCTCAAAGCGGAAACTGCTACGCTGTGAACTCGAAACCATACTGGGAGAGCCCCACGTCCTTTGTTGGGGCCTATCGAGTGGAGCAGTTGACACAAAAACAGTTGCAAGAGTGGAATGTGGACAAGGATGGCTGTGCCAATTGCAAGAAACGTCATCGAGAATGGTTCCGTTACGATGCAGATGAGGCGACAAAACTGATCCAGGTGTGGACGGAGTTCGTAACAGGCGACTATTACGATCGTGGTTCAGACTCTGATGGTAAGAAATTCGGTTGGTTGAGCCAGACAGGTCGCGAGTTCATGGACCGTCTTTGCAACGTGAATCCAGACACGATCATTCAGCACATGCAAGCAGAAAGCATCGGCGCATCGGTGGTTGGACAGAGAGGGCGTGACAATGAATCGGCAACAAGGCAAACCACATCTGAGCCTGAACCGGTCTCGAGACAAGACATTATTGTCGAGTCTATACCTGAGAATGATGAGTCCCGTGACGAGATTTGTGGGGAAAGTGCTGCCTTCCTATCCCAAGAAAAGACAAAAAGGCAGGGGAAAACGTGGCACATCAAGCAAGCAGCCAAAACCAGATTACATAGCGCGATGGATGCCGTTCCCGAATCATTGCGCCGGGGGCTGGCCTCAACTATGGACCGCTTCCGTGAGTCTAATCAGAAGTCTCCTCCCCAACTCCCTCCTGGAAGTGAAGAGACAATGCAGAGTTTCTATGCTAGGTACTACGCAAATGAGATCCGGGAGCTGGAGGAGCTTTTGTCGCGGAATGTACAGGGAAGGAGGTCTAAACCAAGCGTTTGGCCACAATGGCTCAAACGTCGTTGAGTTTACCACACGAGAAATCTCAACTTTCCGTTCAGCATTTCTCGTGGTCATGACTATAGAGGTATAGGTTGAGGTTGTAAAATTTGTCTTTGCAGGTCAAGTAGCAAGCGCGAATAGCATCTTATTTTGTTTCAACAATTGCAGAACGTCGTTGCAACATGAAAGCTTGCGATAAATCAGGTTATACCCTGAAGGAGTGGAAGTATCGTTTTCACAGAGAAGCCCCCCCGTCCGAGTCCGACTCTTCGTGTTTTGCCGTATCGGTACCTGCGCCAGCTGCTGGGTATTGATCATTAGAAGCGACCCATGGATAAGCCTCTGTCTCAGTTTCGCTTGAACTAGTAGCGCCTGTCACTGGTCAGTATCTTTGCTATTGCCAGATCTCGTGGAAGAACCTTTGTCGGTGAAACGGCCTGCACGAAGACCCTTCGCAGCCGTCGTGGTTTCGTGTACGGACTGATTCTCTTCGCTGTGCATCGAGCTTGTGATCCCTGTACGGGTATCCTCGTGCCAGGTATGCGGCCCCCGTCGGTCTTGTATCTGGTTGAGGATATCCTTTCGTATTTCATGTATGATCTTCTGCAGAATTTCCCTCTGTTGAACGAAGCCGGGATCGTTTGCGCCCATTTCCAGCGAGATCGGTCCCCAGGCTAGCCATATTTTGCGGTGTGATTGTAACTCAATAGGTCTTGCTGGATGGTAGCGAAAGTATAGTTGACAGCAAAAACACGCTGATTTGCTGCATCCAACAAACTTGTTTCCGTAGGCCCACTTTAGTCCCTGGCTGTAGAAAAAATCCAGCACCTGTATCTCTGCGTGTACACGTGGAACGATAGGGTCTTCCTGGCTTTTAAGGATTCTTTGAAGCATGCCGTACCTCTCGAATTCAATTTTCAGCTCGGGAAGCCATGGGTCTGTTTGATCGTGAACCATTCGATTACATATACCATTCAGAGTAGTGAGATTATCCACCGGGGGTGGAATAGCGCACTTCGAAACTGGGATCGATTCAACGCGGATATGGAAGCTGACGAGCTCTTCTACCAGAGGTAGTTCTTCAATAAGACGCATGACGACGCGGGGATAATGGCTGAGGCGACCAATATAATGCTTGACTCGTAAGAATGGTGACTTTCGATCCTCCGGGGATCTATAGTATGTGGGTTCCCGGGCCATAAGCTCGAGCTGTTTCACCTCATGTGCTTTTCGAAGTTCATATGCCAACTTGCATAGTGCAACATGTTCTGAGACTTGTTGAAATCCTTGAAGCCATTCTGCTAAACCAGGATTCTGCACTCGGCTGAGACACTCAGAGATGTTTCGAAGGAGCAGGCCTCTCAGCTGCTGCACCTGATGAGAAGCAGCTCCTGCCTTGCTTCTCGCCCGTCAGGAGGTATATGAGATATTCCTCTCAGGTCATCAAGGACTGATTTCAGGAAGGGCGCGATTTTCTTCTTCGGATCACTATTCGCGGCGACCCAATATATGAAGGACCCGTCAAAATCTTGCAGTCCCAAGCCGGTGCAGGCATTGCCGCCCTTTTCGTATTCGCATAGGAATGCAAGGTCAGTCAGGAAGCCTTTCGAACCTTTTTCTCGTTTCTCCCGCGTGTGGTCACCACGAACCGGGTCATACGCATGTAAGATGGTCAGATTCTCGTAAAACCGACTGAGAAGCGCGCTGTACTTATCGAGGCGCGGTGGTCCGATCGGCGCGCACCCAGCAGGCTTTGGTGTCGGCGCACTATCAGTTCGGGATCTTCTGCTTCGTTTACGAGCCATTGAATATTCTGGCGACAATGAGAGTCCGGCTTCGGCAAAATTGTTCGGAGAATCTCGACCGAATGGTGACCCGTGGGCAGTGCTGAAGTTGGGCTGCCTTAACTTCGCTGGAATGCCAGAAACTGTCAAAAGAATTTCAAGAGATGCGTCTCCACCCGAAGATTCACGACAGTATTTCTAAAAGTTACTACAGATCCTCTTTCTTTTCCAGATACTTGCTTGGCTCATGTTCGCGGACTCCTGATGAAGCAGGCTATGCATGCCGGAGGCCCACGGCTTACAGGGATGTTATGTACAAGTAGTTGGCTTTTATCATCGATGCCGAAAAATTGGCACGAAAAAGCATCATTAGCGACGAATTGAGACATGCTTCGATGCCCAAACATTTCTGATACGCTAGATCTTTCGGTGAGAATGCAGCTGGTCTCCTGTTGGCTGTCATGTGGGTTGCAGCCCAGGTGCAGGAGGCCCGAAAGTGAGCCACACTAGTGGTTAGTCCTAGCGAGCCTCGCAAATAGCCAATCTGGAGCTTCACCATTGCTGGTTACGATTGGAGAACCAATGAGGAAGGGTTAGGCAAGCCGCACTATCGGCTGTTGTCTTCCACTCATTTCTACTGCCAATTTGCATTTGTACGGGTGCATTAACGTGTCCGTAGCCAATCTATATCTACCCCCAATCAGCTCCATTTTCTCCCCTTCGAAGTAAACGAGCCACAGACAGCCCGTGACTGCAGTCATTCACTGTCTTGTGAGGTAACCAGCTCGTATTTCTGCTCTGCTTCCATCGTGTTCAGTCCCAAGTACCCTCAAGAGCTGCCTCCATCTCAGGGATCGGGGGATCTGAAGATCCGATGTCTGAACAATGCCTGTTATCCCAAACTTCTGGCTATTATTCTTCCGGCCTCCTAGCGAACCCTGGCAGTAGGTATACCATACACGTTCACTGTTCAAGAGTTGATTATGTATTAGCAGACATGGGCAAACACTTTACATCACCTGTCGCACCACAAGGGTACTTTGATGGTAACTTCATAGACCCTGCGTTGTTGCCGCGGAGTGGGTCGAGTTCAGTCCCATAGGCTTCGAACTCCTCATTCCACAGTCAGTTTGACTCGATCGACAGTCCGCAACCTCTCAGCATAGTTAGTGGAGAGATGAGCAGCGGATATCAACATACGTACCAGAGCACACCAACCCTAGATTCAACAGGCGAGTTCCTCGATGACGACACGTGTTTACGAGATCATAGCGCCACAACAAATACGACATCCAAGAACATATCCGCTGGAATTCCCTTACGTGACACATCCGCGTCTCAAACAGACACTCGCATGGTCCAAACCCAATCGTCACGACAGCTACCTCTTCAATCAATCCCATGTCCTTACGCGAAGACAAGTGCAAGATGCAAGGACAAGTCGTTCAAAGACGAAGGCAGACTAGAGTAATTCCAATAACCCTATTGTTGGCACACTGTTGACTGATATATCGTCAGAAGGCATATGGTGTACCATTATCCTCAAAGACCGTGTCTGATGTGTGGCGACCTGTTTCCTACCAAGAAAGAATATGACCGACATATGTCTCTTATTCACCGCCAGAAAGGTATTTCTACTAAGTGTGAGCCGTGTAAGACAGCCTTCACCAGGAAAGATAACTACGTCAAGCACTGGAAAAACAAGCACATGAAAAGAGCTTCAGAGAAATTGGGTTGATGCTTGTGTAGTTTGGTTGAGCATTTATTTCCGAATTTTATCCTCTCTTGCTGTCTTGCACTCCACGTTTTCATAACATGAGCTCAACCAAAAAAAAAAAAAAAAAAAAAAAAAAAAAAAAAGGTTTACGTCGGTCACAGGGTTATCAAAAGTTATGTGTAGGGGGCTCCTTTAGCTATTCTGCGCGGGCGTAGAGTCAACTCTAAATAGTTATCTCTATATTTATCTTATTTACGAAACGCTGTAGCTCACAGAGTTAAATATGATGCCGCAGGAAATATACAGGTGAACGAACGAAAGTAAAGAGCTTTCAAATGGGGAAGTGCTTTCGTTTGAGTAGTCCAGTCCACAGGAGAATCTGTCGATATACACATCTTCCACGTCAGATGGGCGACATGAGCTATAGGCTCCAGTCGCCATTAGAGGTCAAATCTTCAACCAAGCCTGCTTTTTCTTTTTCCATCTGCTCCGTCAGAGTCCAAGACTCGGGCTTGTGTCCAGGAGGTAGATTTGTGTTAGAAAATGGTGTTCCAATCTCCAGGTGATCTTTGGCGCGATAAAAGTTGTCCGTTGCGTATCGTTCTGCATTATGTGTCCATAGCCATTTTCCTTTGGTATAGAACCTTAGCCAAGTTCAGTATGTTTTGTTCATCATTTCGATGAAGGTCCGCTCGGTTTCGAACGCCTGTCCTTTGCACAAGCGTCGTACGTTGGTGTCTATGAAGCTTTGAAGTGAGAGTACGTCAAGCAGCATTTCCAGAAGGCACTAACCTTAATAGCTTGTGAACTTTGACTGCCTTCTTGTAACCGTTGGCACCACCCAACCTGAGACATTCGGCTAGTGACATTGCGTCTTCAAGGGCCATTGTACCACCATTCATAGAGGTGGGAATGAAGCTATGGGCGCTATCGCCGGCCTGGATTATGTGGCCATGTTCTGAGCTCTATTGGGGTCGCGGATCGCGCATGCTAAGCTTCCAGGCTACGATCCTGTGCTCTGGGAAATTAGCAACAGCTTCGGTCACCCAAGGGTCGATTGACTCTTTGTCGGGGATGCGACTAATCTAGTCTACTGATGTGATAGTAGACGACCAAGACTCAGACGAAGTATCCCAGCCTTCCTATGCCATTAGAGTTTAGCGAGTTACGTCCAAGCAATGGCTCCAGATGCTTTTACTTACATCTGGTAAAGTCAAAGCAAATGATATTAGGCGGGGGGACACAACCAAGACAATGTGTTGATTTTCTGCGGCATAAAACCTTCCTTGTGGACGTCGGGCGGCTTCCAGGAGTGTTTCCTTGAGCCAGGGAGCGTTCTTAAATTGTTTTGGGGACATGGCTGCACGATAGACGGTGTACCCAGTGCTGACCGCTCTGACTGGTGCACCAAGTATAAGCTCGTGAGGCTTGGAACCAATGCCATCAGCAGGGACAACAAAGGTTTGCTTTAAAGCGTTGGCCCGTCGCAGCGATGGCAACCCCATAACTTCTATCAACTTCTTCAGCGTATGAAACGATATGCACGTTCTAGATGATAGACATTCCCAACCTCTTACATTGATTGCCAAGAAGATTGGCAAAATCCGCTCGCCCAATTGCAGGTGTTATGCGTAAAGGGTAAGCTGTGTGCTTGGGAGCACCCTACCTGTTGTATTCCAGTTCCATCGATGGGTGGGCCTGATCTCCGTTCATATAGCACGGTACCATTTCGGCATCGATAGCGACGTGTGAGTACTCTTTACACATCTCGGGGTAGTTATTGAACGTCGCGAAGCCTGACGGCCCCAGCCCAATGATATCGCCTACGAATATCAGTCAACTGAATGATAATGCCTGTATATAATTAATCATCACCAATAGATGAAGGTCACTCCGACTTTTCTAGGATCTTGACATTATGCCCTTTCCTCCAACACTCCAAGGCCGTGAGAAGGCCAGCAGGACCGGCACCAACAATTACGATGCTCAATCCAGATGGAGGGTATCGACCGACACCATCGACGTCTCTGCCACTTCGGCCGATAGTGTTCGGACGACGCTATCCAATACCACAGCGCAAGCCATTCGGAGTAGTGGGGCTATCTCGCAGCCCAAGCCCCAAATCTCAGGCTCTCATTATGATTCATTGCGCTAAGATCGAAACAGCTTAGCTCCGAATGAATCATATCTTATACCCTGCCACTTTATGCCTTGAAACCGCATGATTCACTCTAGATCAACTGCATCGGCGGCTCGTATAGAATTTCCGTTCATTATATCGCCCATTGAACTAGACCGCGGGCTCGGTATATAGTCCCATAGTCGTCACCTTCTGTAAAACTCTTCAATTCAAGACACCACCTCCAAAACTAGAAAGGGACCTACACCAGACCAACCAACAACCACTTAACCAAGTTTCCTACAAAGTCAATCAATGATAGGTGCAACCACGACTATAAGCACCACAACAAGCACCACAACTATGCTAGACCAACCACTTAGTAATATCCCTGTCCTTGTTACGACGGCATCGACCGTGGATGGAAGCGACGATATTATGGCCCAAACCCCAGAGACATCCCAAGCACCCGACCCTTGGCTCAGTGACCTAAGCTCAGAAGACTCCTGCTCAGAGTCTGAGAGTAATAGCTCAGCAGAAGACAGCGATAACTCGCTTGATGACGAGTCTATTCTCGACAAGTTACTATGTGGCAATGATGGAACGATCCGTCTCCCATCTGGCAAGACCATATCACAACGCCCGGCAGCAGGCCCCCGAGGTCCAGCCCGGAGATCTCGAAGGACACCTACTCGCGCGACACCAGCAGCCTCGTGGCAGAAGAAACTTTCAGGGAACTGTGCCATGGTTCCTTCAAAGTCGACATCTAGCTCGACCAGATCATCAACAGACCAAAAAGACTCTGAGGCATCAGAACACGAGACTTCGGTAATTCAGTCAGGCTCGCCGTTGACCCCTCGGTCCACCCCTCAGCCCAACCGCACCAAGCCAACAACTCGCCAGATTACCATCCGCAACTCTGACGCTCAGATGCTCGCCCGTCTCCCGGCGGCTGCGCAGCACGCCCTCCTCGTGACACAACAAAAAGCCATCTCCAAAGCCAATCGGGCGGAGAAGAGGTTCAGGGGGAAGATGGATTCGGGCGGAAATATAGCAGTCTCGGAGCGGCTCATCATCGACGTGCCCTTTGGAAACAGACACAAATGCAGATTTCCGGTATAAGGAAGAAGTCTTCTGACTGGTTGTCTGGGAGTCTGGGTCTGAGCATGGGAAATGATTGGCGTTTGGTTAGACTGTCTATTAAGGAGCCGCCGGTTAGATGGCAATGTTTGTTGTATATGGGAAGTAGCCAAATGGCGAAATGTTATTTGGATATCACGAACCGATAGATTGACGGACATGCATGTTTATCGAGTTGCAGAACATTCTATCGACTCTTGAAATATTGTCTCTTTACTGAGTTCACTCACTGGTTCATGTAGGCATCGATTGTCCACAGGAATTTCAAATATCTGCGAAGCTACTCTTCCCAACCTGTTAGCGTCAACCTACTAAGACGACTCTTGCCTCACTCTGGTTCTGTCATTCGACTTTGTAGATGCCACCTGAGATCCAGGACATGGTCTTGGGCTTTTATGAATGCTGATCTCCAATTGAAACTGCTCTCATCATTGATAAGTGGACAGAACCCAGACCAGAACCGTGAGGATGGATCATTGTACCCACGTTACTGGCTCCTCATTTTTATAGTCTGCGTTCAAGCATCCCTAGACATAATTATTGATAGCTGCGGCTGCTACTCAAATTCATAGTCACGGTAGCTGTATAGTACGTAGCACATCTGCAAAGTCCCTGTCGGGGTGTATTGCAGGCCACCCAGTCTGATACCTATCAACAAGATCCTCAACGTGGACACTGAAGAGGAAAATAATTCCTCCACCATCTCCTTCAAAACACTAACAGAGGCATGGAAAGAACGCCCAATCAGCTTGAATTTCTGGTGCTTTGATATTCCCGGGCGTCAAACCTGCCATTGGTGTGCGGTCGTCTGACGGCCAGCCAGTGACATCATCTGCCGCTTCCGCGCCGCATAGTAGAATCCAAGGAACGTCATTCACAGAGGGAACTAACGGGAGTGCCAGGTATACTAGATAGGATAATGGCTGAGATGAAAGTGAGAAAAAATTCCCTCAATAAGACCGACTGCACTGTGATTCTCACCGTCTTTAACATATTACACCATCGCAAACATCGGACTGTCGCACAAGAACCTTCCAACCACCGCATCCCAAACACCACCACAAACCATGGGCGCCGACAAAGCCACCGCCCCAGAAACCACGATCCACGAGGTTGCCGGCCCCCTGAGCAGCAGCAGTAGTAGCAATGCACCTCCACCGCCGCAGCCCGCCGGCTGGGGCAAGGGCCCGTCGCCGCCGGACCCAGACGCGTTCGCGCGGGCCAAGGCGCACCGGCGCGAGGCCGAGGCGCGCGGCGAGGACCCCTACGCCGAGTACAAGCGCAAGGTGGCGGCGACGGAGCCCAGCAGCTCCGGCACCGAGCGCGTTTACCGCTGGGCCCAGCGGAAGCTGCACCACGGCGGCGGGGGTGAGCGACACCAGTGAGATGCGGAGACGCGAGGTCCAGGGCGGGTCTAGGGGGCCTATACGTGGAACGTTGCTTTGGTCGTAACGGCCTCCGTGTGGAGGAACTCGGGGAGAATAGGGGTTGCGATACGGGGTGGGATGTGCGAATACAGATTGCGAATTGCTGGTTGATTCAGGTACGAGTGGAGGAATGAAAACGGTGCCGGGCTATTTCACGGACTCATAGATGAACAAAATACAGTCGCTACTGGACTTGGTCAGCAGTGTTCCTTCAAGTTCCATATTGCACTAGAATTAGACCAAATGAACAATGCAGGATTAATTATGCTCTGCCTTTAGTTATCGATCTATGCATCATGCTGAGTGTAGAAGGTTCCATATCGCTCTTATGTGCGACAATAACGACGCTCCAGAGGGCCTTGATGTGATGGTGCCTGAGTGTGAAGATGCCATTCCGTTTCAATAGGTAAGGCGGGAGTGGGATGGCGGAGAGGCTATTCAACAGCCAGTATATTCCTGCTTGGCCTGGATGCATAGCCAGCAGCCAACAGCCAGTATCACATTGTTTTTGACCTGCCATCTCGCAGGCCCCTTCGTGCCCAGAGCATGTCGAGGTAGCCGTTATTCCATCTAGTATACATTCGAACTCAGGGACGATGACTCGAAGGCCGCCGCAACCGTCGTTGCCCACCGAGGTGGCCCCTGTTGTTGTTGAAGGTTCCAATGGCGGCCTGTCGTGTTCCCACCCCATACTTCCAGAAGACCCCCTCACGTACCATCAATCCTAAACCCAAACGCCCGGCTTCGCAAATGCATCCATCTCAACTGTCAAAGGCCATGTCGATCTATCAATGCTCGCCAAAACCTTGCTCGTATGATTCGTCGTGTGCAATCTTGGCCGTCGTCTCTGTGGCTGGGCTTGTCCTATCCGCAACCCAACACTCAAAAGGGCATCTCGACTCCCCATACGCCTCGCCCACCAGAGACTCCCAACCACTCGCCACCGTCGCTGTTGGCCAGGTGAGGCGTCCATCCCACGTTTCCAACCTCGTAATCACACTGCCAGCTAGCGACAGGTGTGAGATGTTTATCGGTAGAGCCGGGACCGGATCCGGACGGTGCGTTAGCCGGTGTGCTGTTCATCAAATCCCACAGTAGAACTTGACAGTCGTCTCCACCCGAGGCCAGGGTGCCGCGTCGAAGCGGCGACCATTCTACACAGTTGACGGGCCCACCGTGCCCCCGGAGCTCCAGTAACGCCTGGCCTGGTTGCCGCACGTCCAGGATGCGGATGACATTCGAGTCGAGAGCAAAAGTTGCCAGCAGGTGCGTGTCATGAGGTGAGGTGGCCAGGCGCATCAGCGGCGGCGCATTAGACATGGTCTGCTGGGCTAGGGTGGGGCTTATCCTTCCACCATTGGCATCTGCTGTGAGGTTAGCACCTGTGATGATGATGATGATCAGAGAAGATGTATGTCCCGGGGATCTTACCACGGTCGTCTTTGGTTGTTGGCTCGTAGATGATGGTGCTGTGTTCCAAGCTTCTCAGGTCAAACATGCGAACACTACCGTCCTGACCACAGCTGACAAAGACATCGACGCTGTTGGCACAGAAGCGAACGTCGTAGACCTCCTTGTCATGTGCGATGAGCTGGGTCTTGGCGGTGAGGGAGGGAATATCCCATATCGTGCAGGTCGTGTCTATGCTAGAGGTGATGATCAGACTCGGGGAGACCGTGTTCCAGTCGAGCGAGGTCAGGGGAGCCGTGTGGTCCGGGGTCTTGGAGTTGGACAGGAGAGCCAGCGGCGTGAGCTTCGAGGTAGGCATATTGGCATTAGGTCGGTTGATATTGTTGCCATACTGTGGCTGGGAGTCGGAGGGGAGAGACCACAGCCTCAGGTGGTCACCAGAAGTAGCCAGCAGGTCGGTGGTCTGCTTCTGGGAGGACGGGGGCTCCCACAGCAGTCGCGTCACCGGATACGAGTGCGTGGCTTCGGCAACCTTGGTGAACTCGACGCTGTACTTTGATGAGCCGGGGGTGTAGACGTCGGCGGGGGCGTTGACGATCTGGGTATCGAGGATTTGGATCTGAGAGGAGGCAAGGATTAGCAAAGGCTGGGTGGGGGAAGGGCAGCCGGATGGAATGCTGCACTCACGAAGTTGTGGCCGTCTTCGAGGTAGCTGCCGATGGCTACCTTGCCAGCTCCCTTGCCGGGAGGCGTCCACTTGCACCAGTCGAAGGCATACAGGGCCCAGGGAGCCAGGTAGTTGCTGGTCGAGGGCTGGGTGTTGGCGAGCTCGTATCCCGAGGTGCCGGGCTGGCCATCGGAGAGGCTGGAGTCGGCGCGCGGCCTGATGTCGGCGAGGCCCAGGGGGGTGTTGGAGATGTTGCGCTGCGACCCAGGGGCGCCGTACTTGTCCTGGGGCGACATGAACTGCGACGGGCCGGCGACAGAGCCGCCGGGGGTGGTCGGGGTGTAGGGGGTGTACCCGGATGAGGATGCCGATTCGTAGGGCGCGGCGGAGGGGCTGGAGCGCGAGTAGGCGTGGGAGGAGGCGGAGGAGATGTTCAGGGTGGGCGGCTTTGAGGGGGACGAGTAGTCGCCGGGCGACTGCTGGGGCTGGTGGTGGTGGTGGTGGTGATGGTGCGGGATGGCGCCGGACATGGTGGGCAGGGTAGGAGCGGTGTTGGTGGTGATGATGGGGGGTCTGGCACCCGACGTCGCGCCCGCGCCCGCGCTCACGCTCACGCTCGCACTCGCACTCGCACCCGCACCCGAGGGGCCTAGTCCTCCCGCCGGCTGCAGCACGTTGGGCACCGAGGAGGCGCTGTTGCCGTGGGCGTAGTGGGCGGCGGCCGGGGTGACGGGCTGGGAGGCGGCCTGCTCCAGCTTGATATGGGGGCCGGGTGCGCTGCCGTAGTCTCGCGGGGACAATTGGGCGGCGGCGGTTGGCGACATGTGAAGCTCATCGTGGGAGCCGTAGGAGGACGAGGCACCACCAGGGCCGCCGCCGCTTGCAGACGCAGCTCCAGGGCCAGAGCCAGTGTCGGCGCCAGTCCGCCGTGGGGCCCCGTACGGCTGTGATTGGTTCATGTTGGGCAGCGGGCGAGGACTGCGCTCCCTCTCCGTCTGCCTGTTGCGCCGTCGGTCGGGGTCGTCGTCGTCGTAGTCGTGGCCGTCGCCGTGGTCGTCGTCGTCCCTGTCGTCGTTGCTGTCGTCGCCGCGCACCGGGATGAGGCTGGGACTAGGGCGAGGGGATGATTGGGGCCACGACAGGTACGCGAGCGGGCGTTGGGGAGGGATTGGATGTCTGGGTGGGTTGCAGACAGGGCCGTCCGAAAGCGTGACGTGGGGGGAGGGGGGAAGGGAACAGAAGGGGTGTCTTGGGTGGAGGAGGCAGGTCGGCGTCGCGATCTGGAGCTGGATCTGGACGAGTCTTGTCTAACTTGGGTATGCAATGCCAAGTCCAAGTCTAAGTCCAAGTCCAAGTCCAATCTGGGGGCCTATCATTAGGATTGGGGGATATCACCGCCGCCCGTCTTCTGTTTATTTTCTTGTCTGGGGCTTGGGCTTGGGCCTCGCCGTTGGCGGTTGGGTCTTGGGCTTTGCGGCAGTAGTACCCGTCCCTGCAGTGGGCTGTGGCAGCAGCAGCTGGACTAACTTACAGTGAGTGCTTCATCCAGCCGAATGTTAACGATTCAAGTTACAGGACAGTCACAAACAGAGAGAGACACACATACATACACACATCACTCGACGCATTTGTCTATTCTACTCTCTCCCTTTTTGTTCCCCCTCCTCCATGCAGATCATCGTTATTGACTTGCCACTCGGCCAAGCGTTGGGATGCAGTCGCCGATATATGTAACCAAGTTACGACGAACCTCAGTGTAAGTAGCCATGGATAACCCCAAGTCCACCAAAACCCGCAGACAGCATAGAATGCCTCAGGCCCTACGCAGTTGCGCAGGCAATATGATATCTAGCAGCTTGACTTCCTCTCGATACGGCCTAACCTACCTCTCTACCGTTTGTCGTGCAAAGTGCAGTTGCAGGAAATTGGAGATTAAAGCAAAAACCCACGCCATCATGAATCTCTGTCCGCAATTTGCACCGGGGAAATGAACTTTGGGCATCAGAGGCGTATCTCCATTGAAGCCCAACATGGATGCAACCCAGGCCCGGCGACCCTCGCAAAAGTGAAGTCAACCCGATCGATGAGTGATGTTCCAGTCGCAGAAGCTGTGCCATTACGATGGGGTTCTGTCGACCTCGGCCAGCCGCTAACTTAGCATCAAATGCCCTGGCCATGGACAGCCACACAGCAGGCAGAGCGGCCTTGAGGCTCAAGTGCACCGTTGACCCAGGTAAGTTAGGTACATAAACGGGGTAGTTAGGTAGTCAAGTTGGTAGTTAGCCACCTTACCTACAAGTTGGAGCCGTGCCAAACTGCCTGAAGAGTATTGGAACTATATCCACCGTACCCTAGCCAGGTCATGATATTGAGGTCCAAGGTTCAGCGTGCCAAGATGGGATTTTGCATCTTGTCCCCCTTCTCCAAATCACGCTGACATAGATAAATTGCATCTTCGAGCATTCCCCATGGCGACAGGATCCCTCCTGCGTGCAGCATGCTATCCCAGCCGACCGAGATGACATTCGGCCCTCACATCTGCCCACCAGCGAGCTCAAGGGCCTTCGCTTCCAGACACCATCCCCACCCCACTTTAACCGAGGAATCCCTCCGCTGACCCTCACTTACTTCCTGTCCCGGGAGGATTGACGATGAGAAATACAAGAGGGGGGCGTCCATCCAGAACGTCTGCATCCACCAACCCCGACAACTGCGCATCTGTGGCAGCAAGACACTGGGATCTTATACACTGCTGGCGAAACCTACTTAGACAATAACTCATTTCTCTCCACGAAGCTTTTTTGTCGCAGGGCCCGGGAAGCGCCCACCACTTCCAGCAAACCATGGAGGGCCCTCTTCCTTCACTGCTGTTGCTGCCTCCCCCACCGCAGCCAGCCGACCACGCCGCCCTCAGCGCGGCGTACCGGCCGTCCCTGAAATCCGTCGTTTCTAGTCTCAAGGAGTCTGGCGGCCCTAACGGCGCTGTTCTCGTCATTGCTCTCGCTTCGCCTGTTCTCAAGGGCCCCTATCGGCGGCATAAAGCATTGTCGTGGCCGGATGCACAAGCCCTCCTGGCCGGCATCTACAGCGTCATCTCTGTCGTCTGCTCGCAGCTCCAGGTCGGAACCGTAGTCAATGGAGGGCCGGGCTCGGTAGATACGCGGGTCATCCTCATCGACCACGACGTTACCAAGAAGCTGCCGGTTGATTACAAGCCTGCCGTGGAGCCCAACAACACGGCTGTCGTCGACATTGGGACCTTCGTCTCGGCTTACCACCCGTGGAGCCACGTATTCAGCGTCGATACCGAGGCTGGCCACCAGCTTCTTTCTACCTACCTCAGCCTGGTCGAGGGTACCCAGACCTTCAGACAGGAGCAGCTTATCACGGTGGAAGGCGGCTTGACCATGCATTCGGGCACTTCCGGCGCAACCGAGGTGACAAGTTCGCTCTACGATGTGGTGTGTCTTGGGGGCACATTTGATCACCTTCATCCAGGCCACAAGCTGCTCCTTACCGCCGCCATACTGCTGCTGAAGGTCCCGACAGACGGGTCCAGCAAGCCCTGCCAGTTCGTCATTGGTATTACTGGAGATGAGCTGCTCAAGAACAAGAAGTACGCCGAGTTCGTCCAATCCTGGGATGATCGTGCCTTGTACGTCATCGAGTTCTTGTCTTCCATGCTGCAACTACACAGAGGCGGCTGGAAGGACGGCCGAGGCCCGAAGATTGAGAGGAAGGACCAGCAAATCACTGCACTTTTTAGGGACGATACCATCTCTATCCAATGCGTCTGCATACAGGATGCATACGGTCCCACCATCACGACCGAGGCCATGGACGCCTTGGTCGTTTCTGGTGAAACTCGGTCGGGAGGCGCAGCCGTGAACGACAAGCGAAAGGCTCTCGGCTGGCATCCCATGGAGGTCTTTGAGGTCGATGTTCTAGATGCCCACGACATCGCCGACGAACCAAACAAGACGGGCAACTTCGCGACCAAGATTAGCAGCACGGCTATCAGGAAACAGAAAGCTGAATCACGTATATAGCTTTCAAACAGAAGCGTTTCGTGGCCCAGTAATGTCCGGTGGAGTCTCAAGTCCTGAAAGCATTCAACCAACTTCATGAAAGTCAAGATTTTGTTTGGCAATAATCCCACGGAGTCCTGCCAACCCCAGAGTTATCAGTCTGCCGGCAACGCCGCCGAGCTCGGGGGTCTGGGAATTGGTTTACGGGGCTCCTGCACACTCTGAATATCAACAATGGTGCCACATTCCCAACCCCAGCCCGGGAGCCCGAATGCGAGACCTGCTCAGACCGTGCGACGAATTCCGAACCGAACACGAACAACCTCGGGAGCCCCCCGCAAAGCTCAAAAGTGGCCCCACGTTCCCCGTTTCCGGTGAGGACGTCCGAGCATGCAGGCATGTCAGCAGGAAAACCTGTGGAAGCTGCAAGTATATCAAGGTCTGTCGGTGTTTCCAGTGAACACTACGAACCTGAGCAAATGCACATCAAAGACACAGCAAATCATGGAGCTTGATCCTGAATTCCGCGAAGTCGAGCTAAGGGCAGTGCCCACAGCTCGCGCCGACCTGACTAACAGGGTCCTCCCCCAGATGATGTTGGGCCAGGGCAATGTCCCCGGTTCACTGTCAGCTCCTCCCCCACCTCTGGGTGATGCCTCCCCCGCAACCCCCGCAATGCGGGCTATCGAGCGCTTCGCCGTTACTGGCAACGCCGTCATCACCGGCGGCGCCGGCGATCTCGGCTACGCAGCGTCTCGGGCTCTGCTCGAGCACGGGCTTAAAGGCCTTATGATCTTTGACATGAATGCCAAGGACGCGGCCGAGAAGGTCAAGTTGCTGCAGTCAGAGTTTCCCAGCGCCAGGATCCGCTTCACTCGGGTTGATGTTGCTGATGCGGAGGCTGTCGCCGCTGCCGTCGCCGAGACCGCCAAGGTACTAGGGAGCATTGACATACTCCTATGCTTTGCCGGTATGGTCTCATGCCAGCACGCCGTCGATATGCTGCCCAATGAGTGGAACAGAGTCATGAATGTCAACACCACTGGCGGCTTCCTCTGTGCTCAGGCTGTCGCACGTCAGATGATCAAGCAGGACACTGGTGGGAGCATGGTGTTTGTCGCCAGCATCAGCGCCCACCGCGTCAACTACCCGCAGCCTCAGGTCTCTTATAACGTTTCCAAGTCGGGTGTCATGGCTTTGGTCAAGAGCTTGGCTGCTGAGTGGGCGAGGCATGGGATCAGGGTCAACAGCATCTCCCCTGGATATATGGACACTATCCTGAACGAGGGCATTGGCCTGGATAATGCGAGGAACATCTGGCTCAGTCGCAATCCAATGCGCCGAATGGGCCAGCCAGATGAACTCGCTGGTGCTGTGGTCCTACTTGCTAGTAGAGCTGGGAGTTACATCAACGGTGCTGACATTCTGGTAGATGGTGGTCAGACATTGTTTTAGAGGGCGCTGCGGATGTACCCGCGCCGACAGAGGGGCAGCCAGAATGGGCCCGTCGCTGACTTGGGACCTATACTTGTAGGTCGCAGTATGCGACTCGTCCCAAGCATCCACCTGAATAGAGTATACTTAGCGCTTGGAGTAGGCGTTTTGCTCCATGCAGGCACTTTTCGACGATTACGTGTGATTGTGGCTTGAACGGCTCACACAGAGTGGCAGCATTATAGGCTCGCTAAGCCATTCATGTAGCAATGCCATAGGTCCCAGGCATGGCCCGCATGCGGCGCCCGTATAGTCGGCAGACTCTACTTAGCCGGCAGTTCTAGCTTACGATCCCCGATCATGTTAGATAAGGTGCAAGTTTATAATAAATGCCAAACCAGTACCACCAAAGCAGTGGCTGCACGAGTCACATTTAACCCATCGATTCACTAACCCGGTCCTCCTACGCCCCAAGAGCCTGGTCACAATGGTTCCAGCAAACCATCCTCTCCTCGCTACCCTCGCTGGTGCGTGGTCCTTGGTGAACAAGACATCGTACGTGTCCCACAATTCCATCCTAGATACTCTCTGCCTGGCCTTATAACCAAACCCCACGCTCACACATGGAACTAACAATCTTGCCACCGCAGGTACTTCCCCAACGGCACCATCTCACCGCCGTCCAACGACCCGCTGGGCAGCAAGCCCGTGGGCATCATCGCCTACACATCAACGGGGTGGGTGACGATGAACAGCATGGCGACGGAGCCCGCACTGCGGCCCGACTGGCTGACCTGGCCGCCCCAGGACAACCAGACCGACGCCGACTGGGCCGTGCTCGGCCGCCACACGTACTCGTACGCCGGGCCCGTGACGGACGTCGTCCCGCGCTACCCGACCGCCGGCTCCCTCGTCCACGGGCCCCTGACCTTCTCCAACATCCCCGCCCAGGTCGGCACCGCCCAGCACCGCGACTACGAGCTCCTCGACGACGCGAGCTACCTGCAGCTGACGGTCAAGCTCGACACGGGAAACTCCGGGGTCCTGGTCTGGCATCGGCTGCCGGCAGAGGGCAATGACGATGCATGACGCCGGCTTGGGGCTTTGACGTCTGGGTCGTGCTAGAGGTACCCAAATGATCCTCGAATTGGGTTGTCTTTAGATGAGGGACGAAGCAGCCAAGGGCGAGGTTTTCTGCCCCGTCACTATCAATTTGATGGGAGTTGGAGATTTTCACTTCAGTATTACAATTTAGTAGATTATGTTACACTGTCCTAGCATGCAACCCTGGACTGCTTAACTACGTACCAACGCGTTGCCAGCACTACCTTTCCCCTTGCAAGGCACACGAGCGTGGGACTTTCCGGGTAAAGCACCCCTTCAGGATGGTATAAAAGCAGCCGACAGCCGCGCGTGCTATGTATACTCGCTTAAGCGATGTGGGTCGTTTGGATGGGTGGACCCCGCGGGGTCCGGTCCGGGCGGGTGCTGAACACGATATATACACCCAACTTCTCTTCTTGGGCCTTGGCTTGAATATTACTGGCCACCCGCTTGAAAACCGGAGTCCTCAATCCCGCAAACGTCGCCATCATGTCACCACAGCAAGGCCAGAAATCCGTTTTGATCACAGGGTAATTTCTGCTCGTCGATGTCTCCATGTCGTGTCGATTGAATTTCACGCTGACACTTCCAGGTGCACACCCGGCGGCATTGGGCACGCACTAGGTCTTGCGTTTAGGAAGAAAGGCAAGTCACCTCATATCGAATGTGACCCTGTTAGTGCCTTGGGATAAGTAGCTTACAATCGCCATTTGGCAGGCCTACACGTGTTCGCAACGGCGCGGAATACAGCCGTCCTGGCTGAGTTGGCCGCACCAGGCATAAGCATCTTGCAACTTGACGTGACCGACGCCGAAAGTATCAAGGCTTGCCACGACGAGGTCAGTCGGGCCACCGGCGGCAAGTTGGACATCCTGGTGAACAATGCGTAAGCGTTGCTTTTGGCCTAGTTTCTCCAAAGGCGGCAGGCTGACCTTCTGATCCAGTGGCCGGAATCACACCCATCCCGCTCTGGATGTTTCGATACCTGACGTTCGGGCAACGTTCGAGACGAATGTCATAGGCGTCATGGCCATGGTCGCCCAGTTCGGCGACCTGCTGATTCATGCCGAGGGCCTGATCATCAACATCGCTTCACTGGCGGCTGTCACACCATATGTTTTCGGGAGCATCTTCAGCGCGACTAAAGGCGCCATCATCAGCTATAGCCGCACCCTGCGGCAGGAACTGAGGCCTTTCAACGTGCGCGTCATGGTGTTGATGACGGGTTTCGTAAAGTCTAACACGCAGTCGGTGCGCAGGGAGCTTCCCGAAGACTCCTTCTACAGCAGAGTGCGCGACCTCTTTGACAAGAAGGTGACATACAGCAAGAACACGGCCCAGTTCAGCCCCGAAGACTTCGCCGCCGATATTGTCAGCAAGGCACTGAGGCCAGAGTCTCAACCACTTTTCCGCTCGTGGATGGGCCGGCCGGATTGGTACTGGAGTGGCGGCAAATCGAGCGTGGTCTGGTGGGGAAGCACACTCTTCGGAGAGTGGTTGACTGATGCCGTCTGCTGGAAGATGTTTCAACTAGAGAAGCTGCAGAAGATGGTGCAGAGTGAAAGGAAGCGTCAGTAGTGAGCGTAATGTGACAGGTTTGGCGAAGCAGGAGTTGTACAGTATCCACGGCAGTAGTATCATTCTAAACATAGCTTTGCTTATTGGGGAAATGCTTTCCGGCCTTATACAGTCAATGGCTTTTCGTGTCATCTCTATCAAGCTTAGAGCTATCAGCGCCGACGTCCGCAGAGCAAGAAGCTCTGTTGATAGTCTCCATCCGGCCTAATTTATCCTATACAGTATCTTATCTGTACGTGCCTATATACACATACAGGAGTTGAAAAGCTCGGAACAGTGGTATGAAATAGTTGCTTGAGGTCCTCAATCTTGTAGACCTGGCCGTCATATTTGACTTGGTTCAATATATTAACGTCAGGTGTAAACTTCCAAGAATGATCCTTTCTGCCAAGCTACCTGCCTTCAGCGTCCTGCATGCGGAATTTGTCCACTGGGGGCGTCTCAAAAATGGAGGCAGGCTTGCCGAACGTCAAACCCAAAATAGAAATCGGTCTCATGACCTTCCGTCCCAAAATCCGTTGGAACTGCTTATGAACGATTCCTAGTCAATCGAGCCTGCAACACTTGAGGTTATATAAGTTCATACCGTTGATAGCTCCTATTATAATACTTGAAAAATATTACCATGCTTTTATTGAAGCTGTATAAAGGAACTATATATGTTCCAAGTTGCTCGCCCGGGTTGTCTCCACCTTTCTTGGCAACAAACGGTCTGAGACCAAAACTCAGTGCTACGTTACATTGCGTCCAATCAGCACTCTCTATTTGGTGTGGCAGACCAGGCAGCAGCTCATCCACTACACACTGGATTTCCATAGATATATTAGCACATCGCTCGATTGTGACTCCTATCTCGGATACACGACTTACAGTCGATTAGCGGCTACAGACATCGGAACGCAGCGGCTATTAGGATGGCTCGAACGAAGCAAACAGCTCGATTGAGCAACTACGGGAGAGCACCAAGCCGTTCGTCTCATAAGCGCTCTACGGTAGTTGCTGACGTATGGGCTATCACCGAGATCGCCGAGAACATATTGGCTCGGTTGCCCATGAAGGACCTCCTCTTGGTTCAACGAGTCTCCACAGGCTGGAGAGAGCTGATCAGAAGCTCACCAGTCCTGCAGGAACTTCTTTTCATGCGGCCAAGGGGGTCTGAAGGAACACAGAAGGTTTGGTCCGACGGCGTACCGATACGCGAATTCAACCCGCTCCTCATTAAGCACATGCCTATGTGGTTTCCAAAAGATGAAGGCGTATGGCGTCAAAGCGTCAAAGATGCGCCATGGGCCCAGACGGTTTCAAGGCTTGTATTTCTTCGTCGAGATGCGAGTTGGCGCCGTATGCTCCTGGCACAGCCACCCTTTACCGTATTCGAAAGCGTCCAGCGGGTGCATATCAGGGGTGGCGATAGCCTGTCAGTTGGCAGCGTTGAGCAGCAACATGGCGTTCGCATGGGTCTGGCCTACGACAGAGCTGTGCAATCCGTCCAGGGTGGGTATGGAACAACCCTTCCCAACCATTTCTATACTCTCATGGATGGAAGGGTCGACTATGATGCTCAAGGTTCGAACGTGCACGATGACTTGGAGACGTCAAAAAGAATATTCGGGGGTACAAACAAATTCACGTTGTTCTCTGAGACGACTCGGGGGTGTATGGCGCCAGGATATGAAAGCGTAATCAGAGATCGACTGGAACAACGCCAATTTACCAGCGCAGGATCTGAGTCTGTCGAGATTGTGCTTCATAGGGTCGAACGGGCTCCAGGAGAATGTTATTCATGGTGGACTAAAGATGGCTATAGAGAAAGTTAATGGGTAGCCGGTGGCTTGTCACTATACCTTAAGGAGTTATTTACATCCAGAGGTTTCTAGTGCCCCGGTATGCTTGTCCTTTCAACTTGTGCCATTGAAAGGAATGCATAGTAGGCGCACTAGTGCCCCGGCTATATATATGGGAGACCTAATTGTCAAGAAATGTCATGAATAGTAGGTGACAATGAGATGTCGTGAAGAAAAGCACTTCAATCTCCAGCCCTCTGTACCGCTAAGCTCCGGCGGTGAGACTTGACAAATGGCCCAGAAAGTGCTGTCAGACCGGAATAATGGGTACTTCGCGCACCAATTGTTTTATTTGGGCAAAGGCGCGGAATGGCAACCCCAGTCGCAAGTCAGCCTGCAAATGTGTTGCGCGTTGGAAAGTTTGCCGTCGCCTCTCTGAGGTTTGTGGTACATATTAGAGTTTCCGGTGAGCGATTTCCTCCCTATTACAAGAGTTTCTAGAAACTTGTTTTATCAAATCACCTCACATCTGCCTCATTTCCTGTGGAGAGGCAGAAGTGCCTGGAGTGATCTCCGATACGGCTCTGCAAGTCATAAAAACGAGACCGGCGCCTTATTCGAGTAATATATCTATTCTATACTACCGATACACGGTACATAATTAAGAGTGTAGTCTCCAAGCAATTCAAACAATATCCGACATGGAGCGACAGCTAACCGATCCCTTCGCCGACTATGGTTCCAAGGACTGGTGGTTTGCCCTCACCATCCTCTTCGCGCTCCTCTTCATTATGGTCATTCTCATCTTGGCCGAAATCAAGAGGAAGTGCACGACAGGCGAATTCCAAGAGACTATGAAGGATGCTGCCAGGGGGGTTTGGTGCTTGATCAAGGCTGTCTGCCGCGGAGTTCTCGCAGTACCTGGTCTTATCTTTCACGCACCTGGCATGATCATTGCATGCATTAAAGCCCGCAACGAGGAGTGTAAGCACAAAGGTATCCAAAAGGCCCTTCTTGACGCTTCGAAGGCAGAGGCTGGGCAGGCAAAGGGTCCAAAAGACAACATCAGAGCTCGAAAGAACGACTTGGCGCCTACCGCTGCTACTCACCCCACTGCACCGCCTGCCGAAGCCTTGCCTTCCACTCAATCATTACCCTACAGAATGATCAGTCGGATCTTTCGATGAGGTTGCCAAGCGTTACCGGACGCAGGTCATTGGCCCTCGATGCTCAAGACTCCTGGCCTGTAAGTTAATTCCTTGCAATGTCTGCTAACATTGGGACGTGTCGGCTACACGACTTCTGACTGCGGATCACAGTGCTGGCTTGCCCATATGCAAACTGGAGATTTCGAACCTGTTGATTGCTCTTTATAAGATCGGCTCCTGTCTTGCCGATTACGCGTTCGCCATAAAACCATACTTGGTGTCATCAATTTTAATTCAAGGCCAAGGATCTGCATCTTGGGGCTGAGTAATCATACTATATAAATGTAAAGTGCTTCCGAGGTGGTCAAAATAGGGAGAATTTCTTAGACGGTGTGAAACAAACAAGTAAAGCCGTTATCACAGGGTCCATTCGAAATCATGCATAACTATCATATATCCTACTCCTACTCACGAGATACGCCACAACGCCATGATCTACACGGTGTCAATTCTGCACGTGTCATGCATCAGTTGCGATCACGTATTCGTTGCCGGGGACTGGTTGCCAAGACCAGCATGGACTCGAGTTTTCCTGGCACGATAAGCAAATGTCTGCACTTCTGCCGTCCAGCAGGCTGGGCTTTCAAGTAACCAACGGTAGCCTTACCCATATTTGATAGGGTTTACCTACCTAATTATCCCAACGATTTTACCCAAATGTATTGTGGTTTGACCTATATCTACTGAGCAAGCGCTTTGCTCGTCATTGTAAGACTTATTCGAAGCACGTTTGATTCTAAGATGCTACCTTTCGCATCTCGCCTTGCTATTTCTTGGTCGTTATTCCCCGACTTGCCCGCCTCTTCAGTCCGTTCCGGGCGCCATTCCTTTCACCACCCCTTGTCGTCGAACCACTGCTGCACGTCTGTCAGGAGCGGCGGGGCTTTGTTCTTTCTCCCTCTTTATTCGGCGTCAAGTTCCGCACTTCGCGCCTGGCAGGGTACAAAGTGCCGTGTCGAGAGTTCCGCGGAGAGATCGACATTCTATATACCGGGAGAGACAACTTTGAGAAGTCAATTCGGTGTATGGATATTGAGTTGAAAACGGCATCAACTTTTCCACCCTCGCCAAAGTACATCGCCTTGCAGTAGAGTACCCTATCTGGCGGAGCTCGGCTTATTGGGTACCCGAGCTGATCTTTAGAGGAAGCCCGAACGTTAAAAAAGGTATTGGTGGTGATTTCCTCTTCCGGGAAAGCCATATGGAAGGGATTTCAGGCACCTTCGCGAAGATGCAAGCTGCGACACATTGAGAACGCGGACAAACTCCTGAAATGAAAAGGACGCCAAGACCAAGGCGATGAGATCATTCCAGTGGCAAGTTGTCGATGGGTTTGATCATGCGGAAGACCGGATGCCATTCACATGGGAGGACGAGATGGATCGGCACAAGATGGATTTTGGGCACCGTCGGACAGACTGGTTTACCGACACGGCTTGGGATAAGAACAACACGAAACTGCATCTATAGTACGAAGCCGCGGCTTTTGGTTTTTCAATTCAAGCGGTCTGAGGACGGTCTAGAGAGATGGGTCGAAGCCTGCGAGGCCAGGCTGCTGGTCATCGGGGAGGATGGGCGACAACAAGAGCCGCCAATCCCATCTGATGTGAGAGACCCACAACTCTAGAGACTCAACGACAACGACGATTATCAGTATTGAATAATTTTCTCAAATTGCCTATATATAGTGCAGGTGTAGAATTGACACTAGCTTGAAATGGTTTTTGGAGAAGGGAACCCTTTTTTCAGGGATACGTGCCCAGACTTTACCCGTCTTGGCAGGCCGCCCCCAGCCACGACCTCGCCAGAGTTCCTGACCTGTGCCGAAGTGGCATTCTGTCGCCTCATTGCGAATCCACATCGCAATGTTTTGTCTCTTGAGATGCAACCTTCCTCAAGCACTGGGCGCGTGTGACATTCCTGGAAGTATGCTACGTACGAGCCTTGAACTTCGCTGTGCTGATTGTCGGTCTCCACCGATAAGAATGGGAGCCGATGTGGCTGCCGTCGTTAGATAGCGAGATGCTTGCCACCCAATGACCAGGGTCGCATTGACCGGTACTTAATCTGACGTCCATCAGCCAAACTTGAAATGAGATTGACATCAACGGTGGGCTTTCCATTAGCATTATGCACCATCAGATGGCATGATACATGATAACAGAAGATTTCGGACACCGTGTAGGCATGTACACACGCTTTGAGTCGTCAGCATGGAACTTGTAAGGAGCTTATTGATTGGGAAGGTGGTTGGAACCCTCACATTGGATAAATTAAACGGCACATAGATCACCTGGATCGGCTCACACATTGCGTGCGGGCGGCGGACCCGGATTTGCCCTGGCTATAGGGCCCGCGGGCAGGTTCCACTAGAATGCTGGCCGATTGAGATTATAAAGTCTTGGCTTTGGCCATATCTGGCTCTGTTCTGTCTTGGCCAGCAAGCCAAGACATCCCATCTAGGATCAGCTTCCTTTCTCCGCGTTGTCAATTTCTAGTTGCTGAATCATTTCTTGCCCATTCACGTTCACCGCACTTGATTCAAGATGAAGTTCACCGCCGTACTTGGTGCCCTTCTCGGTGCTGCCGTGGTTACTGCCGCTCCCGGTACCGCCAAGAGACGGGAGCGCGCAGCCAAACTTCTAGCCGAACGCTCTTCTCGCCGAAGTGGACTCATGATCCCGGATATTGATGATACCACCACCTCCCTGGACGTTGCCAACGGTACCAGCCATGTTTCATACTCTACCAATGTAAGACGTCGGTTGTCCAAGTGTAATGAGGTGAAACCCTGACCAAAGTCGATAGTGGGCAGGGGCTGTCATGATTGGCACCGGATACACTACTGTTACTGGTACTTTCACGGTGCCCACTCCCAAGGTCCCCTCCGGTGGGAGTGCTGCCAAGACTTATTCTGCATCCGCATGGGTCGGTATCGACGGCGACACATGCTCGTCGGCTATCCTCCAGACCGGTATCGATTTCAACATCAAGGGTAGCAAGGTTACATACGATGCTTGGTATGAATGGTACGTTCGGCGGCTCTCTACGTATCTAAAAGCACTCCCTGATCTCCCATGTCAAAAGGTACCCCCAGGTCGCTCATGATTTCACTGGCATCACCATGGAAGCCGGTCACAAGATCACTGTGACCGTCACCGCTTCCAGCAAGAAGACGGGTACAGCCGTCATCAAGAACGAGACCACGGGCAAGTCCGTCACACACTCGTTCACTTCTGGTACAGCGTCGCTCTGCCAGACCAACGCTGAGTGGATCGTGGAGGACTTCGAGGAGGGCAGCAGCCTTGTCCCGTTTGCTGACTTTGGCACGGTTACCTTTACCGATGCCACTGTCAATGGCAAGGCCATCAGCAGCCCCACCATCATCGACCTTCGACAGAGTGGAAAAGTCCTCACTTCATGCTCTGCCAGCAGCGAATCTGTTACATGCTCCTACGTCTAAGAACAGCAGCACAAGTAGGGACATCTATAGTACTATGATATTCCTCTGGGATCTATAGCGTCATTTGGCGAAGGTTCAATTCTTGATATGTGAATGATTGCTGGATACAAAGTATAAAGATTATGGTCTTACTCAATACGCTCCCTAGCTGATGTTGACACAATGACGAATACACTACATCAGTTCAAACTACGGCAGAGCTCACATGTGATAACCAAATACCTGATTAGGAGATCAAGGCCTTATTGCATTTCTAGGTCTAGCTAGGTACTATTTAAGAACAGCGTGTTTGCGAACAATCTAGTAAAGACTTATACCAGGCCCATACTGATTTATCCACAGTTCAACCATCTTAAGTCTTGTAGCTACTGTTGTCATAGTATCCATCTGAGTCCCAGCCTGGGTCCTTGTCACGGCGATCCTTGTCTTCTGGGCCTCTCGCATCGGTGGAGTTGTAGTACTCCCGAGTATCCTCCATGTCGTTCGCCTGAGTGGCAGGAGGAAGGTCCTTCTCCTCCACTCCCTCAGAATTGTATGGGTTATGGAAGTTTTTGGGCACGGTGGGATCTGCGCGACGGGAGGACCCGTCGCCGCCCCTAGAACCTTGGCCTGTGGCGGGCTTCTTTCCCTTGTCGCCTCCACCAGAGCCGCTAGAGCCGCCACGACCGCCTGAGCCAGATCCACCAGATCCTGCAGTCGACATGTTTTCTGTTGTTTACGGTTGTTGGGTGTAATGTGTTCGTTTGTGGTGTGGTGTGCAGTAGATGGTGTTGGTACTGCTGTGTGCTCAGCCTCGAGTAAAAAGTCCTCGTATTTATAGACAAACACCGTCGATGATGCTATGACATGGATGCCTGTGACAATACTAACATCACACGCCTGAAAGAGTGAATTCGGAGGTGAATGATTCGCACACCTCGTGAATGGATGTGACAGGCCATTCGTCCCAACTGTGAATATTTCGCCCACAGGTACCAAGACACACTATCAACGCAGACGGTCCATGCATAATGAGATCTCACGCTTGAGGCCTGAAAGTAATTAATATACATATATCCATTCCATTGATCACGCAACTATATCTCAGGCTTCCTCGCTTTCTGCAGTATAGAACCACGAGAATGGTGCAGTTGTCTTTCTATACGTGAGCCTGAAATCCCTATAACCCTCACGTCCTGTCAAGCCAGACCTTGTGCCCTGCAAAATCCGTCCCCCTTTCGGATCTATCCCTGGAGCGGCATGTCCTTCATAGTCCCGTTCTTCTCTCGAATGATAAGATGTGTAACACAGCTAAAGGACTCATTAGTATCTGGAAGTTCGTGTTGGCGACACACTTATGATGGGGCTGACCTTCATATTGTGTTGAATCCTGTTCGCTTCTGTGTGCCATGTCACGGAAGACTCTAGGCACCTATTGTTCTCACATACGTAATGAACACGGCCTTGGCTGTTTAGTCTCCCGGAAACGGATGATCAATGGGGTCAGGGTTCTGAATGATGCCGAATGGATAATCAGCTACATGCCCAATACAGATTGAAGCGTAGCCTCGCCGAAGAAACTCGCACAAATCGTCGATCCTGGTGGACAGAGCGCCGCCAATGGGCAGCACAGAATGGTCGGGCGAGAACGATTCGAATCTCGTCCGGGTACATGCCTGAGGATCCGTGGCAACGCGCGGCGCAACATTTAGTTTCACTATTCCTGGAAGCTGTTCTATCCAGGTCCAATCTGTTGTTGCGCTGCCGTTACCAAGGTCTTTCCACGTCGTGAGACGCAAACCCCACCCGAACGGCTTGGGAATTTCCACCTTGTCAATCAGAAAGTCTGTGGAGCAAACCTCACAACCGCTATACTTTCCCAGACTTGTCAGACAACCATTGTCGCAGTTTCTGTCGTGGCGGAAGATGCAGTCTAGCTGGAGACACAGTTCTCCTGGTCCGATCTTAGTCGACTCCAAACAACCAGGCGTATGTGTTATTCCGGACTTGCACCTCCGGGCGCAGGCTCTATGAGGGTACAGATCTGGGAGAGTGCATCCATCATGCAACTCTGTACTCCATTTCTTGTGTTTACAGAGTGGTTCGAACTGAATCGGTCGAGCTATGTCGATGGGAGCGTACCAACTCTCCTGCAAAGCGTGTTCTAGTCTCCATACCGCTGCCGAAGTTACGTCTTGACAGGCCCAGACTTGCTCGGTCTTGAGAACAAGCCGATCATTACGAACCTTGCATTCAATATTGATGGAAATCATGAAGCCATTTATGCTACTTGCTCTGGTAGTATTGACTTGCTCCATGAGGTGTCGGTAATCCTTGCGTTGGCGATGAAGCTTCATGATGCCCTTGATCAAAACAGGTGTAAGCCGCCGTGGAATGTCATCACTGAACATGTTATCCCCGGTGCATGAGTAAAGACATTCGTACCCCTTGGTATCTCGGCCTTGTATCATCGGGCCCTCACGCATTAGGGAACGTAGTGGTGGATGGAGTTTTTGACATGGAAGGCAATGTGCCATGGGGTCGATGTCCCTCGAGAGGATATCAAGGAACTGTGAATGCTGATCCTCATCATCCTGGAGTTGAACATCCCCCCACATCAGGCGAGATCTCATGCGACTATTGACGAGAGACAGCAACGTGATCGAAGCACTCGGCAATTGGTCTGTGACACACCGCAGCACGCACTGCGGCAGCCTCTCCACCAGTGACATGCCAAATCGATGTCGCCGATCAGCAACGGCGAAAGTTCGAGGGTTGAGTCCAGGGTTCAACTGAAGCACGGTTTGTTCGTCATCAGTAAGCTGGGGGTCATAATCGTTGGGTGTCGCAGCAGATGAACCATGCCCACTGCCATCGGCCCAGCCGTCAGGAGTCATACCAGACCCCGGAAGTGGCTGCATCGCCATCGCGTGAATCCTGTGTCAATGGATGTTCAACGGTTCTTGTGTTGATGATATCCAAGTAAGGCAAAAAGTTGTGAAAGATGAGGCGGTTCGGCGACGAAATGGAGCTGTCGACATCAAAAGAGGGAACAGCGAGAAACGAAGTGAATTGATGCAGTTCACCCTTGGATAGTCATGTGAGGTGAAAAACCATCAAGCGCGAAGAGAACCCAGCTGCCTTGAGGGTTGAACAAAGAGGAGAGTTTCCTCAGTCGACACCCGGTCGAGCTTGTGGTCGAGTATGGTGGTGGACGACTAGTGGGGAGCAAACGGAGGCACACTCGTTGAAACTAGGTAGAAGCTGAGCGGTAGCCATGGTGATGACCGGCTCACATTTCACTTGGTTTACACATGCACATACTAGCCCCGCCGAGTCTTTGATTGTCACCTGCCCTGGAGTTATTTCTGTCTTGTTATCTTTGGATTTGCCTATTTAGCTCGGTTGCCTAGGTATGTAATGGAAACAGGGAAACATAGTGAAGCAATGATACTACCGAAATCCTCGATACAGACCTACCACCAATCGATGCAACCAAGCTTAGGCAAAGACGCGAGCTCTCCGTGGTGGTATGAAGCGCCACTCCCAGCGACACACAAAGTTGTATATCGACTTCTTGAAATTTGGCCGTGAGATATCCCACTGCATCGGGTACTCAGGCTCGCCCCTCTTGTAAGTAGATCCCGGCTTGCCTACAACCCACGGGCGTGGCTCCAAGGCAATCGCCTGCTTCAGCGTCTCGAGCGAGAACGAAGTTTGGTTTTCGAAGCGGTCAACGTACCTTTGAATCTGCCTGGCCCGTAGCAGCATGGTGTTCGAGAATTCGTTCTTGTTGAAGTAGATGCCGCGCCGGGGATGGAAGGTCTTTTGAATCCCGTTGAAGTTGGGGCCGGTCGAGCTGGTCCGTAGTACGGTGTCAGAGAAATCCCTCTTGTTGAAGTCTATTCCCCGCCGGGGATGGTAGGTCTTTCGGATCCCATTGAAGTCTGGACCGCTTGAGCTTATCCTAGGCCGAAGTCTGTACACACTGTGGGATGTGAACTCCCGGATCTGCTCTAGGTTCTCGGCCCAGCCGACGGCCTTGGTTCGCTTCGGCACTGATGGCGATCCAGCCCCTCCGCCTCCCGCCGTGTCGTCGTCATCATCATCGTCACGACGTCGCTTGAGAATTCCTCGAGGATATCCGTGGCCGCCGCCGTCACCTCCTCCGCCAGCTCCTCCCGACGGATCAGCTCCTGAATCACCGTCGATCAGCTCGAGTGCCGCTTCATCGTCGTCGCCGTCCGGGTCAACGAATCTGTAGGATCGAGACTGCATGTTCGACCACGGCAAAACGTCTCCTTGAGTCAGGAAAGGGGCGAACCCCCCGTGTGTGACAACCGAAATCACAGCATCGTCGCTGTCGTGGCTGCGAGCGAGATGACGTAGCCAGATGCGCATTGTACGTGCGCGCTCGAGGACTGCCTCAAAGTTGTATCTGTATCGGCTGTCAGGCCCCCGGTCATTAAACCCGTCCAGCAACAAATCAGTGTTAACAAACTCACCTCCCAAGTCCTCAATGGTGTCACGATCTCTTGGGATGTTGCACGGGCTATCGGCGACCTCCTGAATGTCGGGGTGAACAATAACCTCTTGGCCATCGTCGATCCCAAAGGCCAAGATCGCGGTCCTGATGGTCCTCCACGACGGTGATGCCACCAGGTGCGTCACACTGTTTCTTAGGTCGCGGTTTCGGTCAGAGAAGACTTCGCATTGTCGCTCGCCGTGTAGGGTCAGATCGGGGTCAATGAGGGAACTAAACCGAGGAGCGATGTTGTGCTTCGCGTGTGCGTGACGCACCACTACTATCGTCGGTGCCATCGCTCTTCGCTCCAGTAGTTGGCCACTTTCGAGCTATGCCAGTGAGCAAAGTAGGACAGACCATAACGTAATTGAGCTTTGTGCGAATGCCATCATGGCGAAGCCTTAAGTAGTCAGCCTGGAGCCCTTGATCGGTGAGAAAGATCAAAGCTGTTGTGCTTGTACGATGAGTAGCTATTTTGAAAGGTCCACTGACTCCAAAACAAAGAGGCTACAACAATACGATGGCACATACTCTTTGTCAGTATGCTCTTTCTCTCAAAAGTCTTGTCGAAGCGACCAGAGGTGATGGTCTAAAGATCAAGGAAATGATTATGAACACCTACCAGCGCAAGTAAGCCTCTCTTTTCCTGACCTTTAAGGCCACGGGCAGCAGTTCACCAACTCTTTCTTCTCCCTATGGTATCGATCCTTGGGGGAAGGAGCTCCTGGGGGATTCAGGGAGGTGGGATCACTGTGTCAGCTTCTGCCGACGCCCCCGCTCGTCCTTTCATCATCGAAGCCACCGAATAGCTTTTTCTGATAAGCTCATACGTATGCTGATAGCGGGAATGGAGACGCAGCAACGTAAAAGAAAACCTCTACAGGATATAAGGAGTAGAGCGTGTTTGGATCTCAGCGGCAGTTGAAAACTCTGGCATTCTTTCAATATCTGATTCAAAGAAGCAAGTAGTGTCACATCTCAGCGGATGCCCGGATCATGGAGGCCGTGGATGCCTGGTGTACTCAACCGCAATATCTTAGGGGGCGTTGTGTAACCTCGCTTGCAACCCCTGAGACGCGACACGCCCTCTATATTAGGTGTGTGGCATGAATGACGATACACATCGAGGTGAGATACATGCAGGTTTGCTGCGGGGTGATCCGAGTAGAGTTACATGTACTTGTTGCGGTGAACAACGCGCGTGCGCTGATGGTTATTCGCCTAAGGTCGAACTGCCATAGCTGTCACTCGGATCCAAATTCTGCCGGTTTTCTGCTCTCTTCATCTTATTACTTATCTTGTTACCGATTTATAAGTCTGTCGACAGATTTTTAGAGTCCTAGAGAGATGCACGGCGGCTGATGGTGAACCTCAGGGCTTGGACAGCCACCAGTGGTGGTTGCAAAGACGAACGCTCTGCAGCCCCTGAGCCAGCCAGCACTCAGCGCCACAGCTAGTAACTTTCTCACACGTATTTACTCGCCATAGAGCTATGCCTCTAGTACCTGGTCCTTAGTGTGCTGCAGAGAGTGGTCTCAGGAGAGTATGCTTATTCTAGCAAAGGACATGAGCTGAAACAATCTACATGGAAAGAAATACGATACACCGCTTTTTATATGCATCGCGAATTGGTCCAAGGGATTTTGAGTATCATGCTTTAGGCCTCAAAAAGAAGGCGTTTTCAAAACACTGGACCATCTAGGCCTCACTCCATCGTCACGTTTTGGGGTATAACCACCCAACGAACACTTCTACCGTGCTTTCTACTTCTGGGCTATACCATATTATGTTTATCTGAACATTTACTTGCATCTTAAGGTATCTTAGCATATAAGAAGGAGGTCTGATGCTATCCGAGTGTACTTGTGTTCAAACATGGCCAGTTCTTCAAAAATCTTGTCTCCTCCCATATATGGATTACTTGTAGATGGGTTGCCAGTTGGCTTTCCCTCTTTTGGAAATATCTGCCCCTGTGGCCACTTGGAATTACATTTACTTAGGGCACTCCCCTTGTGAGACTTGATCTGATCCTTGGCATTGCCATATGGTGACGTTGACGCCCCCACAACAATCCAACCCGCATCCTTCCGCGAGATTGATGTTGCCTCGAGCCAATCATTGCCGAGCTCACAATGGGCACACCAGCACTCACCGAAAACTCACAAGCAGGTGCCGCGAATAAGGTTTGATATGCTCCTCGATATAGACCCCAAGGTCAGGATTTTCTATCTTTTCGAGCGCCTTGTTCCCCACATGCAGCTGACTGTAGCAATCTTGGACGCTTGCGGAAACGGCATCAAATTCCGACATGGCTTTGTCTTGACGCCATCATTATGACCCGTGGTCATAACGCAGGGGCTCATCACCCAACTACTCTCTAGTCTTCTTACGCAATACGCATTCCCACAGAGCAGGGTATTCAGGATGGGTTCCATTTCGCGAACGGCAAGATTTTTGTTGCCTGCCGGCCAGCAGTCAGACACAATTCATTGGATGGTAGCGATCGATTGCAGGTACCATTTCTCGCACGGCCGGGCCTTCTGGCCACAGAGATTATCCACCCCTGCCGATCTTTTCAGCTTCGTGGAAATGGAAAATCCTCGAAGCCCACCAGGACTACTTTGGATCGTAAGCATCCCGAGAAAGAAGAGCGCGAGCAGTCAACCCAACCACTACCCTTGACCCACAGACTCATAGACGTGCCTCAGAGCGCACTACATCAGACAGCCAAAGCATAGTTTCTCTTGGTTTTGATTCGTTCCCAGCAATTGTAGTCTAGTAAGTCTGTTGCCGCCGAATGCGCATTAACTGGATGCGTCTGAAAAAAGCTCCGAACGGTTCACCCAGCCAGAAGTTGCGAAGATGCCTATCAACTTGCTTGGAAGAAGTGCTTAGAAGCGGTTAGAACGTTTTTGTTTCTTTATTTCTTGTGAACTCACACTCTTCTAGGTAGGGTTGCGTCAGGCTCCAGGGGTAGCTTCGCCTGAGCCAACACCCAAACTGACAAGGGTACATGTTTCAATGCTGGCCTTGATCAGCCAATGGGGTAGAAAACACAATCCTGGCTGCAGACCAACAGCCACTCAGCGTGAACACGTCGCTTTTTTCTTGTCGAAACTGCGGACCGCCGCGCTGGAGAATAAGGGCGGCTTGGTTTGCCTCGGGGACTAAAGAAAACACTAAGCCATCGCGATCTATCCCTGACGCAATCAAACCTAGAAGAGTCTGGGCTGCAGTTCCGGAACCAGGTGGCTTGTTCCGTTGCACATTCTGGACATGGCCGGCTCAGACCCAAATGCAGGTGAAGTTGGCCTACAGCCAATGTAAGCATAGATCACCATATCATATCTAATGAAGTGGAAAGCAATATTCTAGCTTCGCTATGCAGCTTGTACGTTTTTCTTCTTCTGCGTATTCTCAGAAGTCGATATACCAGTTTTACCATGGAGGTCATCGTGAAGTCAACTATCGCAGCTTGCATTTCACTGCGTACTACTCGCCAGGTTTGTCAGGCAAAAGCAACGTGTTTGGCGTATAAATCGCTGGCCATGGCTCTCAATAGAATCATATCTCTCAGTGTCCATTGATTCGAGTTGGACCCCTTTATTTTTCCCCGCATTGAACAGAGCCACGACTGCATCGTGCTTAGTCACACTCAGCGTCGCAATGGGTTCTCATGCTCCAGGTCGAGACTACACGCTACCGAATGAGAGAGAGATTGAGCGAAGATTCATGCTAGACTGGACCGAACGCGTTGTTCAGCACCATCTCTCAAGCCTTCGAGTGTTACAGGAGAGAGTCCAACGCTTCGTGGAAGCACATAATGATTCAATCGCGCAACGTTACCCTCAGTTTCAAGACAGGTGTCGAGGATTTTCTTCACTTGGCTCTGAAATGTTTGACAATTGCTACGGGATATTAAGAACAAGGCTCGGTCAACTAGCGGTCCCATCGCCATTGATTGCCCCCGTGGTCCAGTTCCTGACACCCAGCCTGTTAGTGGAAGGGGTAGCAGAGCTCAGAGCCCGAGTACCCACACCCGGCCTCGAGTCGCTACCAGTTCAAGCGCCCCCATCCTCCGAGACTTTAACGCAGCCAGGTGCATTGCACGTGGAGGGTAATGCCAACGATACAGATGCACTGGATGGTGATAGCTCCGACGATGATACTTCTGACGATCCCGGCTCAGACAGTGCGGACTCGACATATGAACCAGATCATGAGACACCAATAGTTTCCAAGCTAAAGGACCAGCGAGCAAACAAACGGCACGTCAGCCCGAACGCTCCGATAAGCCACCCAAGCAAGAGGCGCAAGTCAACCCAGGGACCACACGTTGATGCAATGATGCAGACTGATTGTACCATACGGCTGGATCAATGTGAAGAAGGAGAAGCTATCTTTCGGGTCGCACATCATCCGAACACATTCTTCGTTCTACGATGCCAGAACCACGATTGTCCTGAAAGGATTGCTAAGTTGAACCCTTTCGACAAATCCCTAGCATTTGAACATTTCAACAAACTTCACCCCAATGGAAAGAGTCGCGGTGAAGCAGAAATCGCGATGGAGAACTCTTTGAGGAGTGAGTGTACCTCTATTCACAGCTGGAGTACATGGCTAATCAAGTCACTCGTAGTCACTGGTCTAAATAGGGTAAAGACAGACGAACTGAAGAGAAGTGCATTCAAATGTGAGTCTTATTCTGTGTGGTACTGCTCGCCGCTTGTCAAACCGGGCGTATCACTAACCCCACTGGCAGGTCGACTGAGAACCAAGCCGCTAGAAGATATCCCAGGTGATCTAGTCATGCAGCCTAAGCCCCCACGAACAGTCCTCATGACTCAGGCTTTGACTAAGCCGAGGACATTGTCACCTGGGAACCCCAGTGTGACATCTTTGCCCTTGGTTACGGACCAGCCTTCACGTCTCACAATGGACGCGTATGATCTCCCCAACAGTGGTGAGAAATCACACTACAAGTGCGGTAATAGTGCACAACCGCACAGGGAGGGCCTCCCCGCATCCGTGACCTCTGACCAAAATCTTAACAAGATACTTGCTACAGGTATCAGCGCGTTCGGAGACTTTGGTGGTAGGGAAGATGGTAGCGGCGAGATCTTGCCGGGTCGCATCATTCCATCTATTGAAGAACCTGAGTTCAATAGTCCGGTGTCAGGCTTTGGGAAGTATGTAACCCATAGCCTTGCACTTCAGTTGGCTGACCATTCACCATCATGTAGGACTCGTACGCCACCAGCCCGACGGTTCGCACGCCAAGTGTCTCGCCGATCTAGCGGTTCTGGTTCACCTTTCTGAGTTCCCTTTGCCTAGATTAAGGGTCTAAGAAGCTGTATTACTATTCTAGCGGATTCGAAAAGGTGTCAAAGTCTATAAAGGTTTACACCCTGGGCTGGAGGCGGGTTGAGGCTTAGTAGTCTGTTAAGTGATCAAAACTGTTTATGCTCAACTCCAAACTCTTTAACAGCAGTGTGTATTGTGTTAGACTACCATTTTAGGTTCCCACGTGCGTATCTCAAAATTCCGGGCTCCCACATCATCTGTGGATGATTGACATCGAGCGGCAATACCGTCTCTGTCTCACTACCTACGTAGACAGCTGGACTACTTCGACACCGTGGGCTAGGAGCCGCGATGCTCTGTCGCCAAGTAATGGTCCACGCAAAGCTATCGACGTTCTCTGGATATGTCTCTCAACACTAGCTGTAGAATCTGTAAAGCAATGGGTTGGCGCCGGCCTTGCCGCGACGCTTTCCATGTAGATACGCAGTCATTATCAATTGGAAAGAAGCACTCCGTTGAATTTGTACTGGATCCACTGTACTGGCAGGTACACTCTACGTATGCCGTAGGCGAAGGCTTGTATGGAACCATGGAACCCAATCGTTTCCCGCTGACTCCGGAAATGAAGCTGTATGTGCTAGCCAGGGGGTTGGCACACAAGGCTCTAGTGGTCCAGAAACGACCTATCTGCAGTGCCATGCTTTCCTCTCGGTAGTGGTCGATGGGGTCTATCAGTGTTGGAAAGAATCATCGCTCCCCCGGCAACAATTTACGGGTTGGTACTACAGAGATAGGAGCTTTAGACCTCTCTGGCATCAGCAGAGGACCGTACCTTTCCCCGGGGGGTTGCTATATGAGCCACCTTGCGGCCATGGCCTGACTAGGCGAGTTGTCGAGGAACTGTAACCCTTGACCGGACTGGTTGGCTCCTAATCTCTCCGCCACTGTCACAGCTTTCGGATATCTCTGCGAACTAATAATGCAGGAAGAAGCCATGTCTTCACGTTCTCCAACAAGTATCAAACCTAGACCTAACAAAGTGGAGATTGACAAACAGTTCCACTTCAAGAAGAGCAACATATCTCGCAATGACATTGATAATCACAAGTCTTATAGTCTCCACATTGTGCGGCGTTGAGGTGGTGTGCCTGGCTTGCCTGACTCGGAGGAGCTTGGCCAAATCTGCCCTGCAGTACGCCTGGCTTGCCATGCACGTCGATGTTGCCTAGCACTGTTATTCTAGGCTCCCAGTCATATAATCGTCGATCTCGGTTAAGCACTTTTCAACCAACTGATTTCAAAACAAGGGGGCCCGAGATAGGCAGAAAATCTTGACTCGCAGGCGACCATCGACAAGTGCACAGTCGCGGATCGTACCCGCCATCTTCGCCAGGGGCACACTGAAGATCCTCGAATCGGAAGTTACCCGCTCATGTTTGATACGTAGGAAAAGCTGGCGGCACGCACGCGAACTGGGTCAAAGCGGGAGCTCCGACGAGAACCTTATTTCCACACCCTAGGAGAGGTGGCCGGTCGTATATCGATAGACGATGGAACAAGATGCCTCTGATTTGGTTTTTTTATTAGGCTTCAGGGTCACGAAAAACTTGCATGGTTGCCTGAACATAGCCCCAAACAGGGTCCCACTCAGGCGGCGGCTATCGAGATGTTCTGGTTCGCGTCCCAGATCTCTCGGTGTAAGGCGCAGACAACTACGATATCTTGACCTCCTTTTCCCAAGGGACATACGAGACTAGGCCCTGCCTAGGCATCAGAGTGCTGATGGCAAACCAGTCCCTTGCAAGTGTACGTCTTCGCTTTGTAGGCCTGCCTTCGGTCAATATCTCTCCGATTCTCTCAGCAATACAGATCTATCGCCCGGCTAGAGGATCAATATCCTCTGACAAGTACGTTCGGTCTGCCAAGTAAACCCCTTGTCTCATGTGTGAAATAGCCACGTGCTGCCATACTCTTGGATTGGCCCCTCCCCCCGCCCCTTTTTCTCCGCTTCCGGCCACCCCGGGCATCGTACCTAGATAAGCAATAGTGGTGACGGCTACAAAGCCGAGCGGCTGGCATATGGTCCTTCGGTATATTTTGAATGCATATCCCGATTCCTCTGAATATCTAAAATGGCACCTAGAGAAAGTTGACTATTGATAGGCAACATTGATCTGACATTATATTCAATCGGTGCTCTTTCTAAGTGGAGGTTCATACGTCGAGTTTACACCATTCCATACATAGAAGATAAACTGAATTTGGTAAGTACAGTACTGTTCTTTTCGAACCGATCGCTCCAGGCTGTGTGTCTCGTTGTTGGTCTGGTCAAAGCTGAACCCAGGGCGCTTACAGATGCAGCCGCCAATGGCGTGCCTCGGGAGGCTGGGAGAGGTTCCCCGCCCGCCGAACCCTTTGCTAGCTTATTAGATGCGTTACCGTTGTCAATAGTACAGGGGACTTATGGCCCGGATTGCGACGATAACATGCGCCTCACGGACCGTTTCAAGTGGGAGTTCCCTATCCCAGCGAGTCCCAACTGGGGGTGGGGAGGGTCAAACTTCTCGGGCAGACCGAACTACGGTCACTTTGTGGCGGCCCGTCCCCTGCAGATCTTCATCACCCAGTCTAAGCAGTACCATCGCAATCGGAGGTCGGTCAGTGCGCTGCATCTCTAGTTCGCAAATTACAGTGAAGGCGCAAATTTGCTTCATATTGGCGAAAGCAAGTTGCTGCTTCTTAGCATTTGACAGCCTTAACCCACCACTACTAGGATTGTAGTAAGGGCGAATCTCAGGATGGTTGCATGGTGCCATGGCCGGCCTGTGCACAAATTGTCAATTCCACCGACCTATACAATGTGACAGGTCATGAATGGAAAGGTGAGCCCCTACTTCTCTTTCATCCACTCGCCATCGTCGTACCACGAACCCATGACTAGTTGCTATGCGACCGCTTAGTGCCCAGGTTATTACTTGGATGGGACTCTGTTGCCTTGCCATTAACTTTCCATACCACACTCAGGCTACATGCTTTTCTCCATCACTGGTTGTTCCCCTCACATGGCTCCAAGGTTGCCACATCCCAATTTCTGGCGCCTCAATCCGATCTTGCTCTCTAACGAAGTTCCTACATCAACCAAGCTGTAGGCTGTCGCCTCACCGTCAACATTTAACATCCAGCAATGATCGCGGGAAGTCACACCCACACCTTCCCATGGAACGAGGGCGACGTCAACAAACGGCATGCTGAGGAATATGTCTCAGATTGCGCTAAACACTATCACCTCCAACGAGACGAGCTGGAAGCCGATCTACGAAGCCTACATCAGCGCTTGATCCAATATAACAGTTATGTAGAGACTCACATTCGACAATATGACCGCCGATTCAAGGAGGTGGTTGGTGTCGATTCCGAAAGTTTTGCCCATGGCTATCAAGCTCTGAATTCGCTTCGAATCCCGCCAGTGGTGAAGAAATGTCGGTTGCCACACGGACTACAGTCACCGACGTTGAGTGTCTTGACTGAACCTATCAACAGTAGCCAGTCAAGCACTCGAAGCGAGGTCCACGTTGATCCAGACGCATCAGGTTCCAAAGGAACGCTGGATCCATCCACCGCTATTGCAGGAGGGACTACAGCTCCAGAGAAGGAAGTAACAAGTCCAGGTAACCCATCGCCACTGTCACAAGATGATGGTGCCCAGGGCCAACAACTTCAGAGCCAAGACGATTCGGGCCCATTGCAGCGTACCGAGAGTTCTGGCGCTAGAGCCATGACAGATCAAGTCGCTGGGATCTCCGGTATCACGTCGGCGACGCCTCATGATGTATTAGATACTCTAGGAGCTAAAGTTCCTCCAAATCTTGACCCGAGAAGCTCCTCAGATCCGCTTCTCATACCACCGTCTGATGTCGCAGAAGACCAAGCTCAGACTGATGAGGACCCCCTAGATGATATAGGGGAGGAAGACGATGACAATCCCTTCGACTTATCCTACGATCCAGCACAAGATCGGGCGAGCTCAGGAGGAGTTTTCACTGGGAAGAAACGAAGAGCTGCCAATGGCCCCTCGTCTGATATCCGATTCAGGAAGAAGCGCCGATCAACGCTGGGCGACTATGTTAACGACCTGTTATGTGTCGAACGTACCATTACAGTTGATCAGTATATTGAAGGAGAAGGAATATTCTGCGTGAAGCAGTGGCCGGGGTATCTTTACGTACTACGCTGCGGCATCGCCGGCTGTAGTGAGAGGATCTCCTACTCCAAGCCGTTCAAAGGAGACGCTACATATAGGCACTTCAATAGGCACTATGCCGATGGAATCAGCCGGTGTGAGGCATACATTGCTGTCCACTATGCCTACAAGAGTGAGTAACACCGATTGTAGGATGATACATACCACTAATCTAGTTTCACAGTTGTCGGGTGGGATAACGTATGGAGGAAGGAGAGAAAGCGACAGATTCACAGATGTAAGACTCCTGCTATTATTTGAGTTTAACTACTATGCGAATAATACTAATCTATTGCACAGGTCTTCTTGAAGACTATCAGCGAGAGGCTGTCACTCAAAATAGTCCTCGTCAACCGTTGTCCAATCTTCCACCTCCTCAAGACAACGCTCTGGGAGAACTCGTATCCCCAATAGACATAACGGCGGTCACGCCGAACCTAGCAGAGGAGCTTACCAGTATTACAAATGAGAATGGTTGCCTAGCCATAAGTAACAGCCTATACCCCCAGACCAGCGACGGGAGTTCTTTCATCAATTGTAATGCTGGCAGTCAACTTATTGACCAGGTTCGTCATCAGAATGGAGTTCTCGGATAGAATCCGACCTGATAACTCCGAGCTGATAACTGTAACAGAGTGCCGAAGAAGCCGACAGTTCTCAATTTACCCAGTCCGTAGAAGGGTAAGAGCAGCACTGTCACGGTTGAAGATACTTAGTGCGAACATCTGACCCCATACAGATCGCACAGACAGCGTACCCCTTTCCCTCGTAGATTCGCTCGCCCTGAAGCAGATACTGAAGTCACGTGAAGTGGAATTGATGGTGTCAATGGCGTCGCCATTGGCAAATCCACACACCGTAACATCATCATCTTCATCATCTTCATCATATTCATCATATTCATCATATTCATCATATTCATCATATTCATCATCATCATCTTCTTCTTCTTCTTCATCGTCGTCGTCGTCGTCGTCGTTGTGGTCAATGGCATATGGTGTCACACACCTTTGAGATCATTCTCTTGCAATCCTTAGGAACCATACACTGTGCGCAGTATCTTCACTGGCACATGACTGACAAAGTCTTTCATTCGGCTTCGACACACAGGAGGGTCTCATGGGCAAGGGTTACGGAGCACCGTGTAACAGTACAGCACATTATGGCCCGAGAGTGTCTTGAAAGCTTGCAGATACTGAACGAGACACACGAGAAGGCCTAAGGTCCTGATAAGTATAGATCGATTGAGGTGCGATTCTCCAACTTTAGATGTGTTCTTATTCAAGACGCTCCACAAGGAGGCGATTACTGATTCTTCTCGTAGACATTGGACAGTTTCGTAAAGCGCACATCCATTTTCTAAGATTTCAATGATGTAAGGGAGCAAGTCCGTTCTTGCCCTCTCTTTCAAGTATGACGCGTCGATTTCCCATCGTGATGGAACCCACAATGGCGCGGCCGAGTTATTCTGCACCTTCGTACAGACAGTTAAGACCATGATCCCTTACTGCCTTGTATATAGAAAATTAAAGTCTCAAGATTCCGGTTCACGCCCTTGCGGATACTTGCGTTACTATGGCGCTGGCCGTTAGCCTCGGCTTATTGCCCGTGTTGGTTTCTGGGAGATCTAAAGCCTTTCCAGTAAGTCACTCTGCAACATTTTCCTTTTTCATTCTTTTTCATTCTTTTTCATTCTTTTTCATTCTTTTTCATTCTTTTTCATTCTTTTTCATTCTTTTTCATTCTTTTTCATTCTTTTTCATTCTTTTTCATTCTTTTTCATTCTTTTTCATTCTTTTTAACAAGATAGAACAGGTACACTTTACATCGATTCACAGGCGAAGGCGGATAGTGATCAGTGCGTCATGGTTCGTGATCGGTATAACTTATAATCTAGGCGTTGCTAGGCAAATATACAGTTAAACGTCGAGCACAGGTCATTTCTAAGGACGCATACTCTGGCCTGCGAAGCTCATCCTCTGAATATATATATATATATATATATATATATAACACCGAAAGCTCTTAAAGCCGTGCGAACTTTGCGGTGTGAATGAAGGGATGTCAAACGCCACGGAGTGGCTTACGGCACCTATGGCGCAGCCGTGGGGCCCGTTACGCAGGTTGGGCTTGCCAGCCCTCTCTCTCCTCCTCCTCAGCCCCACAAACGGACAGGGAGATTCTACATATTTCATTCTTAGTATTTAATACACTTAGGTTGTATCAGAATGCAGGGGCTACGGTCACCGCTAATATGGCATTGAATCCTGCGAGGCAAGAACAGCCACGGCCAATCGCTTAGCACTGAGTAAAACTAACTGTGGGGTAGCCAGGCCGTCTAAGCCAGCCGAAAACTTTGAGAGGGTGGTGTGGGCTCGTCCATACAAAGCAGGCCAAGCCATTACGCGCCAGCCCTCCTACCCGCCGGGCGATGACTTGATGTCGGATTGGCTTCGGGAGGTAACCAACTGGGATCCGTTGAGAGGTCGGAACCATCACTAAAGAGTCTGTTTAATTGTTCAAACTGCCTGTATTTCCAACCCTGTAACTTGCCCAGGCCTTTCATGACTAATTCTTGATCATCACAGCATTATAGACTGCTGAGAAAGTGCTAGTTTAGTGATCCCTGTCCTACACTGCTCTGCTGAATTTCCCAGCACTGGTTTCGCCTTGCGCTCTGTAACACCTGTCACATTACTTGTAGGCACCAGCGACCTTCTCGGCCTGGCCAATACAGGTTTATACGCCTCGTATAGGGTATAAGAGTTACTCAACCTCTCAACCCCCCAACGAATCGCCATTGCTAAAACATTTTCCTTAAACTGTCCTACAGAGCCTGTGACGCGATGTCGCTTGAGCATCGTCATGACATCGATAGACCGTGGAAGCCAGAACACGATAAGCAACGTGTCTCACGTTACATGGCGGATTGCCTGGCCTATCGCAGACCACAGCTGGATGCACTAGAGGCAGACATGGAGGCGACTATCATCGCGCCGCTACGGATGATGCACCAACGGGTTAACGACTTCTACAAGGACATGGATAAAGAGGCCGAGCTTATTATGGAAGAGTTCAAAGACAAAGCTGGCATCGACCCTGAGGACATAGAGGAAAGCCGGCAAGCGCTGTTGGCGCTTCGATGTAGGTGGATCAGCATCATGCCACCTCTGTCTTCCTTGGAGATTCAGCCGCCGATGCCCACATCATTGCCGGCGCCCATTGAAAGCCTCCCCCACCCCACCGAGGATCCCGAATGGCAGGAACCCCCTCCATCAAACACAGCCAGCGACCTCAACGCAACAGCTGCGTCCTTGGATGGTCTTCCTGTTTATACCCTCGACGATGAGGCTGATTCAGATTACCACCCGGATCAGGAACGAAGGACCAGAAAGCCGAGGAGCGGCCAGCCTAGGAAGCGCCAGACGCACAACGAGTCCTCTCCGCGTGGACCGCAGAAGAAGCGGAAGACTCAGAAAAACGTCTCCATACGATCTCCAACACACACCCTACGTGCTCAAAGCCCGCTGACGCCTAAAAGCATCAATGTCGCCCCTGAGGCTCAAATGGGGATCCATGAAACGTCGAACTCTGCTAGTGCCGACGAGGACTGGGCCTTGCAAGTTGCGCTCATGCGTGACAGCGTAGGAGGCAAAAGCAATAGACAGAGTAATGGCGAGGTATAACCCTACCTTAGATCCTGACCAGGGAATTCGACTGATGATTGTGATAGAGTAGCTCTGCCAATATAGACGAGGGGAGTGCTGCCGAGTCAGGACAAAGAGACTTTAGTAGAAGCGTCGGAAACGCCAAGAGCATAGCCAGCTCTGCTACTGACCATACACCTACACGCAAAGGGAAAGAGCCGGAAAGGTAAGTCGTGAATTCACGCAACATTGTTCAACTGTCGCCTGACTTTTATAGGCCGCGCATGTGGCAAGAACCCATCGCACGCCGGGGTGCGCCTACCACTATGCAAGATGGGGACGATCCAGAAGTTGACCCCTTTGCGGAATCATCATAGTCTTCATGACGATCGGGTTTGAAGGTCAATGTGGTTATCGGATCAGCTATACAGGTCCGAGGAGGATGTCAGACGGTATTTTTCACCTCCCGTTTACACACGGAACAACTGATGCACAAATTGTTGCTCTGAGCATCTTGGTTTTGGTGTGTCAGGCAAATTCCAGCCCTCTCGCCAAGCGTCTTCGTTCATCGTTCAACAACCCTCAAGGTCGCTTGATCTTATGACAAGCGATAGTCCCTTGGTTCGCCAACTCAGAATGACCCAAGGCATTACAGGTGGAACATTTGCTCCTTCGCACGTGTTCATTCGATTTTAACTCTTGCCGCCAGGAAGTAGGTTCTTGGGCGAGTCCACGAGTCCAATGGAATGGCGTGTGAGTCCAGGGACGACCCACAAAGTGAATGAACCTTATCTGAATCGTGGACAAGGGGACGAGGAAGCTTATAATTTTGGTATCCATGCGATGACCTATTCAAGGGTCCAAAGGACTCTTAATCTCGACTTCAAGATGCCCAAGTTGAACCATATATATCTCATGTGACTGGGCTGAATATCAGCTACTTAATGCACAGACTACCCAGTTTCGAAAGGATATATCTCTGGAACTGCCTCTCAGAGGGAATAGGTATGTTTTGGCCTCGGCTTGTTCAAGATCAGGCGAGAGGCAGTTCTTACGAAACAAGCTTTAGGGACCTGAATTGTAGTTTGGCAACCAGGTGAGTCTCAAAGTAGAATTTGGGCCAGAACAGGCGGCTCAGGAAACTGGAAGTGCGCTGGAAAAATAAAAGCGAGCAGGGTATTTGGGTAAAATTGTGCAGTCTTCCCTGGCCAGTCTCAGACAGAAATCCACAAGCATCCGCAGTTGAAATCGCTTCAGCTTGCACGAATTCTCATCATGCGGCCACTCGCCAGTGCCGTAGGATTGGCCGTCTTCCACTTGAACCTGCTCGGACCTGCCGTTATTGCCGCCGCGGCAGCCTCTTCAACAAAAGATCCTTCACTGTTCGACGTGGACCACGGTTTTCATGCTGCAGATGTGGAGTATGAAAACGGTCCATCCGGTCCCGATGTGGAAGTAGACAGGGATCTCATTGGCGATATGCCATATGGCATTCGGATTGAATCATGCCAGAACCCAGGTGAGGTGGCCATCACCTTCGACGACGGGCCGTACGAGTGGACGCGTAACATCGCGGAGGCCTTTGACGATGCTGGCTTCAAAGCCACCTTCTTCATCGCAGGCTTTAACGCCTGGCGCAAGATCTACGATACCTCGACGCAGTACCCGAAGCTAGTCAGGGACATTTATGCCGCTGGCCACCAGATTGGGTCGCACACGTGGACGCACAAGAGCTTGGAGAGGGTTGGCAAGGAGAAGCGCATCCGCCAGATTCTCGACAACGAGAAGGCGTTCAACAAGGTCCTTGGCGTCATTCCCACGTACATGCGCCCTCCGTTTGGCGAATGCTACGAAGACTGCCAACAAGACTTGAAAAAGCTTGGGTATCACCTCATCTGGTGGGATATCGATACCAAAGACTACATGTACAACTCGGAGGACTCGTACAACGAAGCCATCGATAGGTTTGATGAGGACCTGGACGACGGAGGCTCGATTGCTCTGTGCCATGATATCAAGTACTACACCGCGCATAAGCTCGTCCCTCACATGATATCGGAGCTTAAGCGGAGGGAACTTAAGGGCGTTACGGTCGGGCAATGTCTGGGAGACCCGGAGGAGAACTGGTACCGGCCAGTTCTGAACAACTAGTGTCGGCCTGGCGGATGATGTCTGTGGAGTGAAAGAGGCAAGAAGAATAGAATTGTTACCTTGAAACGCACTGATAATTGCTGGCAAGGTGTACGTTGAACACAGACTCAGTGTGCTTCGCACGAACGGATTCAAAGTCAATGACTCGCCACGATCGGCGGTGCACTCATGTTGAACACCATGACTTGATATTACCTACTAGCAAAGCGGAGGAAACAAGATGTCTTTGGCATCACTATCCTCACACCCTGTCCCCGGCCGTTACCACAAATGCTTGGCAGGAGAGCCTGAAGGACATGCGATCGATTATATTGGGATCGCGTCTGATACAGAGCTGCCCGCTTTGACAGGAAATCCCAGAACCCTGTGTCTGGTTAGCAATCGTCTTGACTCTGCGGGGTCTGCTTGATTCCACGGGAATGTAACTCACCCCTTGCCGGTATCCGTAGCGCAGCAGCAGCATAGCAGCGAGGCTGGCCAGCAGACGATCTATACACGTAATGTCAATGCATCTGTGCCGGTGGCTTCCCAGCTGCATCGGCAGCGAGACAAGATCAGACTCCCACTTTCCTTCCTTCGGCATATCACAGATATTCACAAGGGAAGAGCTATAACGTACACCCACTGCAACAGTTGTAATGAATCCCAGAGTCGGGCCCACCACTTTGCAGTGGCAGGGGTTCTGGTCGGTGCCGCATTGGAAGCAAATTATGGGGCCCGGTAGCACGCCGCAGTCCATCGTCGCTTGGTCCGTTTTTGGCGCCGGGCCACGGGCGAATGCAGCTGCGCGGATACCTGATGTTGATCGTCGGCCAAAGGCGGACAGGCGGATACTGTAACCAGGCTGCCAGGCCGGGTCTCGCGGGATGTGAGGAGCGGTGAGACACGACAGAGACGGCGCGCGGTGCGTTGGATGTGGATAAGGAGGAACAAATTGCCTGCAGTTGCAGACGATAGCGTCAGGCGTGGTGTGATAATAATCAGGCCAGTCTCCACGTCGAGCGTCAATTTGGACAAGTCAACAAGGTGGTGCTGTTTCGTAGATTACGATTACGATTACTATTTGACTATTGCTCAACTGGACGACTGCCGTTGTGTGCGATCTCCACTAAGGTGCAGACTACTTGGTCGATGGTGATGTCAACTGAGGGGCACATGGGAGAGCACTCTGTGTGAGATAATTGCCTAGGTAAACTATATGCCAACAGGACGGATGCATTGCGATATCGTGCGCCTGCAAACGCATCCGGCTTCAGAGGTTAGCACGGGATGCGGCTGGGCGTCGCTGTAGAAGTCGTATCTCCGAAAATATAGCTGTCACAGAACGGAAGGCCTTTTGGAATGGCGCGGAAGACGTATCGGGCGGGTGTCACATGTGAAAATGTATGTCACAACTTTCGGACTGAGGAAACCCAGAATTGCGGAAGGTAGAAAATGGATCAGCTTTTGGTTTGACCTGATTTTGCTATATGCAATATTCAATTTGATGTCGTTGGATTCATATCTGTAGTAGCCGTTGTACGGCTCTCATGAGTTGCCCCGCTAAACGCCAGTCCCAAGTCTATGCACTCTGTCTATGGTTGGTGGTATCTTAAGTTCATTCGCAATAAAAACAACTTAGATGATCGCCGCAGCGTCATGCTTCTCGCCGTGGAGGACGGGGTTGATGGTCTCGTCGAAGTGCATCTTGAAGTCGCTGCCCAATTGCTTCTTGAGGGCAGTCTGGACAGCCTCGAGGACGTTGGGGAAAACACCGAAGTTGGCCGGGTTCTGCTCGTCGTTCTCGCCTCCCTGGAACACACCAGTGCGGACCAAGCAGGTGTTCCAGCCGTACATGTTACCTCCGACAATGTCGGAAGCCGGGTTGTCACCGACCATGTAGATGTTCTCGGGAAGCTTCTCCTCACCGTGGAGCTGCTCCATCCACGAGGTCATGATCTCGTCGGCGTACTTGTAGGTGGCAGCCTCGGGCTTGCCGTACACGACACGCTCAAGATCGGCGCCAGTCAATGCCTTGTACATGGCCTCCAGCCCAATGCGGAAGGTACCCTGGGACATACGGGGAGTCCAGTGCTCCGTAGGGCAAAGCATGTCACCCTGAGAGAAGTAGATGGGAATGCGCGAGGTGACAGGGTCCTTTGCAATTGTGCCAAGGCGGCCGTTCTCGCTGCGAAGCAGATCCATGATGATTTGCATATCGGTAGCGTAGTCTCGGGAGTCTGAGAAGACAAGAATGGCCTCAATGTTGCACTTTGAGAAGTCACGGGGCTTAGCCGAAGCTCGCTCCCATGGCGAGAAGTGTCGGTAAGGAGCAATGGTCTCGTCCCAGGCGACAATGTCGTTGGGGACAACAATGTCCTTGAAGCCGTAGAGCTCGGCAACTTCACGACACTTGAAGCCTTCTCCACCGACAACCAGGACGGTGTTGTAGTACTCAGCCAGGGCGCTCATTGGCGTGTGAGACTGGATGAACTGTTCCGTCGACACGGGGTTGTGGAGGATCTTGGACAGCTGTTCACAACGAGCCTTTTCAGGCTTGCCAGAGCCGTTGGTAAGGAAGATGTGGGGGATCTTGATGCCGAGCTCGTTGTCACCGTTCAAGATCTCGAGGGCACGCTTTCCCTCCGGAATCAGGCGGTCACCGTGGACCAAGACACCGTCGATATCGAAGGCAAAGGCCATGTTCTTGGCCTTCTTGACCTTGTCGGACTCGACATCCTGAATCTGAGATGCTAGCAGTTCCCGAGTAGGCTGGATCGGGGGCATGCCCGGTCGGGCGGGACGGCCATCAGCGGTAGTGCCCTCGGGGTAGTGGACTGATGATAGTCTCGACTGCCTCTTGGATCGGGGGATGGGCAGAGATGCGCCGAAGGAGTTACGCGAACCCCGTCGCTCCTTCATCGAGGGAGATACACTCAGGTTGTGCATGTACTTGGCAGCCTCGGACACCGAATTCCTGGTGGCAGGAACCTCGATGGGGCCCTCGCCATCATCGCCAGGAATAGGGAGGTTCTGAGAAGGGGAGCCTTGGGGGAGGCTCTGACCGTTAGGCTTGACTGAGGTAGGGCTGAGGGGGGTATCAACACCGAAGTCAGAATCCTCGTAAGTCGGCATCTTGGAGAGAAAGTCTTGAGTCTGAATGGGAGTAGACGACAAAATGTTTACTCGAGGAATATCAGTGGGAGGAAGTAGAAGTGAAGATGAATGGGAGAAACGATTCAAGACCACGTGGAAAGAGGCAGGTCGAAGTATTTATCCGTATCGTGTCAACGCTCGCCCAGTTTCCCCTGAATAATTTTGTTGCTGCCGACGCAACCCATGCCGGACGGTAGGCAGCCCACCATGGCTTTGGATAAGGACGTCATTGTGAAGACCCTGACCATGCTACCGCGATGGCAACACACCGGGACGTGGTCAAAGGAATGAAAACCGGGGCCATTCATGGTTGGATGAAACGGCCAAACCGAATAGGCCGGCGTTCCTGATTCAGCGGTCCGATAAGATCTGCTCCTCCCAGATACGCAGAGCCTTTGGGCGGCGTCGGTATAGTAACGGTGAGGTGGTTGAGAAGCTTTCGACGTTGGCCTCCGAAAAGAAGCCGTAAGAAGCTCTTGAAACTGGGCCCGGCCCACTAGATCGCCTTCGCTGTCTGGATCTTCCCGGGTCGTCCTGCGCACCGGCTCCGTTTAACTGACATCATTGGGTATCCGCCCATGCATGAGGCTGCCGGGCGGTTGCAGCGCCGCCATGCCAGAGTTTTCAGCCTTCCGACTCGACTATTTCCGCTTTGGGGCCGCCTGCGTGGCGATCTCAGGGCACCAGGGTCGAATAAGGTTCACTGGGTACGCGAGTACAGAGAATCCCCCGACTCGCTTGAGCCGCAAAGGAATACTCGCCCGGACGCGACGGCCACAGGCAAACCTGAATGTACACCGCGTCAGCCCTGGGAGCCCGGCGCTAGCTAGTCAGGGCCTTGCGCTGGGCGGGCCCACTTCACATGAAGGGTCTCAAGCAGAAACAGCCACTGGATATACTAGATCCACAATGTTGCCGCAGTTTGCCAGCAGCTCTGGAGCTGTCTCGGGTTAAGAGATTTTTATGTTGGACGGCGAGGAGGAGATTGTTGACGAAATGATGTAATGAAGCGCGGTTGGCCGTCAGAAGCAATGTGGCCTCGCCCTTTTGACCTGCTCGCTTGCCGATACTGGAATGTCTTTGACCGACTTCACTCGTAATATCCTTCTCACTCACAAGACCGACTCCAACAACTCACCCTCTATTGACATTCATTGATATTCACCCACGCAAGTTCCTCAAAGCACATCATCACCATGGCACCCGCAAAGTCCGGCTCAGGTGCGCAGACCACCTTCACCCTGTCGAACGGTGTCAAGATCCCCGGAGCTGGGTTCGGCACCTTCGCCAACGAGGGCGCCAAGGGTGAGTCCTACAAGGCCGTCAAGGTCGCTCTGCAGACCGGCTACAGACACCTGGACTGCGCCTGGTTCTACGGAAACGAAGACGAAGTTGGCCAGGCCGTCCGCGACTTCTTGAAGGAGACACCCTCGGTGAAGCGAGAGGACATTTTCATCTGCACCAAGGTCTGGAACCACCTGCACGAGCCGGCCGACGTCAAGTGGTCCTTTGAGAACTCTCTCAAGAACTTCGGCCTGGACTACATAGACCTCTTCCTGGTTCACTGGCCGATTGCAGCCGAGAAGACGGACGACTATAAGCCCAAGATCGGCGCCGACGGAAAGTACATCATCAAGAAGGACCTCACTGAGAACCCGGAACCAACATGGCGGGCGATGGAGGAGCTTGCTGAGAGCGGCAAGGCTCGCGCCATCGGCGTCTCCAACTGGACCATCGACGGCCTGAAGAAGCTTCTGAGCTTCGCCAAGATCAAGCCCACCGTCAACCAGATTGAGATCCACCCGTTCCTGCCGAACGAGGCCCTGGTCAAGTTCTGCCTCGACAACGACATCCTGCCCTCGGCTTACTCTCCACTCGGATCGCAAGACCAGGTGCCCAACACTGGCGAAAAGGTGCGGACCAACAAGACACTCAACGAGACCGCCGATCGCAGCGGGCACACGCTCGCCCAGGTGCTGCTGGCCTGGGGCCTGCGCCGAGGCTACGCCGTGCTGCCCAAGAGCTCGACGCCGTCGCGGATCGAGAGCAACTTCCAGATCCCGGAGCTGTCCGACGCCGACTTCGAGGCGGTCAACAGCGTGGCCAAGGGACGACACACTCGTTTCGTCAACATGAAGGACACCTTTGGATACAACGTTTGGCCCGAGGAGTCTGTCGAGGCGGGCACGGCTGTCGCTTGAGCGGCCTGAGCGATTGACCCCTCACGACGAGATGAAAGGGGACTTTGGGCAATGCCCATGGAGGGGTGGAGGGGTAGGGAAATGACGCACGTTGAGACGCAGGATACCCACATGAAGTTTCGACGATAAGATCTGCTAGCGAAAAATTTAGATTAGACCACGGGCCACCTCTGGCCAGAGGGGCTCTTGAGGCGTTTTTCTTTTGGTGGACTCAGTGTGACAGGCGCCTCAAACGTTAGGCGACTCTTGGCCATAGAGAAAAGCAATTGACAAACGACCGCATTCCAAATATAGCAATGCGCTTTGCGATCCATTGCGCGAGACAGACATGTGCATTGCATGATGGCCAAGCTTCAGCTCAGCTTCGGCCACAGCGTTCTCCAAATCGGACAAGCCAGCCCTTCACAATAGCACGTGGCTGGCTCACCCCCGGCTAACACCCCAAGCTGAACATCTTGGGTGGCGCTGAAGCTTGCCGTAGCCCTCCACCGGAAGCCGCTGAAGAATTATTACAGACGCCCGGCAGTTTTCGCTGTCGGACCCCTAGCTTGAACTTGGAACTATAGTACTTCGGCAACGCAGCAGTCCAATGGCCGCGGATACCGGCCTCAAGGTGGCAACTTTCCCATTCCTTGCTTCCCATCTTGTGCAATGGCATTTTATCAAGTCTAGGAAACAGGGCACATGGCAGGCAGGGAAAATGGATGCTGCTGATCGTCCGAACTCAATGAGCAGGTAAGGTTTGGCGGTAAGATTTGGCACTTGTACCATTTGGACTGCACAGCCGTGATCCAGACGTCATGAACATGTCAAAAGCTGCCTGCTGTACAAGTTGTAGATCTCAAGTCAGACTGTCAAACATTGCTGGCAACGCCAAAAGCCCTTGCTGCTTTACCTCGGCGGGAGATCTTAAGATCGGAGTTGATCATGACGCGGGGCGCATCGCAGGCGCGCACACACTGGGGTACGGCTACAAGTGATTGATTGGCCCAAGCTATGACGGCGAGAGTGCAAATCTCAATGCTTAAAGTGAACAGCTGCCATACTAATCGCTAACCACAGTCTTGAATGTCATGACGATATAGGTGGAGCAAGATTGGTTTCCCAAGACACACGGCCAGGTTCAGTAGAACTGGGCGTTAAGATTCGAAAGCGTATCTCGTGGCACCCGACTTCAATCTCGAGATGCCTTTGGGGCCGAGTAGCCACGATGATTTACGGAGCACCAAAGCATTGTCAAGGGTCAGATACATACCTGCAAGGTGGAACATGACGCACTGCAAAAGTTGAAAAGGATCAAGGTACCGTGCCCACAGTGTAGCTTGCGTAACATGCCACTCCTGCAGTTGTTGTCCGCCTCAGTCTCAAGTTGTCCCGTTTTCACGACGAATCGATCAGGCCACTTCCTGGGATGTGTCTGCTGCCCGGCTCCTCCGGTACAACGCCTGCACGCTTCAAGTTGAAGGGTGGGGGGAATTTTGGATACGAGAGCTCGTGAGTCGAAGAGGGATGGGCCTCGTGCCCGAAGTCATTGTCTGTCTGGCTGTCTGTCACTCTCGTGCGCTGGGCTGCAGTTGATGTCGGTCGAAATTTCGATCAGGGCACGGCCGCGGCGCGATGGGCAACGGCGAAAGCAGGGCCATCGGCAGCTGCGCGTGAACGACAGAATTCGACAGGTTGCCGGGTCCACCGTGCTCATGATCAACGCCGGCGGAGAAAACGTTGGCAGCGGTGGAGTGCCGATCGATGTGCGAATGAGGGTCTGATGCTGTCGTTAAACCGGGTCGCGACACAGCAACGCGCCTCACGCGAGCGGCGGACAACCGCGCAGGTGCTGGAAGATGAGGCCTCGACATCTCGGACGGGCACGACGACGACGGCATCGAGGCCGACACGGGCTATATACATGGTCTTGTCATGGTCCCCGGTAGGCACAGTAGCTTCACCGGGCAAATAAAAGGTCACCGCCGGCCCGGACAGTCGGCTCCGAAGACAGTGGCGCGATAAAAATACTCAGCTGGACACCGTTCGGTCAGCAGCCGATAGGCTGAGAGGCGCTGGAGGTTTTCAATAGTCCCGGCTCAACCTACGGGTTTGGGAAGGTCGCCCGATTCGCGAAGCGCTCCGTTGCATGAGAGACATTGACCGCGAGACCCTTACACAAAGACCATTCCATCCCCTTCAGGCCCTTGCTGCAGCTGCACATTTGCTCGAAAGCAAATATTGCTTATGCACAGGGCGCCATGCGCAGCACCGCCAAACATCTCGCAGAACGGCACTTTCTTGTCCAAGCCACGGCGCAACACCTCGTTGTCTCGGTATGCTCTGCGTGGATTTCCCACGTGGAGACGACGCGTGGGCAGACCGATGGCTTGCCGTGCTGACCGCACCGTGCCCGGTGCATGGTCTAGCGGATATTGAATCCGGCGTCAACTCGCCAGATATCGAGATGCAACTGGCTCTCCCAACCCAGTGGAACTCCCCAAGTGGATCTTATTAGCCAGCCCATTGCTGATATAGTTGCATTAGTGCCAATATTCCTCAGGTTAACTGGCACTTTGCAGCCCCAACTATCTTCCCCGCTGCAGTCGGGGTCCAGCTGCTTTTATGATCATCGTGAGTCCTTCGGCCCTACACCCCAACGACTTTTTCGCTCCCGGCGATCGTCAGCTTCGTTGCTTTGCTCAAAACACTGACTGCTCTTTTAAAAAGACCCGAGGACTCTCCCCTCCGGCCACCCAACTCCTCCAGAGCTTTTGCTTTCATCTGAAGCCCGGCACTCCCACGACCTGCACTATGCAGCTACCCACGTCCATTCGTTATTTTACCTTCACCAACACACACTCACACAAGTGCGGCATGTGTGGCACGGAATACTCGTCGGGTAGCTGCTGGTATTGCCATCCCCAGCACAAAGCAGAACCACCCAAGGCCAGCGACATCTAAGAGCGACAAAAGTTTTATAAAACAACGTATCAGAGAAACCTTAATGTATACTTATGACGGACAAAGTCGAAGTGCTCCCGAAGCTGTCGAAGCCATCAGTCTGTCTGCCTCTCGACCCCGGGCACTGATGTGGTGTTGTCAGCCCATGTCCCCGTCCTAGGTCCCAGCAGTGTATGCTGTGCTAGTACACTTGCCACTTATCATGGAGCCTTCTCTCTCTATTTCTCTCGATTTCTCTCTCTCGCACGCGCGCGCTGTGTGGCTCCCTTGAGCCTACTACACCTAGGGATTATGGAGAAATCCGTTCTCTCTTTCATCATACGCTCCATATCTAGCTGGGGCATCGGCCATTCGGGATGAAGGCTGCGGGGACGGTGAGCCACTCACGACTCGACGGCATCTTTACCGCGATCCAAAGCATGAGTGCGACGCAACGCATGGCTTGGGTGCATTCGGGGGAGCCATGCGAAACTCTCAATGGCACGGACTTTACGAACGCTTTACGACAAGGACTGGAGAATAGGCGCTTGGAAAAGGGACTGGGATTTTTTGTCGGTATTTTTGCTTCTATCTTGCTTCGGATTTCTCTCGGCCGTGATTTGCTTTCTCAAGGGCGGTTTTCGGGACTGGGGAAGGAGTTCTTGGGTCAAAAGCATGCTTTCTTGGGAGATAGCCTCTTATGCTTCGTCTAGCTGGGTTTACGTGGTTAACCCAGCTTGTCGGCTCTCGGTCGACATTCAATCACACCTCATTTCTTATGACGGCCGTCTCGTCAACTTATCACTGCATGCTGATGCTTTCGAGCTCGCCTTATAGGATGTCGAGCGTTCGGGCTTGTCCCTTGGGGACTCGACTGGGCAGGCCGCTCATTATAAGAACAGGCAGGAAACGAGTCGCGCTCTTTGCGAGGACAAAGTGGTACCTTGCGTTATATGTAGGTTCGCAGCACGGCCACGCTCACAAGGCTGAAATTTAAGAGCATCGACATCGTTGCCACGGAAGTCAACATGTATGAAGCCGCCTGAGTGCCGGCCAATGGCAAAAACTGAGCTCTATTTAGACGCAAGCAGCCATGCCGATACCATGCCAAAGACTGGCCCGAGCCAGCGACTGTACCGCGAGAAAATTATACCCATAGTAGTATATCCATGATCGAAGTCGTAGCTTCTTGTCCGCTTTCACGTAAAAGAACTGCTCCCGTCTGGTGTTAAACGTCATAGACGTGTCTGCTCCATCCCATCCGACAGCGGGCCGAGGGCGAAATGACTGGTTGGCTCACCCAATTCCAAGCAATCGCAGTCGTGGGCGCGATGATGGTGTATGTCACTAGCAGAAGACAGAGTAGTCTGCGTTCGGCCAGTGCGGCTCTTGACCGGGGACGCTCTTACGTCTGGAGTCGTGGTCGATCAGATAACTCGGAGCCCCCATATGTCGACAGGCGGTGGAGATAAGCTCACAGCCATGTCCGAGGAACATCGACGTGCCACTAGGCCTATAATCTAAACTTTACCTCCAAGGGCTCAAGAGTTACGGGACACAGTTGGACAAAGGGGCTAACAACACTTGACGGGACGAATGTTCCCTGTTGGGGGCTTTCGCAAAGGCGCAGATAGTGTGAGCATTGTTGTTATCAATTCATACACCTAGGCATCTTCGCTATTATAGCTCTATCTCATTTCAGAGAATATAAGATAACCAGCTGGGACGCTATCCCATCTCGCTCGCGATGCATACAATTGATCGCGGCATGTTTGATGCAGTCTCGCGGTTCCTAATCTCGCCTGATTCCCACTGACCTCCACTCTGGGTTAGACAAATATGATGCTGGGTATTGCCAAGTTGCCGGGTGAATGGTGGATACAAGACGCCTGCATAGCGTCTCAAAGCCTGCTTCCAGCGCTGGTCGCATCTGTCAAGGCTCCATGTCAACATTCCCCACGACCACTATTGGGGCCGTGCCGACGCCCACAGCATCGGGATGAGTGTTTCATCCCGGCATCTTCTCAGTGGCGCCACAATCGGTTAATTTCGACCAAGACCGTGACTTAAGGATTCCGCGGCTAGGTGGCGAGGTTCTCGTAGAGTAGAGACATATGGAGAGTAAGCCGGCGAATGCTACTTCGACGTATGCGACGGCTTGTCCTGCCGGACTTGTTGTCAACGACTTTCGAATGTAGCATGCCTTCTGAGACTGCATCTCCCACCAGGCCTATTTTGGCCAGATGATTGTCGTATATTTTCGTTCTCCGTTCGCCGTGACTCAATTCGGGATGAATGCACACCACACAACAAAGGTGCACAGCATGTAGACCATTTTCTTGCGCAGCGATAAGCCTGCAATGAACATGCTGCGGGGGTCATAGCCAAAGTACAGAAGCGTATACCCAACAGTGTCCACGAAGCGAAATACCCTGTAGATGTTCAGTCGGCCGGTCACGCGATCAGTAAGCACGGTACTTACAGATTCAGCAGAAAAATGCCCAGTGCAAACTTGGACATGAAGGTCACGTTTGGTGTATTCACCGTTTCCCGTGCAGTGTAGCAGACAGGGGGTATCCGGACCACCGTCATCATGAGCTCAGCCGCCAGAGCATATGTGTATTTCTGCTCATCATGGGCACACGTGCGTATGATGAACAGCGCCAAGGCCACAATCGACAGGCCGAAATCAATCTAGGACGCGTCAGCAAGGGCAATGGCAGGTAAGAGGTTGCCGTGTACTTACGCAAGTAGGAATAAGGACCGTCGGTACCTTCCTGTACTGCGTGACAGCAAGAACAAGTGCCAAGACTCCGAGCCCAACTTGGAGGATGGCCATCACAAACCACGTAATGGTCGCCAGGTAACGCTTCACCCTGCAGGGCGCGTGAAGCAGCTCTTGCGAACCCTCCTGGCCGTCGCCGCCACACACGGGCCACGCGCAGAAGTGACAAATGTACCCATACTCCCCGTTCGCGAGCTCCAGCAACGGACCATGCTTGCGCTGATAGTCCGGGGTCAGCTGGGTGCGCCAGCATCGGAAGCAGATGGACCGCCAGGCGTCGTGTTCGCGAGTGACGTCCAGAATCAGACGGTCCAGCCCCGGGGTCGTCAGACACTCGCTACAACAGCCCTGCAGGATGGCATCGTACTGGCCATACCTGGAGAACTGTGCCTGGACGATGTCGGCTGTGATCACGTGACGGTAAAGGCGACAAACCCGGCGCAACGCAACCGTCTCAGCCAGATCCAGATGCGAGGTGATCATGAACTGAAGTTCCACGGGCAGAGACAACAGTCCCGACGTGGTTGCGCCGTGGGGGCCGTTCTGGGCTGGCGATTGGCGGGCCTTGGATCTCGGGCGGAGCCATTTTGGGAGCTCGTACCCAGGAGGACTCCTCGGCGATGACGCATTGTGGGCTGTCGCCGCTTCACGACGCTCAAAGGACAGCATCCTCCACCATCAAGATTGGCCTGGGCGCGATTGAGCCGCAGTCATTCGCGTCCCTGCGGCCGGTTCTCCTGGTCTGGTGATGCTGTCGCGGACGTGGCCGAGGAGTGGTCCAGGGTGGTGGCGCCGATCCCCTACTGTGGTCTTTCCACAAGACAGCGCCCCAGTAAGCAGTCCTCATCTGTTGGCGCGCGCTCGCGAAGAAGAGGGAGGGCGGGAGACGAGAGAGGGAGAAAAAAAAACCAGTCAAACAGATCAACAAGCTCCCGGCAAGACGTTCAAAGCCCGCACCTGTGCCGGTGCCACGGGCGAACAGCAGGTTTTCCTTCGCGATTTTATCGACGGTCGTCGTCGTCTGGAGTCAAGGTTGCTGGGAACGGCCGTGAGCTTGGCCAGGTTTGAGAAACGGCGGATTTTGTATTTTCCCAGCGCAAGGCACCGCATCCCGGGTGTCCGGCACTGGGCGGTCCCTTGGGGGTCCCTGGGGAGGTTTAGCGCACAACGCCCTGATGCCGTCGCACCCGGGCAGTGGCCTCAACCACTCAAAGCGGCCTGCGCCCAGCTGGCCCTGGTTCCAAGACGCGAGGGGCCGGTGCCGGTAACCGATTTATATGCAGCCGCCCGTCCTCGAATTGAAGGGGGCGCAATGCTGGGCGCTGCGGTTAAACCGTGCCGAGCAGTCCTTCTTCACAAGAGCTGCAGCTGTTTGCAATCTCAAGATTGCAACGAGCAGTTGCAGCCCACGTGGAGGTCGGGCATGTCGATAGCTCGAGGTGCTCGACAGCGCTCTGCGCCGAGGGCCCGAAGGACTGCCAGCTGCCTAGGTACCTACCTAGGTACCTAGGCAGTCCCCCCCCCCCCCCCCCCCCCCCCCAACTCTAAATGCCCTGCGCTCAGCCCTGCGGCGCCCCAGAGTCCGCCGTCTCCAGGCATGTCCCCGCTGCCCTGTGCTGCGGAAAAGTCTCCGTCACCTGCAAACCTCTTGCCTGCCGCCGCCAAGAACTAGTCGCGTAGGACCTGCATCACCCACCCTCCCCGAAAGAGAGAGAGAGCCAGTTCGCGGCCATCCCGTCCGCAGAAAATGCCCGTCTGGGCTCTTCGCTGCCACGAGACGGCGGCATGCTATATATGTATGTCGGCGACGCCTGGCGCCTTGCTTCATTCTCGAACCAATCGTATACCCAAGCCACTGTGCATGTCGCCTGTCTGCGACGTACCATGGTATACCTCAAGCTGTCAAGTACCGTGTCGGCGGGCTCACACGCATGCAACCTGCGGAGGTTGCCGCCAACCAGACGCCAACCAGACGGTCGACACGCCCTGGAGATCATTGCCCCAACGCTCCCCAGCCTGATGCTAGTTGATCACCGGCCTTGGCGTGCTTGCACACTAACAAGCAACACTATCCTGACTATATCAAGCTCGTTGACGACTCTACTGCCGGTGTTACGACGTTGGCGTCTCGCAAAAGCACGCATAGTTCAACCTTCGGCAATGCGGCATGGCACTGTCTCGTGTCTCGCTCCATGGCTCACCTGCAACTAAACTATCTGTATCTCCAAATTGCGCCCAAACTAAAAATCGGGGGTCGCATGAATCTAGTGCACCTGTCGGCGAGCCTCTGCTGCCGGCTTTGCCGACCCGGTTCGGGGAACTGGGCGCCCGCCACGCGAGTCAACTCAAACTCTGACCGAGACAACCCAACAGCACGGAGAAATATCGCCACGCAAGAACTGCCCTCGACTGGAACTGAGCCAGCCTCAGAAAAGTAAGGGGAAAATAGAGGAAAACCATAGGCTGAAGCTTTTGTCAATTACTCCGCGAATTCTCGGTCAACTAACAGCTTGTTGCTCCACATGCGGCGGGTACAGCCAACTTTCTTATGTAACAGGGTTGCCGGTCGCATACTCGACGCATCCGCTGTGGGGAGTGACGATCGCCTCGTAGTGTGGCTGCTAGGTATACTATGTTCAGAGTGCTAACAACACTTATACCTTATCCAGCCATCCATTGTCGAATCTTCGGGCCACAAGCATATGTACACGGCACCAGGTTCCGCGCGGAAAGGGACCAGTGCGTATCACTTGACGGTCATAGACGCGAACAACCCTCGATGCTGCCAGCATGGATCCCAAAACAACCCAGTATTACTCTCGCAGCACAAGACGCGCTAGCTTGGCATCCGTTGACACCGATTACGCAAGCACGTGGAAGTTCGGCTCCGACATGTTCCATTCCATGTCTTGTATCATTTACTGGCGACATATCGGAGTCTTGACAGGCTGTTTCTTGTGACCTGGGAAGGATTCGCGTGCACGGCCCTCATTACCTGAGTAGGCGTAGCATTTTTGGCGAGGTGTCGACACCAAAGACGACCTAATCTTAACCGTCTGCATCATGCTCGAACGGTCCTCGAAAGAATGCCAAAACATTTTGTAAGGCATTGCGTTATTTGCTGAATACTTCAAGCCGTAGGGATAAAGCCCAGCTTTCCAAGGACGAGCTTCCGCCCATTGTCCACACCTGTAGGTAAATAACTCCCCTGACTCCCCCCGGCTCCCTTCAGTTTTCCCTTACCATTGGTGCAGACCGTTGGAGGAGGAAGATTGTGTCTGATTAGACATCTACCCGAGGACATTTGAACAAGGATAGCCTTGAGAATCTTCAGTCAGTGCTTCAATATTTTCATGGTTGCGAGGCGACTGGCCAGCACAAGACCCTCGAGGTTTGAATTCTGAAACTGAGTTATCCAATGCCCACTTCGAAAGTGTAGAAGTCCATGTCTAACGCATTCCACACTTCCAAATTTCTGGGTCGGAATCGTGTCCTTACTCTGAATTGCCGCTGAATATTAGAAGGGTAAAGAAAACGAAAACTGGACCATCAATTATGGCTGCCATCCATACTATTGCGCCTCTTCCACAGGCCTGTCGGATGTGGGTTTTATCTGCAATTGTGGTATGGTATCAGAACCAGAAGTTATCTCCTACTGCGTCAAGGTATACCGTTTCTGTGAAATCGGTATATGATATAAACGCCGAGTTCATAGCACATAGACGACGCTTCCTAGTCTGGACACAATTTCCAAGCCAGCAGGCTCGCCCGATTAAAGTTGAATGGCTTTCGGTACTCTGACATCTCGACAGTAAGTCGCTGCCATCAAAAACAGCCCTACTTCCGAGTGAAAAGTTGACGGGCCTAATATGGCACGCCCTTTGCGCCGTTCTGATACGAGGGATTAATGACCAAGAAGAATCAGGCACAAAAGGAGGCGAATTCCCCGAGATATGCATTACAACTCTTAATAGCATAGTTTCACTTAATAGACATAATATAATGTGCGAAGTCGCAACCTCCAGTTTCGGTTGCCAAGGAATGTTGGTGCAGTGAGTTCAGCGCTGCAGCTCGAAACAGGCTTTGCAATTTCCCAAAATTGCGGTCCAGACAGCTGGGTCAGGAACACCATGCGCGCGACATCAAGTTACAATCAAACATTATCTTGCACCAATAATGAGCGTCGTAAAATTGGAGAGGCAGCGACTAGGATCCGATAACACCTACACTTCCATGGAGGACAAACAATTGCGCCAGAGTGTACCGCCAGGGAACGAGATGAGCGATGCTGTGCCATACTCCGATGTGCATCGTAGAAGAACCAACAGCCAGGACATGAGATTCATAAGACAGGCCAAACTCTCCTTTCTCGCGAACGGCCACAGATTCTCGTTCTTGTGCTCGTCTTGGTTTCTGCACAGAAGGAACCATCAGCTCCTTACGCATTCAATTTTCTCAAGCTGTTTATCGCACTCACCCTTCACACCTGTGACCCTAGCATCTAGCATCCTGTCTCAAGGTGATCTGTGATCTATAACTTAAACATTGGAGCACATTTCAAGCCGCCACACGTGCCAAGTCCCGAGATGTGGCCCCTTCTTCTCGTCAATATCCTTGCATTGGCCACAGTGCCATCCCTCGCTGCCAGCAATGCAGAAGTCAGCAGTCTCTGTATCGGCGTGCCAGAAGGATACAATTTTTGCGAGTTTGTCAGGACTAGTCTCAAGTTGCGTTTCAATCTACTAAACTTCCATTCTCCTAGATTAAACCACTTGTACCGCTGCGTGAATGGTACTGCCACGTTGAAAGCATCCTGTGACGGACAGAACAGTGTGTTCTGTTCTCCGCTGGTGAGCGATAGAGGCGGGTGCATCAAGGTCGTCATGGTAACCGCGACTACCGTGGTTATGTGGCCCCCAGAAACATCGTCCATGTCAGCCACAGCCTCGTCGATCTAGAAACAAGGGTCAGCTCATGGAGTCTCAACAACGGCACCCCACAAGTCGCACGTGGATGTAAGAGGTTATTTCCTTAGGATCGCAGGAGGACATGGACACTAAGGATGCTGGCCTACAAGGTCATTATTGTTTCCATTTTTTTCATTTTTCTGACGGAGGCCCTGATATGGGAAGAGAACCACTGGTGAGGCTTGATCATACTATGCGGAAGTTCCAGTGGTATAATTTTAATCAAGGTACTTTAATGTAGCTGTCGTTCATATTTCAACTTAGATACGGTCCCTGTCAAGTTCGCCTTGGCGCGGCAAGCCAGATTTGCACAACTACAAGAAGACACGATCCACTTCCCTTCCCACGCGAGAAATGAGAGGAACGCAGACCGGCTTATTATCCGTGTCTATAGGTTCTTGACTACAAATCTCTTTCTAATCCATTCTCCGTACTTGATAATTAGGAAGGCGGTTGGCGTGAGAGTGAGAGCGATAAATGCAAGCAAGCTGTTGCCCCAACCAATCCCCAACCGTTCGTACATGGGCAACCCAGCAAGCGGAAGAACAGCCCCGGCAATGGAACGTACGACTGTGTTCGCGGCGATCGCCGACGCGGCGTAGATGGTGAAAGCATCTACCAGATACAACTGCATCGCCATGAAAATGATCAGGTTGCCCGCACCTATAATGCCCGTGCCGATGATGGGAACAATCCAGTGGACCTTGTACTCGGCTGTCCAGCCGTATATGAACAGACCAGCCGGCAGCATGAACGCACCCAGGGGAAGTGTAGGGAGTCGGTATTCTGGTTTCATTCCCTCCTTGACGCCTCCAGAAGCCTCGGCTGCTGCATCGGCTTCAGCGGCCTTTCGCCTGATGTACCTATCAGACGTCCCGCTGAATATGGCAACGCCAATGAGGGAGCCCACTCCCAAGCCAATGTAAGAGAGACCGACCGTGCTCGTATTGAAGCCGTAGTATTGCTGAAACACCTCCGTCATGGAGGTAAACATGAGATATAGGTATGAGTAGGTGAGGGCGACGTAAATATTGAAGATGATGACGATCGGAGAGAAGAAGATCAGTTTCATTGGTCGAATGATGCCCCTCTTGAAATAGTCCGAGGGAGAGAGCCCGGCGTCCAACTTGGATCGCAACAGCGGGTTGCCTGTCTCTTTTCGCATCTTGTCAACCTTTCGTTGAAGAAGAACGGGATGATACGTCTCTTTCATCGTCACGATCATGATAAGAGTGATAAATCCGCCGAAGATGAGAAGGAGCCAGAAATTCCATCTCCAACCCTTGGCATCAGCTAGGAACCCACCGGCGACGGGACCAATGATAGGTCCCAGCAGGGGCCCAACGCTGAAGCCCGCCATGGCAGCAGCTCTCCTCTCCTGGGGAATCATATCTGCGACCGAGCCACCCCCAATTGTCACTGGGCAAGATCCGAAGATGCCACTGAGAAAGCGGAAGGCGATCAAAGAGTTCAAGCTTGGGGCGAGCGCGCAACCAATCACAAAGGCGAGGAAGCCAACGTTGCACACATGGTAGACGACGACCCGACCATAGATTTCCGACATGGGGGCCAAGATCAGAGGTCCGAAGGCGAACCCGAGGACATACACGGACACCACGAAAGCTGCCATCTCCAGGCTGCTACTTTGGAACTCGCGCATGAGTTGGGGCACACCGGGAGCGAAGATTGCTGAGCGAATGTCAGCTTCGAGTCCACACAGAGTGGGAGCATACACTTACAAGAGGCCAGAGGAGTCAAGAAAGTCATGGCGCTGATGAGGATGCAGTTTGCGAGCGTGCGCCAGCGCGGCCAGTTGTATGGGTGCTCTGGATCGTTGTCGTCCCACCAGACGACGTTGGGGTCGACGTCGGTGGCCTTGGCTTCAGGGGAGGCGGTACCGGCTTCCTTTTCGACATCGCGACCCTCGCTGCCTGTCGCAGTGTCATCGTGTGCTGTCGTCGAGTCGCGCCGCAGATCCGCAATCGAGGGCCGTCGCTTCTTTTCGCCCTCTGAAATCGTTATGTAGCCCTGCGCAGATGGAATGTCCGCATCATGGCCCTCGTCCACGGCCTGTTGGCTTATTTGCCTTTCCAGTCGCGACTCCGCTTCGTTTTCGCCGCGGCCCGCGGGGGTCGCCGCTGCGCTGGGAGACATGGCCCTGCTGACACCGAGGAGAGACTATTAGCCATGACCGATCGTAGCAACGGGCTGATCGAGATAAGCCTTGGGATCACACTGAGCCTGTACATGGCATTGCAAGACCGGACCCGTATAGCCACCAAGTCGCCGAGATCTCAAAACCCACCCTGTGTTACTAACTCACCAGGGCTCACTAAGGCACCCCAGACTTTTGACTTGGCGCCAGGAGCGGGCTTTCCCGGGGGGCTGCGGGGCCTAGAGGCAACTGAAACGAGCGGCTTGTGTTTGCTGCCGAGTGCCAAACGAAGATGCAGTGTTGAAGACGAGCGTCGCACTGCTGTCCGCTAGATAAAACCCGGCCTCCAGCGCGTACTTGTGTTGGAGAATATATCTCGAGGTTACCTTGTCGCCGTCATTTGTTGAACCCAGAGGACTGGGCCGATGTTTTGTGACATGGGCGTCAGATAGCGAATTATGCAGCAGAGGGGCCGCTGCAGAAGGCATAAACGCTGCATAAGTGAGTGGCTAGCCAATGAGATCGCCCTTCTCGGCGTCGCAAGATCCCGAGAGTTCGGTCGTCCCTTGATTGAAAACGAATACGCGAACCGTGGTCAGATGACGGCACGCTTTACTTAGTTAGGTGCCACCCACGATATCAAAATGGGATGCGGCCCCTTTCACGGGATTCTGCGCTATTCTGTCTGTGACCAATAGTTACCGGTGGTCCCTGTGCCTGTCTCTATCTTTGTCTCTGTCTCTGTCAATCTGTCATCACCCAAGCCTCGTACGCTTGCTTCCAACTGCCTAACAAGCTCATCTACGCCTTAGGTCCGAGCACCGAACATGGATAATTGCCAAATCTAGGTGTGATGCCTTGATCTGTCGTATAGCGGACTCTCAAGACTCGGACCAGTTGGCAAACCCAGTCACCGGGAGCTTCTAGCAACCTGGGATGTTTTCAGTCATTCCTAAAAACTGCAACAACGCTGTCACATGAAGCCTCGCGCTACTGGGCAGCCCGGTTAGAACATTGGCAGGGATCCTGCCGCGCATGCGCCGCACAATGCGTGGAAAACACGATCTGGGTTTTGGAATGGCGAAGGAGCCATGAAACCCACAAGCTAGGTTATCTCACGGCGGCCACTGTCACCGAGTTTAGATCGCAATGGCACTATTCACATACGTAACCAAATATAAGCGTCGCCCCTCATTGTACGCTTCTTCTATGCGGCTGCTGTTGGGGGTGCGCAGCAGCAACTCGGGCAATTCCAGGGACAGGATGACGGGGCTGCCCCTCACTCGAGGCTCGCCTCTGGGGTAGGACTATATCAACCAAGTGATGGCCCATCGGCACACTTCGGGCCTGGCTGTCGCCATTCTATGTGGTAACGGAACGTGGACAAAGGCAAGAGCTGCGGTCCAGCTGTGCACCACCTGGCTAAGTGACCTTCCTCCAGGGTCTCGGTCACGCATCACTGCCATAAACGCCCATCACCCCTCACACGTTATTTCTCACTGGCAGTACCACCAAGTCTTTCACTGTCGGTGGTTTCTCTTCTGAACGACAAATCATCCGAGCAGCCGTCTACCAAGTGGACAACACCCATATGCAGCTTGTTACTGGAGGATGTTGTTCTCAGCGATGCACGGGCAACGGAGCATATCACAACCGAGGACGCTCTGTGTCATAGAACCGGCTGTCCCTGTCACGACTTGATCCCAGCCAATGACACAGAGGGCGAGACTCGCCGGCTACGGCATCTTCCCATGTCCGCTGAGCCCCGTGCAAAAGTTCAACACTGCAATCGTATATTCGACGCGATGGGCTATCCTGTCGAGACCTTGAGTGGCCTCCCACTGAGTGACTTCTTCCACAATCATCTATGGATGCCCGTGGCTATGAATAAGACGTTTCTTGGCCTCTATGATCCTGGTATGAACGACAGCAGCCTTCCTGTCGCCGATGAAATTAGGTGCAGAAATAGCACGGAAGATTATGTCCACCAGGGTCGCCTAGATAGACTCAGCGGTGAGGGTGCTGGCGTGTTTGTTTCCAATGTTCTAGATTAAACCAACGCCTTGATGACTATGATGTCTGGGATCAGCTCTATATCCAAGAATAGTCAACACGAGCTCAAGTTGGCAAACAGGTTTTGTTCTCACTCCGCACCCCCTTTCAATGGTCTAACCACGTACTCGCTTGCATAAGCAGATGGCGTTTTCTAGAGACAACGAACCTAATTCCACGGCGGCGCGATAGTCATGTTCCGAACCGAGATGTAAACGGACCCCTCCAAAGAGATCGGAATTCTGACCATGACCAGCTCGCCGCTGGACATGGTTCAGATCATCCTCTATAGCATACGATATGATCTCTTCGGTGTTGAGGGGGGGGGGGGGGGGGGGGGA